AGAAGGAAGGTTGTACTGGAGGACCTCGCCAAGGCCGAGCCGGCCGTCGAGGAGGCCAAGGCCAGTGTTAGCAACATCAAGCGTCAGCACCTTACCGAAGTCCGATCCATGGGTAACCCTCCTCAGGGTGTCAGACTGGCTCTCGAGTCTGTCTGTGCTCTGCTCGGTCACAAGGTCAACGACTGGAGGATGATCCAAGGTATTATCCGTCGCGACGACTTCATTGCTAGCATTGTCAACTTCGACAATGAACGGCAGATGACCAAGTCTCTGCGTGTCAAGATGCGCAACGAGTTCTTGTCGAACCCCGAATTCACTTTCGACAAGGTCAACCGTGCCAGTAAGGCCTGCGGCCCTCTGGTGCAATGGGTGGAGGCGCAGGTCTCGTACTCTGAGATCCTGGACAGAGTTGGCCCTCTCAGAGACGAAGTCGACCAGCTCGAGGAGCAGGCTCTGCAAACCAAGGCGGAGGCCAAGGCCGTTGAGAACACCATCAACACTCTCGAGTCCAGCATCGCCCAGTACAAGACGGAGTACGCTGCGCTCATTAGCGAGACCCAAGCCATCAAGTCTGAGATGTCCAAGGTCCAGTTCAAGGTCGACAGAAGTGTCAAGCTGCTCGACAGTCTGTCGTCCGAGAGAGTTCGTTGGGAGGAGGGCAGCAAGTCCTTCGAGACGCAAATCAGCACCCTTGTCGGCGACGTGCTTGTCGCCGCCGCCTTCCTGGCGTACAGCGGTCTGTATGACCAGACCTTCCGCAAGTCGATGATGGACGACTGGCTGCACCAGCTGCAGCTCTCTGGTGTCTTGTTTAAGCCTCACAACCCGGTCACCGAATACCTCTCGACCGCTGACGAGCGCCTCAGCTGGCAGGAGAACAGCTTGCCGGTCGATGACCTGTGCACGGAGAACGCCATCATCCTCAAGCGATTCAACCGCTACCCTCTTATCATTGATCCTTCCGGCAGAGTCACCGAGTTCTTGCAGAAGGAGAGCAAAGAGCGTCGCTTGACAGTTACCAGTTTCTTGGACGATTCCTTCACCAAGCAATTGGAGAGTTCGCTGCGTTTCGGCAACCCTATCCTCATCCAGGACGCCGAGTACCTCGATCCCATCCTCAACCACGTCCTCAACAAGGAATACCAGAAGACCGGTGGACGTGTCCTTATCCAGCTCGGCAAGCAGCAGATCGACTTCTCGCCGTCGTTCAAGATTTACTTGTCGACCCGCGACCCATCGGCCACGTTCGCTCCCGACATCTGCTCTCGAACCACATTTGTCAACTTTACGGTTACACAGAGCAGTCTCCAGACCCAGTCCCTTAACGATGTGCTCAAGTCTGAGAGACCCGACGTCGACGAGCGGCGATCCAACCTCATCAAGCTTCAGGGAGAGTTCAAGATTCATCTGCGACAGTTGGAGAAGCGTCTTTTGCAAGCGCTCAACGAGTCTCGCGGAAACATTCTCGACGACGACAACGTCATTGAGACCCTGGAGACCCTGAAGACGGAGGCAGCCGAGATCTCGGGCAAGATGAGCAACACCGAGGGCGTCATGGCCGAGGTCGAAGAGATCACTCAGCAGTACAGCATCATCGCCCGCTCTTGCAGTACTGTGTTCGCGGTGCTTGAGCAGCTTCACTACCTTAACCACTTCTACCAGTTCTCGCTCCAGTACTTCCTCGACATTTTCCACTCAGTCCTCCACGGCAATAAGAACCTCGCCAACGAGTCAAACCACAACATCCGTCGCGACATCATTGTCAAGGACCTATTCGTCACAACGTTCAAGCGGACTGCGCTGGGCCTGCTCCAGAAGGACCGGATCACGCTGGCCATGCTGCTCGCCCAGGCTTCGCCTTACAAGATGGACAAGACCCTGATCGACATCATCCTTGACGATCGCGTAGAGGGCAAGGATCTCTCCACCGACAAGGATGCCAAGGACGAGGTGTTTGCCCGTGCTGGCCGCATGAGCGTGCTGAAGGAGAAGCTCGACAAGGCGTCGTCTGCCGACTGGGATAAGTTCTTGACAGAGGAGCTCGCAGAGAACTTTGTTCCCCAAATTTGGGAGGACAACACGGACGCCTTCGACCAGGCTTTGCAGTCCCTGCTTCTCGTGAAGCTGTTCCGCCTCGACCGATTCGTCCCGGCTGCCGAGCGTTTTGTCACTCTCGTCTTCGGCTCCGATACCTTTGATGTCGTCGAGGACCTCAAGGAGACGGTCAGCCAGGTGCCCGCCACCAGGCCGATCTCCTTGGTCTCCAGCCCTGGTTTCGATGCCAGTTACAAGGTTGACAACCTCGTCGAGAGGATGCGTATCAAGTGCACCAACATCGCCATGGGTTCCAACGAGGGTCTCGCAAGCGCCGACAAGGCCATCAGCAATGCCGCACAGCTGGGCAACTGGGTCTTGGTCAAGAACGTTCACCTTGCTCCTACCTGGCTGCAGAGTCTCGAGAAGCGCATGGAATCGCTCAACCCCCACTCGGACTTCCGACTGTTCCTGTCGATGGAGTCGAGTCCCAAGATCCCCGTCAACCTGCTCCGCGCTTCGAGAGTGCTCATGTACGAGCAGCCCGCTGGTGTGCGCGCCAACATGAAGGACTCCATGTCCTCCCTGTCGACGAGAGCCACCAAGGCCCCCGTCGAGCGCACGAGACTGTACCTTCTGCTGGCGTTCTTGCACGCCGTCGTCCAAGAGCGTCTGCGCTACGCCCCGAACCTGGGTTGGAAGGGCTTCTGGGAATTCAATGACAGCGATGTAAGTTTCCCCGAGTGCGATGTAGTCAGACACATGCTAACATGCCCTAGTACGAATGCTCGGCTTTCATCATTGACACCTGGATCGAGAACGCCGCCGGCAACCGCACGAACATTGCTCCTCAGAGCATCCCCTGGGAGATGATCCGCTACCTCGTGACGGAGACCTACGGTGGCAAGATCGACAACGAGGGCGACTTCAAGCAGCTCAACGAGCTGGTGCACTCGTTCCTGACCCCCTCGGCCTACGACGTCGGCCACAAACTCGTCGAGGGCGCAGAGAACCAGGAGGGCAGCCTCGTCGTGCCGTCGGGCACCTCTCTGCAGGACTTCATGGCGTGGATTCACAAGCTACCAGAGCGCGAGCCGCCCACATACCTTGGCCTGCCCGCCAACGCCGAGAAGCTCCTCCTCGTTGGTCTCGGACGCAGCCTCATTGGTAATCTGAAGAAGGTGACGGAGTTGTTGGAGGAGGGTGAGCAACTCATGGTCGAGGCCTAGTGAGCTCTGCATTACGGTAGAGAGAAGTTTCAGTGGAGAAAGGACATGTGTTGGTCCCGCACCTGAGGAGGGACGTATTTCATTTGTAGCGACTGAGCGCGTTGCGCCGTCACATGCTATTGCTTTCGGTTAGACTGTTTAGGCGACATCGCCAGTGGGTAGAATGGGTTGCGTTGTCTTTCGTACACTACTTATACACTGATACCCCTAATATCGGATTGGTTCCCTAGTTACTTTCCTCCCGCATCCGTGTGCTTGTGAGACGTGTTTTTAAAAGCGGAATGGTGCTGCATGAATCACAGAAACTATACACCGAAAGACGTATGGTGGTGTTGTGGCTGTGATGACACCTCACGGGATTGCTTGTTGGGCAAATCTGGCCTAGAGGTTCCGTGGAAGTCACGCATCGCGATGCTGCAGTCTGAGGCGGGTTCGCCTCGGCAACTGAAGAAACTTGGCGAGAACTGTGGTCGTCCTCAAGGAGGTTCAATGTGAGAAGACGTGACCGGAATGCGGATAATGCAGCATTCTCAATGAAGAAAGTTGTCGAGGTGCTCCAGGGCCGTCCACCGAGAGCAGACCATGGGATCAGTGGACGTCGCCGGTTGCGCATTCGCAGCTCGGCAAAGCACAGCACGAAGAGAAGAGGCGCGCGCGCGCGCGCGCAAGAGAAGGTGGAGGGAAACGAAAGGGCTTTTGTATTGCGCAAAGCACGAGGGCCTTTGAATAGAACGCAAAAAATGAGAGACTCATAGAACATTTTTCATGTTCTCGACGACCAACCTGGGACTCGAACCCAGAATCTTCGGATGAGTTTGTATTCCTCATAGGAATCCGACGCCTTAGCCATTAGGCCAGCCGGCCATATGGATCTAATTGCTTTGTTGGGGATGTCGGGCGGAAGTTGAGCCTAAGTTTGGTGTGTGCGTTGTGGGGGCCCTTTGCGAGCGGGCGGGTGGGGATCGGTGCGAGGGCGAGGTGTAAGTTCCTTTTTTTTTTCCTTCGTTTTCTCTCGTGGGGCGCCGTCTCGGTGCGGTTTACTTGGGGGGGAGGCTCTGAGAAGGCGTGAGCACGGCACTGATTGAAGCTTGCTCTGGCGAGCTGCTAGTGCTGGTGCTGTTGGGGGGGATCTTGTCGGCGGTTGGTGGGATGTGGACTGGCTTCCGAGATGTGCTGTTGTACTTGGGGTGACTTACAAGTTTGATGAGCAAGCGAAGAGAAGAACGTTCGCGTCACGCACAACGGAACATGTATCGGGCTTTATGATGTGAATCTCTTCAAACATGAGACTCCTTTCGAGAGACGGTTGATAAAATCCCGGGGCCGGGCCCCAAGGCTCTGTCCCATCCATGTGCACCGAAAACCGCATCCGTGTCACAAGATGCGTCCAGGGCCTCGAGATGGCGTTGATGCTTAAACACAAGGCGGAAACCTACAGACGCTGGGTAGTCCGCCGGCGGTTTTATTTGTTTTATTAATCTGCGCCGAGAGATACGCATACACCGACGGAGCAGTTTGTGTTTTGTCGTGGACCGCAGAAAAGGCGGGCAAGGCACGCGTAGAACGCGCAGGCAAGGCAAGTAGACAATTAGACAACGCTCAGAGTTGGGATATATTCTCACAGCGCGATCAGAGATCACCATGGTACACATAGAGCCCGCTTTCAGGATTTGCAGGACAGTCTTGTCCAAGCAACCTCGCCGCCACCAAGCCCGTCACTCGCGTCTAAAGCGCCTGCTAGTCCACCCCCTCATCCTCCACCTCCTTGACCCGTCTGCTCTCTTTCGTCACCTCCGGCTCGAACCCAAGACAAACAGCCGTGGCATAGTCTCCGTCGTGGCTGATCGAGACCATGGCCGTCTGCCCCGGCTCGCCCTCCCTCTCGGCCCGGATGACGGCCACGGGCGGCCCGCTGCCGTTGGGGTTCTCCTTGCCTTCCTCCAGCGCCCGCCGGACAATGGTGATGTCGTGGAACGAGAGTTTTCTGACGGGGTGCGCCTTGAAGGCGGCTTCTTTGGCGGCGAACCTGGCCTTGCTGTCAGTCTCGGGGCCGCCGTAGTGAGTGACACGGAGGGGGGGGCGTGCAGGCGCCTTCGTTCGGCGGTTCGTGATATGACCCCGACGCCCCGGATGATGGGTGTGCAACGTGCATGTGCGAGCTTACCTCCCAGCTACAAAGGTGGCCTTCTTCCACAGAAGCGGGTTCTGTTTCTTCAATGCTCGAAAATCCCCATCGCGGCTGGTGCCCGGTGTGGTCGTCGGCGCCGGAGCCGATGGCGGGTCGGCAGGAACTAAAGCGCGCTCATCCTTGGTGAAGACGCGCTGGAGGAACCTCGCTCCCCGGTCGCTGGCCAGGAGTCGATAGATCCGCGAGACTTGACATATATCGGTCCCGATGTTCAAGGGGAAAGGAAAGGGCCTCGGCGACACCATGAGTCCATCAATCAGCGGTCGGCGTGGGTGCACAATTCAAAAGACCAACATCTCAAAACGCAAATAACGGTAATTGATAGATTCACTACCAAAGGTTCAAGGGAAGTGACCATTCCCGACAAAGACTAGTTCGTAGCGATAAGCAAAGCTATGGCGATAACGATAGCGATAAGATCACCGCTACGTCATCCCTCGGCATCCTCGCACCTTTCAAACCGAATAACAACAACACGGGGAATTATCGTACTCTGCGCATGCTAGCTGCAAAGAATGCTATGTACATGCCATACCATACAAATCAGTTTTCGTAGCAATCTCTCGGTGTAACAACTTTTGGAGCCCATAGCTCTGCCGCGAGCGGCCGATTACACCTCCACTCCACCACCTGCGTCTGGTCTTGGCTCGATGGGTGCTTCAATCACGAAGTCCACTCCATTCCACAGGTTTCAACATTGCGCCTTTCGTGTATAATCGAACACATTTACTGATCGTTGGAGAGAAGAGGGGCACGCTCCTGGTCGGCAGGAGCGGAAGAGCGGCTTCTCCAGGGGTAGTCCTTGCCAGTCGCAGTCGGGTAGGCAATGACAAGTGTCGAGACAAACAGGACGGCCATAATGGTGAAGGCAAAGATCCACTGGAACGCGACGACCTGGCGGTGAAACTGGGCAACACCAATGGCGGCAGCCAGAACGCTGAGGGAGAAGCCCATGGTGTAGTCCTGGGGTAAACAAGTCAGCGGGAGGGGACAAGGAATACGGGATCGCCAATCTTACCTTGTAGGCAACGATGAAGAAGCCACCGTAGACGAGAATGGACCAGATGAAGATGTTGCCAAAAATGCGGGCGACCAGGCTGTGGGGGTGGGGAACCATGATGGCACCGTTCCAGTAGATGGCCACGAAAGTCCACGCCAGAGGAGCAGAAACAACCGGCCAGTGGATGAAGCGCGGGTAAGTGTTGTGGCGGAAGTACAGCGACGACAGGTTGGCGAAGTTGATGATCAGGATGAGCTCAGCCCAGACCCAGTGGGAGCGGACAAAGAGCATGACAAAAGCGAAGTGCAAAAGGTTGTTGAAGATGAAGTGGGATCCGACACTGGCGGCGGCGTTGACATAGTCGCTGTTGCTCGAGAAGAGGTGGGCGACATAGCCGACTTGCAGGATGAAGAGAACGACCCTGGACATTATTAGAGCGAGCATTCTCGAGATGTTGTCCAGACTCACCAGTAGATGTCGACAATGACCGAGTTCAGTGTGAAGGCGGTAGGGTACAGGTAGTTCTGGTCCCAGATTCTCTTCCGGATCGTGAAGCCATCGCGGGGCTCATTGACAGTGTAGTAGAGGGTGACGACAAGGGACAGGAGCCAACTCAGAATGGTCAGGACCTTGTACGTCGTGATGGTCGTGGCGCTGTGCGACTCCTTCTTAGAGAAGGGGTTCACTGGGGTTCGGGGGGTTAGCCTTGGAGGACGAGAGAGCAAGCACCAGGCAACTGGATGAACTTACGGGCATGAATGCGCTCTGTTGCGGTAGGCATCTTGAATGATGGATTGCCAAACTCTTGACTGTTCTCCTTGGATATCTCTTAGTCGGAAAACGTTTCCTGAATGACGGCTGGCCTCTTTTGACTGTTGTACAAGACGGCGTTGCGAGCAGGCAGTAGCTTGGGAGTGGAAGAATGGCCTGGGTTGGGGAGGGCTGTAGGTAGCATTTAAACGACAGGAGCAGGAAGCTTGGGAAGAGAGGGAGGGGGTGTGGTAAATGGGACGTTAAATCTGCGGGGAAGCAACTCGCCACAAGTACATTAGCGTGTAACGCGGACGCACGAGATGTAGGTACTACCTTTCTTTCTGCTGCAAGTGCGCCGGTGTTGGACATGGGCTGGTCGAGCATGGCTGAGGTGCTCCTTCACACGGCCACACCTTCCCGAGCTCCCCCCACCAGGGCATGCGGTACCCGCCTCACGAAGCAACAGTTCAGCACGTATTGACCGGGGGAAAGGGAAGCCATGACCGAATTTTACTCTTGGCCCAAGGTTGTCTGTGCTGGGAGCATAATTCTATCCTTGCGCGTCACAGCAAAGAAAAGCTTGGAAAGGGCGGGACATGGGCCGGTGGACAAATGAGACGAGATGGCTTGGGCGTGCTTGTTTGGACTGTTTGGACGCCTCGCTTGTCCCTAGTAGGGTACGGGCTGGCTCGCTGGCTGGCGCCTTGGGCATTGCATCGCATCACATTACCGATTGGTTATACTATGCAGCACGCAAGCTCTGTGGGTGACCTGCTCGATCAAGAATCCTTCGTCTGGAGACATGAGGAAGAGGAGAGCTAGTCGCTCCACGCGTCCAGCTACCTGCCACCGTGAGCGGTTTGGATCGGGATCGCCCCTGCGCTTCGCGGTTCAACAACATGATACAAGGAGCCAATGCTTTGGTAGTGGGACAGGATGATCTACCAACCCTGCTTGTTTGGTGCCTCTTCCCTGCTCTTTCCGGCACGATAGTAGGTACGGGACGCGGTACATCAGCCACACTCTGGGCCACAAGGTCAATACGGGCAGGTAACGACGCTGGCGTCAGAGCTGACGATGCTCTGTCGAGAAGAGTCGAATTGGTAGTTTATCAAACCCCTCCGAGTCCATTCGACTGGGAACCATAGCTTTCGGATGCTTTGAGACCACCCACCCACCAGCCCTTCATCCCCATGTACCTACCTTGATGGCGGGATACAGCAGCAAGTGACCGACCGGGTGCCACCGTCCAGGCTAGGAAGAAGGCGGAGAGAATCAAATATGGGAGACCAGCCATCGACTGAATGAGACTGTGTCTGGCCTTGGGGGGAAAAACCTTGGCAGTGTCCATAGCATTCCTTCCAGGCCCCCATCATGAAACTCGACGGCTTGGGTCTTGGGCGCAAAAAAAAGGAGGAGAGACAGCAACGAAGCCAACGATTATTGGAAGAGACGACGTGAAGCTTAGAGTGGTGGACTAAATGAGGCACCGGCCAGGCGTCGCGCAGTATGTACAGTAGAGCAGGCGCAGGTGTGGGGTGGAGAGAACCTTGCAGCTGCAGTCCGATGGCTGATGATGTGACAGGGGTGCTGGGGCGCGCGGAGAGTGCCAGACGTGATCCGTGATTGGGTCATCCTTGCAAAGGTATGACGACTTTGCGAGACTTTTCCCCACCCAGCCCGATCCATGCCAAAAAAGGGCCACTTTTTCCCGCTCCCAAAAAACCTCCCCCATCCTTTCCACGTCGGGAGCACTGACATTTCAATCCTTCCTTGCAACCAGGTTTTGCTGGAACGCCAAGGGTAGTGCATACGCCTCTTGGCCTCTACATACGACGGAGAGCTGTTCTTGGAGCCGCCGGCTGCCTCGTCTACTCGTTTCGTGTCACTGGAAACCGAGGCACTGACTGGCAATGTCCGTCCAGCGGCAGCTCATACCGTCGCAGTACACTACGCCGTTGTCTTCCCTTTGCCTCTACTCTCCAGTCGTCTATCAGGCAACAGGTCGGCAATCCGCCAGCCCAGCTAATGCCTCATTCCTGATGGCAAATTCTCAGTATTAGTTTTTTTTCATGATCTCCACGATACCAGGATGCACATGCGTGGATGCTTTGTGCGGGCCTTGGTGGAGGATGCTCGAGAAAACAACCCCCCCTGTTTGTCGCCCGTTAGCTCTCATCATCATCACCTCATAGCTTCCCATCTGAGCCGACGTGCTGCAACCAGATGGAGGCACCACCTTGCTTCTGTAGGCGCCGTTTTCTCCTTCTCCAAAGCGACGTTCACTTCGAATCCATACAGATGAGGCACCCGCGTATCAGGCGTACCTCGAAAGGTGACAGTGACTGCTGCACAACCGCCGTCCAATTCTCCAATAGAACAGGGCGCCGCCATTCAAGAAGAGGCGGAAGCTAGGTATGGTAGCGCAACACACCTCCACAAACTGCAAATCCTACTCAATCTGCAGACCACACACCGCCTTCTTCAGCCTATGAATAGGTGAGTAAGACTGCATTGGCCAGAGAGGAACCTGGGATCAGTTGTGATGGTTCCCTCGCGCCCGGCTTCCATGTGTTTCTGCCTCTGTTGTCGACGTTTCTGCATCGCCCGCCGCTGCAGTTCTCGAGATAAAAAAGAAACAATTGTTGGCCCACTATCGGTACAAGTCCTGTGTCACTTGCTCTATTCTTGGCGATACTTGCAGACCAGAGCCAGGGCTCCGTGTTCTGCAGTCCCAGGCCTGTGTGCGACTGGCATCGGCCCAAGGACCGGCCCCATCCCACTTGTCTGCGCCGACACGAGGTACCTCTACCCGACCGATACCTCCCCACGTCACCGCACCATCCTCTCCGGCCGCTGGGCTAAACTTGCGGGGCACACTCCAACTCGAATCACCTGGCCATCCTCGACACACCCGAGCTTGATGCGCGTCCTGTCCCCTCACGCTCGATGACAGCATCCGCACCTCAACCGTCTGAGGGTTGTGCTGCGGCCACTACCGACTGGCTGCCACAAAGCAAGGCACCATGCTTTGCTTCATGGACCGGGAAAGCCCATCGAGATGGCGGCAGTTTCTCAAAGACTGACGCGCGAGGTCAAACACAGCTGCTTTATTGGGCAGTCCGCTGTGTATTTACGACCTTCCAGTGTCTTCCGGTACTTTGGAAACCTGGATTCGTCCTCATGCTTTAAGATCATGGCTGGTTTGTACATTTTCACCCCGCTACTCTCGGACCCCAGTGCCTCTTCCATCTACCCTACACGGCTGTCCTTCTCAACCATGGCCCTTTACTGGAGAAGGACACGGCCCCTCGGGCTAGATACTCGTTTCTCCTCTTGTTCCTGAAGTATTCGTCTCCAGCCTCATACAGCTTGTCCAGGTTTCTTGCCGTCCTGTGGCGTGGCAGTTCGTTGTTGGGGCTTTGGTTCGTCAAATCCAATATTGTTTCCAACTCAAGGAGACAAGGGCGTTTTGTGGTCTGATTTTGCACATGTTTCCGCCGTGGTGGGTACATTTCGTGGGCTACTGCCCGACTTGGAGGGAAATATTCTCCCGGAGATGTGGCTTGGTTTTCTCGGTGTGCTTTTGGTCTCCGAAGATTTGGTGCTAATGTGTCATTTGAGGTTGCAAGGCCTGCGGGTGCGGCGACTTGGTGGTTAGGCATCTTTTCGGGGCCAGCGCCCGGCTGTCTGCCGCAGCGATCAAGGTAGTGCGGGCGACTAGTGTCGTTGTGCCGTGTACGAGTGGCTTGTGGCATTGGGCTCATGTTGGGTGAGATGAGAGTGAGAGAGGTTTGTGACGGCTTAGCAACTGAGCTTTGAGATGAAGGAGCGTTCTGAGCTCCCGAGCCTGCCGGCCTTCTTATGCGAAGTCTCCAGCTCATTCGAATGAGTTGCTGGCCTCGAACCCCCATCAGCCGAGCAGAATTGTCAATGGAAAAGACAATTCAACGGCCCCACGCTTGTGGCTGAGTGACTCTTGATTTGTATTTTACAAGTGGTGGAATTGGTACCCGAGTGAAATTCCAGTCCGTCTTCCACATTCATCAATGAATTGCTGACCCTAGGGCGGCGGTGCTGGATTTGCACTTTGAAGCTCGGCGAAGCGTTATTGGCTACCAAAGTCCTTTGCATTTCCTCTTGGAGAATTCCAATCGCCTTGATGGGCCGCGAACCGGCAGCCTTGCGGCATGAGCCTCAACTGCGGCCAAGTTGGCAGAATGTCGGGCTTTCTCGCAGCCAGGCTGAGAAGGGCTAGGTTCTGTGTAGACATATCCACGCTCAAGTATTATAACACTTCCACCTTCAGTGGCATCTGTTATGCTCGATATTCCGAAGCTTTCCTGAGAGCATGCCAGGAAGATATCTTGCAAGAGCAAGAGTCAAGATATCTCCGAGACGGAAGCCCGACATGCCGAAGCAAAGGGCCATCCGAAAGACCTCGGGGCAGTGGGCCGATCTCAAACCGCAAATTTGTCACTTGTATGCCACCAAGAAACTTGAAGATGTGATCAGCCATTTGGGAGAGCAGCAAAAGTTTGTCGTCACGTAGGTCTCTCTGCCACTGAACTATGTAACCCAGTGTTGATCCGATGAAGCAAGCGCCAATTGGTCTACAGACTAGGTAAATGGGGCTGCAAAAAGTACAACAAGGGAGACGAAGAGGAAGAGGATGGAGATATGGATGGCTCGCCGGAGAGCTACGAAGAAGATGATGCAGATGATATTACCGACAACGAGGAATTCCCTGTGGCCGACGTCCAGGTAACCCTCGATATCCAAAGAGCCAACGTGCTTTGCGCCGTCTCCGACGGCGGGAGCGCCTGGAGGACATATTGTGCCGCAGCCGACTTTGACGACGTGAAAAGCCTGGTTGCTCTCGCCCGGTCCGCAGAGACACTAAAACAATGCCAGATGACCTTAGAGATTCTTAAGCAGCGCGTCTCGCAGCCCTCCGACGCTGTTACAACTTCCTGGTGTCATCTCCTGTACTTCCATGTTTGCGAAGCCATGAGCTACGGAACCGGCCAGAACGAGCTGGCAGAGATGGAGGAGCACACCAAGGAAAGCATCAGTGCCGTCGTTTCGTCAATCATTGCTGGTGATGGCAGCCCCGACGGCAGGCCCAACTTTCTCTTCAGGGAGTCTGGATCGCTCGACATGATCGCTCTCGCCATCCTGGACTCCATCTACGAAGAAAGATTCCTCCTCCCCGACAACGCCGCGGATGACCACTCCCTCGAGACTCTCCTTTGGCAAACTGATGAATGGGTCCTCTCAGGTGACCGCGGCCAGGCAAGCCTGTCCCCGCCCATCCTATTGCTGAAGCAGTGCGCGCAGTGGTGCCAGGAGCAGCTATTCGACGTCTCGGAGAAGCTCATCGGGAACGGCCTCGAAGGCGCCTTCAGGCCCAATCTACGAGTCTCCGCCCGCGAGGACCAGCGGCTCTGGAGAGACCATACCGAGGTGTTTGGCACGCTCTGGAGCCGGCTGGCGGTGCAGGGGCGGTACGATGGCGCGATAGGCCCCGAGTGGAGCCGGGCCTGTGTCCGGAGTCTAGGGGTCTCTTACGAGGAGCTGCTGTCGTGTATGTGCTGGGTCATATTGAGGTTCGATGCTACTAGCCGAGCCGTCTCGGGAGGCGACTTCAGCATCTGGGGGAAAGCACGGGAAGCTGGAGGAGATGGTGGCTGCGACGCGAGAGAGCTCTTCGAGCGGGCCGAGATCGCGGCGCGGGGGGTCACTGGATGGGGTTCGGGGGACCTATGGAAGGCGTTCCTTTTCGCGTTCAGGAGCGTCAACAGCGTCACGGTCACGGATGGGGAAAGGGGGGACGTTGAGCTGCGTGAGCAGGTTGGAGAGTTCAAGGACGCGTTGATGACGGAGTTTAGGGCGTTTGTCGACATGACCCTCGGGACATTCGACGACGGAGTGGGAGAGGACGAGCTTGCTTCTGGGGCGCAGATGATGTTGGGGATGGGCCCGATTTTGCCTGACGGTCTGGGGGACGGGTATATCTTTTGATAGCCCCGGTGCGGTCTGGGATAAGATCCTTGACCTCGGCGTTTTGTTTATGGTAGCAGGAGTTACCGGGCTTGGCCGGGATGGCCTTTGTAGTTTCGACAGAATACACGTTCGCCAAGCGGGTCGTTAGGTGGTTGTTTGTGTCTTTTCGTTATTGGCGTTTATCAGTCTCTTGAGTAGTCTCGACTTCTGTCATCATCGACGCTTTTGCATTTTGAAGATGTAGGCGGGAAGTCCAATAAGCTCCTTTCGTGTAAGTTGAAGCCTACTTCAAGGGTGGCTGTAATTCAGAAGGGGGTGCCGAGCAACGGAGTGTTAGGCCAATTGGTTTAGGAAGGTCAACTCGTTTGCAAACTCACCCGCATCTCTCAACACTCTGCACCGTGATTAGCGATGGTTGGTCTTATCAATTTTCTATCAGACAACTCACTAGGTAGATCTACAGCAAAAGTATTACCACTCGGGGTAACGTTCTGCGGGGTTTGATAGTGCGAGGGCAGAAGAGGGATTTGGTATCGCTCTCAGCATTCGTGGTACGCTCAAGGACAAAAATGAAGTTGGCCACAAATATGGTTAACTGATCTTCTCAGAGAACTTGGAGGAGGGATGGAGGACTTCGGTAAGTTCAAGGTAGATTACAGCGCGGATCAAGTCATGAAGCTCTTGCATCCCTGGGACGATTACAATTTCTAGTCCACCTCAGGCGATACTTACTATGTTTGGCATCTGGACCATCAAGGCGAGGGTGTCTATATTACCGACGCAGGTCGGCGTTTTGTTCCGAGATTAGACCGGCAAGGACATCGATGACGGCGGGTTATCATATTTTTACCACACCAGACGTGCCGTCCCGATCATGAGCGTGCCAGTGGCTCTCGTGCCCTCGCTCAATGGTTCCCTTCCCGGCATAGATGGAACCTCGGGCAACTACACCGCCATCAATGCCGTTGGAGTTCACGGAGGAGGGTGGCCTGAAAAGGTCTCCTCGCGCAGAAAGAGCTTGCGAAAACAAACCGTTTTCTGACCCCCAAGCAGCCCTAGTATTGCATATACTTCTTGCTGGGTTTCTTTCACGTCATGTCAAAAACACACCCTCACTTTCTCTAGGCTGTGTACCTATATTGTATTCCGCAAGGCGAAAGGCTTGCTCTCAACACGACATGCATTTCAGATAAGACTTCACTGAAGCAAACCCAGTCGGGATAATTTGGTGATGCAAGAGTCTCGTAGCCTGTGAGAGCAGACTGGTTACGTAGGACTTTGACAAGGCGAGAGAGCGGTGGAGGGTTCGGGCAGGAGATTGTTCAATGGCCAATATGGATTCCTACATTTTCAATTTGTTAAGCTTCGCTAATTTTGAACTGATCGCCCCTTGAGCGTCAAAAGAGACACAAATATAAGACATGAATCAAGTACATCTAGCAACCCATGTTTGCAAATCACAACTTTTATTAACTGCCCCGTCCCAAAACTTACCGGGGGGCGCTCATTTGACCGAAAGCCTTTCAGCCAAGCAGTTTTTGAATGTCTGCCATCCGGGTCTCCTGTGTCTTTTTGCCCTTGTTCTTCTCCTGGAACGCCTTGCCCACAAGTGTCCGCTTCTCGTGCTGGATATCCAGTACGCGCTCCTCGACAGTCCCCTCCATGACGAGGCGCCACACCGTCGTCGGCCGCTTCTGTCCCAGGCGGTGCACGCGGTCAATGGCCTGATCCTCAATCGCCGGCGCCCACCAACTGTCAGCCAGAATCACGGTATCCGCTGACACTAGGTTAAGGCCGACGCTGCAGACGGCCAAGCTGGCGAGCATTACGCGCGTGTCGGGATCGTGGTCTAGGGCGTGGATGGCCGCATCACGCTTCGGTGCTGTCATGGAACCATCAATGCGGGTGAATTTGTATCCTGCCTCGACAAGCTGGTTCTGAATGATGGTCAGAAACGATGTCCACTGTGAGAAAATGATAACCTTGGACTTGGGATCCTTGGTCGTGGCCTGGAGGATCTTCAAGAGGGCCTCGGTCTTGGAACTCTTCGCGTTGCTGTCAAAGTCCTCATCATCTTCCTCGCCACCCTCAGGGGCGGGCTCGAGCAGTGCATCTTCTGCGAGCTGGTTGCGGCACATGGGGCACTTGTGCTGCGTTTCGATCACCTGAGAGATACAGGCGCGGCAGAAAACGTGCTTGCAGTGCGTGATGACGGGTTTGTTCAGAGTATCGAGGCAAACGGCGCAATCTTCTTGCGTTTCGATGTAGAGGCGCAGGGCCTCTTGCAAGATTTTGGTGTTCTCTGAGTTGAGAACGACAACGGATTGGCCTTCAAGGGCTGCAAGGAGATCGTCGATTCTCTTGCGGCAAAGCGTCCAATGATTGCACCTAAGTCTGGGTCAGTCAGAGTATTTCTATTGGGACAGGTCGCTCTTACACCTGTCGCAGGCGAAGGAGTCGTTCCAGAACACTTTGAAACTGGCCCTTCACTCCGCTCGCATTATTCTGATAATCTTTCAGAGCCACTTGTGCTTCAGATCTGTGGTTTCCAATCAGCAGTGTTGCAGAGTCATATCCGACGAACTTACAGCAAGGCCTCATATTTGTTCTTCTCATCTGGCCTGAAGGCAATGCGGTGGACGTATTCTTTCTTGAGCGGTAGTTTGAGGTCGACGAACTTCATGTCCTTCTTGCGTCGTAAACAGAGATCTCGCATCAACAGTTGGAGAAGGGCCTCGGCTGTCTTGTCGCCCTGTGCAAGAGGCCGCGAAATTACAGTGGTGAATATGGCAGGCTGTTCGACACCTCCGGTGATGGAAAGAAACTGCAGCAAGGAATGGAAATCCTTGATGTTGTTGATGCTGTAAATCGTTAGCGTTGTGCCCCTAAATTACATCGTCATGTGATAAAAGGATGAAGGGATACTGACATTGGAGTTCCTGTGAGCACCCATCTGGACTGCGCGTTGAGCCTTCGGGCGGCAACGGCAGCCTTCGTCTTCGCATTTCGAATGGTGTGACCTTCATCAAGTACAACTCTTCTCCAGTTTGTAGCCATAAGCGGTCCCAACGGCGTCTCGATTTTTTCCTTGCCACCCTCAGTTGCAAGCTTGTTATAACTGGTAATAACGACCTGATACTGTGCCAGCTCATTCTTCGTTGCCTTGTTGTTTCCGTGATATGTGAAGATCTTCGGCAGGTGCTCTTTCTTGACGTGCCTGTGAATCTGCTGTTCCCAGTTGCTCATGACGCTCAAAGGAGCAACAATAAGGGTCGGGCCAGGGCCACCAGTTAAGATGAGACTGATGACTTGCAGCGTCTTGCCGAGACCCATGTCATCAGCCAATATGCCCCCAGAAAGAAGCTTGGGTGGGTTTGACACCACAAAGTTGGTCGCCATATTGTACATGCCACGCCCTCTATGGTCCCATTTCCACAGCTGAATGCTTTCCTGAGTGCCCTTAGCAGGAAGTTGAGGATTCTCCTTGGATGCCATCCAAGCCAGACCCTACATATTAGTTAGCCCTTGAGATATTCTTTTTGAGGTACTTAACGTTCTCCATGCTAACGGTTGAACTCGCCGAACAACTTTAACGTATTGTGAGGGCAAGCCTTACCTGTAACTGGTATGGCAGCAGTGTTGACTCGAGAACAACAGGTTGCTCCGCCATTGGCATCTTGGACAAGAAGTCTTCGTCCACAACAAATGACTTGACAGCATCTCCACGGGGTTGGCCCTGCACTGCCTGGCTGGCTAGTGCCAGCTCCTCCAGTGATACCTCGGGCTCCGCCGTGCCACCATCCAGACCAACTGTTGACTGACTGCCCTTGATGCCCAACATCTTCCGCTGTGCCTCAGCCTCGGCCCTCGTCTTCTTGAGCTCGCCAGCCTTGATAAGTTTGTCTCTCTTCAGCTTTTCCTCTAGCACCAGGCGGTTGATGGGGTTGCTAGTCCCATATATCTGCAGACGAATGGGGCAGTCGAACATGCCCTTCTCTCCTGTAAGAACAGCTTCTATCGCAATTTCATCCCGATCCTGACTCACAGGTGAGTAGATTGCTCGATCAAACCAGTAGAAGCACATACCACATATGGTGCTAGCTTCTCTACCACTTTACGTGGCAAATGGCCAATCTGGACACCCATGACATTGCATACCCGAATGGCATTCCGATCGTACTAAGGCCATTTTAGAAACATTCTTGATTGAGGGCAAAGACGGGATCCTCGACCCCTGGGATTCCCTCTATCAAGCGCAGCAGCAGTAGAACTATACCTGGTTGTTGGGTTCTCGCAGACAAACGACCACTTCGCCAGGGGAGGCATAACCATTGTAATAGCGCACACCGACGATCTTGTTATCTAAATCGGCTTATTAGAATAGAAAGGCAAACATAAGCAGAGGCTCAATACCGAGAGTTCCGTATAGCTCTCGTGGTGGACCGTCCGGAGCTTGAGTCAAGTCAATCAGCTCCTCATCTGTGTCATAGTATGTATGAGGTTGAGACGAAGGGCCAGGTATAACACCAAAGCTGACAGCTGGCTGGGTGTTTGATCGTGGATTCCCGACAATTTGAGCGCCCGTCTGGCCGCTCAGGGTTACCAGGCGGTTGCCAGCCGCTCTCTTGATCGGTCGCGAGGCGACATTGTCGTCGCTGTCGCTACTAACGAGGTCGATGACGGGTGGACCGCGCTTCTTGGGTGGCATCCTCAATGTGCAAAACCCCGGTCCTGGGGCCGTACCTCAGGAGCCGAATTGGGACTAACTCGTGGAACGATGGAGCAGAACGGGAAACTTGTCGGCTTTGTATGGTTATTAGGTCGGTACCGAATATTTCCCTATCCGGCTTCCCAGAATCTCACAAGCAGACGGGAACCTCATACAACTGGCCCAACCGCAGAACGCGTTTGTCGCGTATCGCTGGGCCTAGCGGTTGGGATCGACACAGGGAACCGTTTGAATGTGGATGGTGTGTGAGGCTTGATTTGTGGCTGATGAGCGGAAAGGAATATGGGGCTTCAACTGCCTGAGCACGCCATCGTGGAGGAGGTCCACATCAGCCAATCACCACCAAGTGCAAAATCACGACATTTCACGTGACCTTCCTCGGCGGCCCGTTTGGGTGGTCTCTGGCCAACAACGACGACTTTGCGGCTCTTGCTCCTTCACAACTTCACTTCATTCATATTTTTCGGTCTCAGGCGGTTATCTGTCGAATTTGCTATCCTATGGTTCCCAGATTAAAACGAAAACGCGGCAGGTTGAGCTCCTCGTCGGCGCCTATCCACTCTATATAGTGGATAGATCAGTCATTCCATCATCAGTCGTCAGTCTACCGACAAGCGCTCTTCGGCTCTCGGCATTCTCAGCCATATATCAAACACGACGTTTCCAAGCTCGGATCGTCATCGAAGCCAATTATGCGAACGCCCATAACGAAATCGAACATCATCGGCTCTCTCCCACCTACTGCTTCGGCAGTCGGCGGCCGTACGCCGAGTAGTAGCCGCACTTGGCCACATGGCTGCTCTTGCTCGTCTTCTCATTGAAGATGTTGCATCCTCCCTTGGCGACGTTGGGGGGGTGTAGACTGCGACACGGTCAGCTAATTCGCTGTCAAGCCGGCCAAGCAAGACTTACGGTGAAGGGATACAGCGAAGTCGCTGCCCCTGTTGCAGACTCGGTGGACGCCGAGCTCGTCTGCCATGTATGCCACGGCATTCTCCTCGTGTGTTCTTTCAGAGATAACCTTCATGGGTTGCTCTTCGTCACCTTCGGGGAAGGCATATCGGATCTCAGTCAGATCGCCTTTAAGGATCTTCATGAGGCAGTGGGCGTTGCCGTGGTCGTGGATGGGACTGCCCTTGCCCGGGGACCAAACAAGCACAAGCTGCACTGCGTTAGCCTGATGTCTGCCACGAAGTCGTGGCATCGGCGTCTACTCACGAGGTTGCTTTTCCCGTTGCCCTCGTCGACAAGGTTACGAGTGTATCCCATGCTCTTTTCTGCGAATGCGAATTGTATCCATTCGCTCTCTCTTGTGTTATACTCCTCCATCAGCTTCATCAACTCTTTGACGTCAACATCAGCGGAGTCCAAACCCGACGACGGGCCAAGTGCCTCCTTCAATGCCAATACGAGCTCGTCGAACCGGTTGCTGTCGTGCTTGAGGTCCTGCCCGAAGGCGGAGGTGATCTTGGTCAGGATGTCGAGGGCCATGGCTACGGATTCTATCAAATGTGTTGTTTCTCTGGATGGTGTTGAGTTGTTGAGTATTCGGCGTGCGGGGTTTCGACTGCTTTTGCTCGTTGGTGATACGATTCTGCCCGGTCACCAGGCCTGGCTGGCATTACCTGATGGAAATGGGCTGACCTGACGGAACTACTGGTTGATCCGACCTCGGACAGTGGGTCGTCCCGTCGTGCCTATCTGGCTCTCTGAGACAGGGTCAATTTATCCACGTTGTCAGAGCTGTTGGCGCTGGATCAGCGACCATTTTGGCGGTTGGCGGATGGGTCTCCAGAAATGCGCGTTTCTGGTTGGACGAGATAACCACTTGGACAACTCGAGTGATCCCGGCAAAGCCGCTGATAGGCGACGAGCGGCCCCGATAACTGGTGTGGTCAGATGGCCAAACACAAGACGAGATGGGTTTGGTTAGAGTTTCGTGGTCCAAGATCTAGTTAATTACCGACTTAATGGCGTGCCCCTTTTAAAGCAGAAATCCAATACAAAACTGGACGTTTGACAAAAGTGATGCTAATTCTCTCTATTCAAATGCATGGACCCGCTCCACTGGCGCTGACCGATAGCCGCACCACCTTTCAGTCAGCTGAGCGGGTCCAGGTGGAGCCCGTTGCCGGAAACGGGGATCATCTGTATTACTCACACTGAGATTGCTCATCTTGAGTTTGAAAGAACTGCCGCCACCATGGAAGAAAATTCAAGTGATTTAATACTTATGATCATTCAGCGGTAGTTTTCATCTATCTCAAAAATTAATTTTTTGCACCAAACTGCGTTTCTTGCTGTCAATGTTTTGAGACTCCAATCCAAGTAGGACACACTTGGTTGCGACCCATCCACACTTAGAAATGGCAACTGTTAGCGCCACAGCGACTTGTCCTTCAGACTTACAACACATCGGAGCACGGCAACAAACCTTGGAAGGATTGAGTCGAAATGGTACGACGCCATGCTCGCCTTGCAAGGAGGATGTCGGCTGGCGAAAAATCGTCAGAAACTTCACACCATCGTGAGTTGCATAACGAGTCTACCAAACTCGCCAGTCTAACAGGGGAGTAGATGGTTCGCAGTTACCATGGGCACAGGCATAGTCTCGATCCTCCTCCACAACCTCCCTTACAACACGACATGGATCTCACATGGGCTTGCGGTCGCCTTTTTCATCCTAAATATTGGTCTTTTCACCGTTTTCACCGCAATTACTATCCTGCGCTATGCTCTATACCCTGAAATATGGAGGGCTATGGTTGTACACCCTGCTCAGTCCATGTTTCTTGGCTGCTTTCCTATGGGACTCGCAAGTGGGTTTACAAAGTCATAAGATGTTTAGTATAGTGTGCTAACCTGTATTAGCTATCATAAACATGATGGTATTTGTATGCGCACCTGTCTGGGGCCAGTGGGTTGTCTCTTGGGCCTGGGGGTTGTGGTGGTTGGACGTCATTCTGTCCTTGACGACCTGCATAACAGTGCCATTTGTCATGTAAGTCACCCTCGCAACCTCGAAACCCAGCACTCAGTATAGGACTAATTGTTTCCCCAGGATTCATCAACACCGCCCAGGGCTTCAAGCAGTAACAGCAGCTAGTCTACTGCCTATCGTCCCAGTTGTAGTTGCATCTTCAACTGGCGGCATAGTTGCTGAGGTTCTTACTAACCCAGACCATGCGTTCATCACACTCGTCGCATCCTACATCCTCTGGGGCATCGGTATCTGCTTCTCAAGCATGGTCCTCGCACTCTACTTCCACCGCCTGACTATCCACAGTCTTCCATCAAAGGAGGCCATCGTCTCTGTTTTCCTGCCCATCGGGCCCCTGGGGCAAGGTGGTTTCGCTATACAGCAGCTGGGGAAGGTATCATTCAAGCTGCTCCCTCAAACAACGGCTTTTAACAGAGTTGCTCCCGAGGCCATGCACGGCGGAGAGATTATCTACTTCCTGGGCATTTTCCTTGCCCTAATCATGTGGGGGTTCGCGCTGGTTTGGCTGTCGTTCGCGCTCATCAGCATCGGGACAATGCAGAAGTTCCCATTTAACATGGGATGGTGGGGGTTCACATTCCCGCTTGGTGTGTTGGCGACTTGTACAGGCATGCTCGCTCAGAACCTGGATAGTGGGTTTTTCCGGGTCATGACCATGGTTCGTCTCCTTGTTCGCTCCTTACTAGGCTCATTCTACTAACTGATTTGCTAGACATTCTCACTTTCCGTTTTTTGTCTATGGTTGTTAGTTGCTATTGGAACGCTCCATCAGGCTATTTCAGGCGAGATCTTCTTCGCGCCCTGTTTGAAAGACCTGAGGAACAAGCAAACACAGGCTGGGTCGGATCGAAGAGTCTAAACAGCCAGGGCGGTCATGGAATCATGTCCTTGGTTCTACCGGATATATCAGCCACATAATTTGTTCAAAATTCAAGATTAATCTCAGAACGCGCTCTTGGCAACGCCCTTGGGTATATTCCGTTTCTGTTTGACTCGTTCTTCGAGACAAGAGCCGCGTAAGGTGTGAGCACATAGTACTTGATCTCTGTTGCCACATATGGCTGCGGAATGTTCCTCCTTTTGACGGCAACGTATTCAGCTTTCATCATCTCAGACTCACAATCCGGAGAACACTTTGAACGAAGTTGACTGTCGCGTTGAGTCCTTTAGTTCACTGCACTTTGTAATCTATACATGTTTGGAAGCTCAAATGGGTTTTCTCTTGTTAAACAAGTATCAAAGTTATTGCTCGATTGATGGTCAGCAGCTGGGGACCCCAAAGACGCTAATGGCGGGGTCGATGAGGTGCAGGGCGGGCAGGCCTAAAACTCTGTGGCGGGGCACCACCAGGCGCAGCTCACTGGCCCTGGGAAAGTTTGAATAATAATTGTAATTGCGCTTGCACCCACTGGCCGACAACCATTTCGCACACCCCGCCACCACCCAGATGCGACTTGGAGGAAATCAACATTTTCGCGCTTCCTGAAGTGACACAGCATCCGCGCAACAGCTCGGACTCGAGCACGGCGCCGCCCCATTGATCTTACAATGGCGTCCTCTCTTGAATCTGCGGGGTTCAAGGACATGCTGAACAGTGAGTACGCCTTCCACCGCGTCGCCGCCAATGGTTTTGACGTCCCTTGTGCTGACGCTCCTTGTGTACAGATGTCCACGATGTGTGGCAGCAAGTCCGCATCCCCGTGATTCTGTTTACGGCTTTCGGTCTGCTCGTTCTCCGTTTCTATCTCCACAGCACCGAGGAGAAGGGAGAGCTGAAGGCGATCCCCAAGGCCTACAACAGAGAAAAGCCCGAGGCCAAACCTGTAGATGAAAAGAAGGATGTGAAGAAGGATATCAAGCCTAGCTCGCCGAGCCCCGCCACCGAGTCGAAAGCGCCGAAATCGAACGGACCCAAGAGGATAAAGGGCGGTCTGGTCAAGCGGACCGCTTCGGACTCCTCGAATGGAGAAGCTCTGGCCCGTAAGATAAGGCCTCTGATCTTCTTCTCGAGCATCACTGCAAACACGCCCAAGATCGCAAAGGAATACGCCGAACGCCTGGAGAAGGAGTTGCAGAAGGCCGCCACGGACACCAGCTGCTCTTTTACTACTCCCGAGGTCCTCGATCTTGCCGAGGTTGACTTTGACGACTATTTTATCACCCCCCCTAAGTCGGAGGAGGACCCTGCCGACCTGTTCTACCTCTTCCTGCTGCCGAGCTACAACATTGACACGATCAACGACACCTTTTTAGAACACCTCCAGGAGACTCACCATGACTTTCGTATTGATACTGCCCCGCTGTCTTCGCTTCTGGGATACTCCGTGTTTGGCTTTGGTGACAGGGAGGGCTGGCCAACGGAAGAAGACGGCTTCTGTTTCCAGGCCAAGGAGGTTGATAAGTGGATGGCCAAACTGACGGGCCGGAAGAGAGCCTTCCCAGTTGGAATGGGCGACACAAAGAGAGATTACACCGAGCGGTTGTCCGAATGGTCTGAGGGTGTCGTTGACGTACTCGGCATGCTGGCGAAGACGGGAAGCCTAGGCGAGGGTCTTCCTGGAAGTGGCGCCCCAGAAGAGAGCGATGACGAATCCGCGGAAGAGGAGGACGACGAAGTCCTCATTGAGGACTCGGAGGCCAAGCCCGAGAAGCTCAAGAATCGCAAGAACATCGACGATGTCGAGGACCTGGGACGCATCATGAAAAGCTCCAACCCTGAGGCAGACACAAAGAGTCGTGCGGCGACAGCACCCATCGCCGTCGACTTCACAACGTACGGCAAGACGGTGCAAAAAAAGACGCCCACGTCCGCCGCCAAGGAGATGGTGCCCAAGAACTCGCCCACCTACGCATCGCTCACGAAGCAGGGCTACTCCATCGTTGGCTCACACTCGGGCGTTAAGATCTGCCGCTGGACCAAGTCGGCCCTCCGCGGCCGCGGCTCTTGCTACAAGTACTCCTTCTACGGCATCAACTCGCACCAGTGTATGGAGACGACACCCTCGCTGTCATGCTCCAACAAGTGCGTCTTTTGCTGGCGCCACGGCACGAATCCCGTCGGCACGACCTGGCGCTGGGTTGTCGACCCTCCAGAGCTTATCTTCGACGGCGTCAAGGCCAACCATTACAACAAGATCAAGATGCTACGCGGAGTCCCCGGTGTTCGCGCCGAGAGGTTCTCTGAGGCCATGCGCATCCGGCATTGCGCTCTCTCCCTCGTCGGCGAGCCCATCTTTTACCCTTACATCAATGAGTTCCTCGGCATGCTCCACGCCGAGCGAATCTCCTCCTTCCTTGTCTGCAACGCCCAGCACCCGGACCAACTCGCCGCCCTCAAGGCCGTGACGCAGCTATACGTCTCCATCGATGCCTCCAACAAGGAATCCCTCCGCAAGATCGACCGCCCCCTGCACCGGGACTTTTGGGAGCGCTTCCAGCGGTGTCTGGACATCCTGAGGGAGAAGCGTTTCAAGCACCGCACCGTCTTCCGCCTGACCCTGGTTAAGGGCTTTAACGTCGACGACGAGGTCGAGGGCTACGCCCAGCTCGTGGAGAAAGGTCTGCCTTGTTTCGTCGAGATCAAGGGTGTCACGTATTGCGGCACCTCAACGGCGTCCAACGCTGGCCTGAGCATGTCCAACGTCCCCTTTTACTGGGAAGTAGCGGAGTTTGTCAAGGCGCTGGAGAAGAGGCTTAATGAGAAGGGTCTCAAGTACGGCATCGCGGCGGAGCACGCCCACAGCTGCTGTGTCCTGCTCGCGAGTGATCGCTTCTATGTTGACGGCAAGTGGCACCCTCGCATCGACTATCAGCGCTTTTTCGAGCTGCTGGAAGAGCGTGGTCCGGACGGTGACTGGAAGCCGGAGGACTACATGGGCGAGGCGACGCCCGAGTGGGCTACATGGGGTAACGGCGGTTTCGACCCCAGAGACGAGAGGGTGGACAGAAAGGGCAGGAAGATTGAAAGGTAGTCGATTAGGAGTAATAAGCACACAAAAGTTTGGGCCAGCCGCGGTTTCCCGGGACGAGACAGTATTATGAAATTGTGCGATTTCATGAACCTTACTTCTTGCCTAATTCGTCCCTGCCAGGATCGTCAATATACACGTGGTTTCCTCTTACAAAACCTTCTATCAAAACAGCCCAGCCGGCCAGGTATTGTACATTGAAAAGTCGTGATTCCTCCTCCTTCCTCGTTCTTTTCTCAGGATGCCGGGGATTACGGATGGATAAGTGTGATTTGCAGCATCACGCCATTGGGTGGAGTGACTGCGGATTCTTAGTTGTGCGCCGGAAAAGATTTTCCGGTATGGGAAAAGTGTGAGAGTGGAGGGGAACTCGTTGTGATGGAGAGTTGCTGCGTCGAAAACGAGATTCGTTTAGTCCAGGCCAACGGTGGGCATGTTGCCGAGGTCGGCGTTGATGCCGCCCTGGTACTGGCCGATGACGAGGGAGTCGTCGTAGGCGATCATCTCGGCGAGGACATCGAGAACAGGCTAGGGAAGAGTCAGCGACACTGATTACCAATAAGAGATGATGCACAATATCGTTCTCACCTTGGGAACAGTCTTGTCGTAGATACTGATCAGGTCACCGGGCGTAGGGTAGACCTTCAGGCCCTTGTAGAACGCAAGCGCAGCTTCAACAGCGCGCGTGGCTGTATCATCACTACTGTCAGCAAATGACACCATATTGCCTTTGTTGGAAATGTCCGTATGGGGGTTGGACTGACGGTCTGCAGAGAGAGTCTCTCCCTCGGAGACCTGCTGAAGGAAGTAGGCCTCCTTCTGCTCGACATCCGTAGGGAAACCCTCGTCCTTGGCGTCATTGACCGCCTGCTTGATCGCTTGACGCTGACGAACGGTCTCCTGTTGGGCCTCTTCCTTCTCGGCCTTGTGCTGTCTGCGCTCGTTCCGGCGCAACTCTCTCCGGAACTCGGCCTTGTTGCGGCGCTGGTAGTCGAAGTAGGCGGCGTAGGCTTTCCGGGGCATGGGGTCAGCAAAACAGCTCTATATCACCAATTCCTCGAGGTTTTCCGAGCATCGACAGAGCCGCACGCTAGTCTCAAGGCGCGTGGAGGGGTCGAGGCAGACTCACCGACCAGGCCGGTGACGGCGGCAGCGACCGATGCCGTCACTATCGTCGACGTCTGGGACATTTTTGGAGGTTTCGGGGGGCTTTTGCGAACGAAAGTTTGGCTCTAGGGCTGCAGCAATGGGGAGCTGATGAACAGACAAAAGATTGCCGAGAGATGCGCTCGGGTTAGAGAGGCTGCGCTTGGAGAGTTTGGGGGATGATCGGAGGGCCAGGGAGACAACTGGCGAGGTTTCGTTGACGGAGTGAATATCGAAAGAAAGAAGCTCTATCGGGAACTGATGGAGCTTCCTCTACCAATTTTTTTAGCCTCTGCGCCATCGTTCCCAGGTCGCGTTCTCTGGCTGCCAAGCAGCCGCTGTGGGTGGGTCCGGAGGCACGGACCAGTGCAAGTGGGCGTGACGAATCATCGAATCGACAGCTCACACTGCACTGGTGCACTAGGGTCTGTTGTTCACTGGAGAGGGAGGTTACGTAGCGGGATGGGTGCCGCAGCGTGTCCTTGTCCACTGTCCTTGTCCGCGTCCGAGTAGGTGCCGTATCTTAACGTCCAATGTGCAGGGGTCCGGTCTCCTCGACGGCCATCACAGCACGACAGCTTCCCATTCCACAGACTGCAGACGGTGCATGAAACACCATCGACCCGACCCAACCTACAACTTCACACGAGGGGGCTTTGTTCTCGCCCTTTCTATACAGGAACAACCAGATTTCCATGCGCAATCAGCGCCTCTAGACAACAGCACCTCCGCGCTTCACGTCAGCTTAATTGCCCATCATGTCAGAGGATCGGGAGCGCAGTAAGATCTCGCTCCGAAGCGGCAAGAGGAAGGCTCGCCCACAGATTAGTGCACCGCGCCAGATCTCGGAACCCATTCTGCAAGATGGATCGGGTCCAGTACGGCCTCCCGACTCGAGGCCAATGGCTGATGCAGGCCCCCTCCGGCTCAGCCAAGGCTTCGGCCGCCGCCGCAAGCTGGAGGAGGAAAGGTGAGCAACACTCCCAGGATGGGGCCGATGGAGGGCGGCATTGAGGCTTCGGAAGCTGACAGCCAAATATACAGACCTCGGACTTGGTGAAACGACGGTACTCGACGCGGTTTAATAACCTGCCGAACGACTTCGATGTGAACAATCCGCCGGTACCGGCTATGCCATCCCTCGACAAGTACGAGTTTCGCCAGCGCAGGGGAGCACTCACATCTTCAAGCCTTGGAGGCGACACAGCCCCTGCTCCGGTCGTAGATATAAAGACATTGCGAGATCCTGGCTTGGTGCCAGATCAATGTGGGTGCTAGGCCTCATATTGCCTCGCTTCCAAAAATGACTAATCCCTGGGTAGATGTCGCCAGCTTGCTCAGTGAAGCATCCGAAGACCAGATCCGCGAGTTCGAGGAGAGCCTGCGCAGCCTCAAAGGCCGGGCCAATGCAGATCTGCAGCAGAATGTTATGCAGAACCGCACCCAATTCATCAAGATCAGCAAGGAGGCCGAGAAACTCAAGAGCGAGATGCGGGCGTTGAAGAACCTCATGACCGATCTCAAGGTCAACACCACAGCGCTGCGCCAGGCCTCGAACAATGGGAACGACGAGTCGTCTAGCCTCAGTGGAGAGCTCACGACGGGCATGAGCAAACGGGACAAGCGAAGCTCGGTCGCCGACCGTAGCGCTCTGTGGAATTCACAGATGCAAGCCCTGTACAAGAACGTTGAGGGATCTCAGAAGTTTCTGCCCAACTCTTCCCGTCGCCACGTCATTCAGAATGCTGGCGCATGGATTGAGTTGGACAACGCCACTTACAAGTCTCGCCGAGCTATGCAGATATTCCTCCTGAGCGACCACCTCCTCATTGCCTCTCGCAAGAAAAGGAAGGCGGATGTGCCTCCACGCGAGGCACAAGGCCCCCTCGTTAAGCTGGTTGCCGATAGGTGTTGGCCACTGCTTGATATCGAGGTGGTCGATATGGCAGGATCGAGCGACAACTCTACGACCAGGAACAAGCTAGCGGATGCCATCATGGTCAGAGGTGTCGGCCAGGAGTCCGTCATCTATCGAACTGAGAAGCCCGAAGACATGGAGAAGAACAGTCTGCTTCTAAACATCCGCAAAGCGGTGGAGGAGTTACGCAAGGAGAGACAATCGGAATTGGAGGCGAACAACAAAGCCAAGGAGACCATCAACTACTTTGCATCCCGAGACCCGGGTCTGCTTCAGAAGACAGAGCTGTTGGAGACTCTATCCGATATCAAAGACATGCTCATCGAGGTGGATGGAAAGCAGCAGAACCTGCGATGGGTCGAAAGCCAGATGGATGAGTTGGATATCGATATTGCACTGCAGAGCTTCGAGCCGGCTGTTGGCCGTGTCGAAAAGCTCAAGACCCTTGCTCGAGGCCTGAAGAACAACGCGGTAGCGCAGGACTTCATCAGTTTCAAGGTCGAAGAGCGATGCGCCAAGTTGGCGGGCATGATTATTCGCGAGCTGGAAACGACGCATACTGCGCCTACGAAGAATAAGCGCAACATCAGCTGGTTGGCCAGACTGGGCTACGAGGACAGAGCTCGTGAGGCCTATCTGCTAGCGAGGCATAACATCATCCAGAAGAGGTCGAGGTAAAGTCGAACATTGGACCGCGTGACTAGGGCCAACTGCTGACCGTCTTTAGGCAATGCATCTTCCAGGGTGATTTGCACTTGTACATCTGGGAAGTCTCGTTTGTCTACTTCTCACTCATCCGCAACACCGTGAGCTGCTTTCAGTCATGCTTCCCCCCGCCAATGATGAGCGCCTGCGTCAAATGGGCCAAGGAAGAGGTAGAAACCTTCAATGCCATTCTTGCCCGTCAGCTCAGTGGTACTGAGCGCGGCGGAAAGGTGTGGAATGACTGCATGGAGCGGGCTCACGAGCACGCAAAGATGTTGAACGAGGTGCAGCTGGATTTTCGTACTCTCGTTGGACGGGACCTGGAGCAGCCCTCGGGAGTCGCCAGTCCTGTCGGCCTCGGGCTGTCGTAAACGAAAGTGCCAGAGTACCAGCGAGTCGTTGAAGCACGTGGGTGATCCAAACTAACCACTGTAATAGTCGATGGTAGATGAGATAATGTTCATGGTAATGGGAAATGACTGACGGGGCCGAACATTGTGTGGTCTGTTTGGTGAAAAGTCAAGCAAATGATACTGAGACATTGACGGCAGAGTGGCTGAAGGGCCGCGATCACTGGCATGTTGGAGAGCATTTTGGGTCCTTGAGGCTGAGTCGGGGGCCCCGGTCTGGCAACTGTTTACCTGCGACGGCGTTTGCTACTTAAGAAATGTATAAGCGTGGGACCGTTGGCTTGCATCTAGCTGAAGACGAAAAATGGAAACACGATTGAATGAAAGAACCAAGCAAGGTGATTGAAGCACATGGAAACGGATGAGGTGAAGGTGATTCGAGGGTACGCGAAGCTAAAGCCAGAGTAATGCGAGAAGGTACTTCACGGGCGTACCCTTATGCCGGGGTCGATGCAGCAAGTGGGGGTGCTGAGAGGAGACAACCTGACAAGCTATTGCCTCAGTGCAGCGTATCGGGCTAAGCGAGTGCAGTCCAGACCGGGGCCTGACGTCCAAGGCAATCTCCTCCTCCAGTCCGCCGTCCCGTTATTTGGCCTGTGTCGTGCCTGGTCCCCCATCCACCACCCAGTGTCCCTACCTTGGTACTCACTTTTGCCCCGGTCTGGTTTTGCTACCTACCTACTGCAACCAGCTGAGCAAAGCAAAGCACCGCACCACGCACGCCGCACCTGCACCCTGCACCTGCACCAGCCCAGAAAGCACCACCTTCCACATCGCAAAAATCCCCAGCGCCCAACATCGACGCCCTTCTTATCCATCCACCAGCAACAGAGAACATAATCCCGCTCCACCCCACACACTTGCGCGAACGCTTCCCCCGTTGTGTTTCCCCCCTTGCCGCCGAATACTCGATTGCAATCCTCTCTACCATCTGGTCTTGGACGAAGCTCTGACCGCCTTTGACGATTCGCCGCCAGCCCCACGCTAGGATTGAGGTGCTGTGCTAATCTGAATACCGCGACCGGCTGCTGAAAACAACGTCATCCTCACCAATCTCGACGACGACGACGACGCTGCCATCCTTTGCACTTCACCCTCCCGCCACTTGCGACCGGGTGCCCTATCTCCAACCCGAACATTCCAATCCCCTAGACGACTTTCAGCATGGATACGAACATGGAGGATGTCGGCCGCGTCCCCGCCGATCTGCCCTCCGCCCAGAACCTTGAGCCCACCACGATCCCGACCCTAGATGGCTGGATCGAGAGCCTCATGAACTGCAAGCAACTTGTTGAAGCCGACGTTCAGAGACTCTGCGAGAAGGTCAGTTCAGTCCTTCTTGAGCGATGATGAGGGGTCCGATGCGCCTTCGCTAGCTGTCGTCATAGCTGTCAATCGCCTTTGTCGTCCCCCCTCATCCTCAATCACCCCTCTCTCGCGTGACCCTCAGGAACGCTTTCTGACATCCATCAATAGGCGCGGGAAGTCTTGCAGGACGAGTCCAACGTGCAACCAGTCGTATGTGTCCCCGACCGCAGGGCAAGCGAGTCGAGCTAACCCCCTTCATTCAGAAATGCCCGGTGACAGTATGCGGTGATATCCATGGTCAATTTCACGATCTTATGGAGTTGTTCAAAATTGGCGGTCCCAACCCCGACACCAACTACCTCTTCATGGGTATGTTGCCCTTGCGATAAGCTCGCCCTCTTGTGGACAGCCGCTCACTCTGACTAGGTGACTACGTCGATCGAGGCTACTACTCTGTCGAGACTGTGACTCTCCTCGTCGCCCTCAAGATCCGATACCCACAGCGCATCACCATCCTCCGCGGCAACCACGAGTCCCGCCAGATCACCCAAGTCTACGGCTTCTACGACGAGTGCCTCCGGAAATACGGCAACGCCAACGTGTGGAAGTACTTCACCGATCTCTTCGACTACCTCCCCCTTACCGCCCTTATCGACAACCAGATCTTCTGCTTGCACGGCGGCTTGTCCCCTAGCATCGACACCCTGGACAACATTAGGGCGCTCGACAGAATCCAAGAGGTGCCCCACGAGGGTCCCATGTGTGACCTGCTCTGGTCCGACCCCGATGACCGCTGCGGTTGGGGAATCTCGCCCCGTGGCGCTGGCTACACTTTCGGGCAGGACATCTCCGAGGCGTTCAACCACAACAACGGTCTCACGCTTATTGCGCGTGCTCATCAGCTTGTGATGGAGGGTTACAATTGGTCGCAAGACAGAAACGTCGTGACCATCTTCTCTGGTGAGCTCTCTCTAGATGTGGTGATATGCCCAATCGTGACTAACGCGAACAGCACCCAACTACTGTTACAGATGCGGTAACCAGGCGGCGATTATGGAAATCGACGAACATCTCAAGTACACGTTGTAAGTACCCGCAGATCCACGCATGGCCACAAGAGGGGCATACTGACCACACCTAGCCTGCAATTCGACCCTTGCCCGAGAGCCGGCGAGCCGATGGTCTCGAGACGCACACCCGACTACTTCCTCTGATACACCCATCCGATACCCTTACTGCCTATTCCAGAACATTCTGGATGCTATCCGTGGACGAGATGCGAAAAACACAGGGGCGGTGCATGCTCAACTTGCATTGGTGCTTGGGGGAGTCTATTCTTGTCAGATTACAACCAAAGCCAAAAAAAAAACCAATGTACTCCCAAGAAAGAGAGATTCTGCGTTGAGCGTTATGATGGAGAGACATGGAACAGCCCGGGAAGCTTGAGCGCGAGCCCAAGCCCCCCTCGTCTAAACGGGAGTCCTGGGATATTATGAGCCCTTTCCTCTTGTCATTGCGTTAGATACTCATCATAGACCGCCGGCAACAGAGAAGGTGTTGATGCTAATGACAAGCTGATGTTCCATTTTCCGTGTTCTAGATGCTGACATGGCATGCTATTGTATTTCAGTATCCCAATGCCGTCGCTCGACAACATTACATGTTCATAACGAAAGACCACAACGCCTGCAGGTTATACCAACCTGCATGTACGCAATAACTGACCAGACAAGGCTCCCTCGCATCTTATCATTACCTACGACGACGGCGGCGCTCATGGCTCCGTTTCCTCTCTCTACTTGACCGCCTCCGCGTTGGCCTGCCCCTCGACTTCTTTTCGTAGACGCGCTCCCGGAAGACCTCCCTGGTTTCCCTGACGTCCCTCCCCCCATTAATCTCGTTGCTAATCTCCTCGGAGCGACTGCTCCGCGAGGAGCGGCTGCCGCTGCCGGATAGGTAGCTGCCCTGTGTGAGGTAGTCCGTCCTGGAAGGATAAGTGCTTCTAAAATGGCCACGGCGGAAATGGCCGCTGCGGGCCAGGTTGCCGCTGGGCGTGAAGTACTCCGTGCGGGACGAGCCGCGGTGCCGGCGGCCGTCGATGCGGACGGTGACCCTCTCGTCGATGCTCGCGCGGAAGGCAAGGCTGCTGACGCGCTTGTAGGCGTGCTGGCCCTTGAGGTAGTCGCCGGCCTTGCGGGCGCCGTCGGGGACGTGGAAGCGGAGGTCGAAGCGCATGAGGGCGTACGCGAAGATGACGACGAGCTCGAGGTCGTAGTTGAAGATGTAGTAGCAGGCCTTGTGGTGCCACCAGCCGGGGAACCAGACGGGGCGAACGGCGTAGTTCACGGCGCAGCGGTAGGCGGCGCCGATGGTCAGGAGGGTGGAGGTGGCGAGGACGAGGATGATCTTTGTGGTAAGGGAGCCGTAGCCGAAGGGCTCAGGGCGGCGGAGGCCCGGGTAGAAGGCGGCGCCGAGGAGGATGGGGATAGGGAGGAAGGCGAGGAGGGCGAGCGTGGTGGATGTGAAGAGCTGGACGATACGGCAGTCGTGGAGTTGCTCCGGGACAAGGGTGTAGAAGCTGACGACGAGAGCAGTGACGGCGCAGATGAGGCAGACGATAGTGAGGAAGTAGCAGAAGAGGAAGAAGTTGCCGACGACGGGAAGCCAGCCGATGTTGGGGTGGAGGCCGCAGAGGAGGCGGTGGGTCAAGATGAGGTTAACGATGAGGAGAACGACAACGCCGGCGGCGGCGAAGATGGTCGCTGCGATGTTGAGGCGGACATTCCACGGCTGGGTGGCCCAGGCGATGCGCAAGGAGAGGGCGATGATGCGCGTCAAGCAGAAGCCGACGAGGACACTCGAGAAAAGGAACTTGTGGCCGCAGCTCTTGTTGCGGACGAATATGAAAAGATTGAGGGAGGCGGCAGCGACGAAGAAGATGATGAGGACGATGCAGATCGGCACGTCGACGCGGACCGTCGGGATGAGGCCCAGGGCGGCCACCTGCGGCGGGTAAGGAGGCCCCAAATCATAGAGCGGCAGCTGGAGTGGGATGATTTTAGCTTCGAGAAGCTCGAGGGGAAGGGGAAAGGGGGTTCACGAACTGGGTCCCCAATGGGCACAACCGTCGCCATTATGGCTGGATACGAGGCTTGAGATGTTGGCGCGGTGAAGCTGTGGCGAAGACCCAAGCAGCGGCCGCGACGGTATAAGGTTGCTAAGGCTGGAGAAGGTTGGATATCGACTCTTGGCAGGCAGTGCTCATGCTGGGGAGATGTCGAGCAACAGGGGCCACCGAGAGGGAACAATCAACGCTCCATTCCTGCTCGGCGGTCATGATGAACCGGGGCCTGCAATCCTTATCATCGCGTGCGCGAAGAGCTTGTTCGTCTGAACATTGTTGCTTGTCACTAGCGTCGGCGAAGGGTGCGTTGGTCTCTGGATATCTCGGCACGGACTGAGGAGAGGTGCGAATGAGGGCGAGGGGCGAGGCGGACGCAAGGTTTCGGTCCGTGGTGACAAGAGTAGAGAGGTGAGGAGAGCTCTGGGTTCTTCTCTGCCGAGCGTTTGGCTTTGTGATGTTCTCGAAGGGCGGGCGATGGCGAGTGCGAGTGGTAGACGTTCATCTCAACGATGGAATGGCGTTGAGGAGTCAAGATGACAGTATATCGCCTCCCCAAGGTCCAATGCTTCTCTGTCTATGCATGTTTTGTCAACGTTCTCGTCCAAGACTATCTAAAGCAAAGCATCGGACTCGAAGGTCAACTCAGAGAATCAATCCCAGAACGGCGAAACTAGAGAAGTGACCTATATCTGCGGAGGCGATGGGCATCCATGCTTGTGGCAGTATGCTACGTACGACATGCAAGATCTCTGTGGGCTCGGATCTTCGAGACAAGGGGGCACGTAAGTCGTCAGTTGCGAGACAGCCCCAGACGCTGTCAGAGAAGGGCCTACAAGCGCCCATCTATTCGCCGGCAAAGATCTTGACCAGGAAGTACGAGCCATTGTACGCAGGCTGTGCTGCAGAAACATGTTTCCACTCGGCTTTGTTTACTCCCCCTGGGACATTCGACGTCGGTAGTCCGCATCCTCTTGGACGTGCGCTGCGGGTTGTTAGTCCGTCAGGAGCAAAAGCCGATGGCGGGGGAGTGCACTCACGGACCTTAACGGTTGGGCCGGTCTAGTGCCGGGGCTTCGATCCGCGAAGGCCATTAAAGAGGGGCAGGGTAGGAACATTGTCTGGAGGTTGGGTAGTTGAACTCGTGATTCATCACGATGCCCTGTATTGAAAGAGTTGGTAAGCCTAGAGTATGTTTATAGAATCGCGGCCTCGAATGCAATATCTATATTCCTGCCCACCAGGACAAAATCGCGGCGAGCCCATCTCGAGGTTGCCGACTATTTGATCAGGAGCCTAGCGGTTTTCTCAATGATGATTTGTGACTTCCAGCTTGTTGAGCGTGAAAACGAGGTGCACACCTTGACTCCATCTGAGTTGCCGGGTTGCCACTCAAAACGCCCCTCATTGTGCGTCTTGATCCTCACTCAGCAACCAAACACTGTTGATCATCAGAGTTCGAACGCCACGCCAGGCCGAACAGTCGCGCCTGCTTTTCCAGCAATGGCCGGGTGCCACGTCTATGGTTCACGTAGCCCGCGGCGGAAGGCTAGGAAGCATAGCTGGAGTTTGAGGCTACCGACTTAGTCTCGCACTCATTCGTTACTCTGCTAGCTTCTGAGGGTTCCCAATTAAGGCTTGGTGCAAAACGAACATGGACGGACTTCCTGGTGGCGCTTTTGACCAAGAAGGGTTTGAGTTTTGAAGTTTCTTCATACCATGCTCGACAACTGCGATGCCAGATCTAAGCAAGTAACGCGGAGCCGCCGGCGTTGCGGCCCAAAGACAATGAGATTCGGTGCTTCACATGTCCCACTGCCGTTGACGAACTGCGGACCCATGAGCTTGCGTTATCAAATTGGAGGCCGGAACGCTAATAACTGATCGTACACAGCTAGGAGGGTGTTTTGCCCCCCCATGAATCGGCCATGGATGGGCTGTTGTTGATCGCTGTGAAGGCGTTTTGATGACCGCCAGTGGAGGCTGCGTATAAACTGTCTTACAGTAGCGCAATAGTCGTGGGCAAGGTTGCAACCGCACAAAACTAGTGTGAAAGGCTATCAGAGCTGGTGACCAATCAGTTGTCGTTCTTAGATGATGCATCAAACTGATAGTATGCGATCTCTCTCTGTTATTCCGGTAGTAACAGGTCTCTGAGGTTGAATTTAAGTGTGCTCGATTCGCATAAAATTGCGGTTGTCCAGCAACAACCATCGGCATGCGTCCAACACCCGGGCGGTACCAATTTGCTAGCACCAGTGTCTCTTGACGTTGCATTCCCGTTTCGGTGCATATGTAGCAATCCGCTGGCGAGGTCATAAGCTGTCCGGGATGACTATCTCCCATTGTCGTTGTTGAACCGTCGCTCCACAACCAGCAACTGCCGACGGCCGTTTCTCAACTCCATCCCGTGGTGGGCTTTGTTTCTTGCTGACAGCGGGGCATGTATACAGTACTTTGGGAAACGATCCGGGTCCTAAAGTGGCGTTGTGTGCAGTAGTGTGTTGAGCAACGGTCTCAAGTCAAATATCCTTTGTTGATCTTTGTTGGAGGAAAAGTGCAACGAATGTGAGGCGTTCTGGGGACATGAAGTGAAGCAACCAGGGACAGAACTCGCCACGTTGCCGTGGCTGTTCAAGAAGAAAGCAATTGCTGCGAGTCCACGCAAGCCCTCATATCAACGTCGTTGGAGAGCCGATGGTGAGGCAAACCAGGCGCAAACCCCAAAGATGACATGCACGCTCAGATGCTTCGCTTCAGCCCAACCTCGCAGCTGTGAGGCATGACGCCGGTGTCTCAAGCTCACAAAGACAGATCGAACCTGTGGCAAGACTGATTGAGCACTATTTCCAGTAGTCAATCACAGCAAGTCGTGCTTGAATCGTGTCGGGTTTCAGTACTTATTCTTCCCGGCAGCCACAGGAAAGCTTCGTGGGAAGATTAACTTCCATCACACATGTCGGATGACTGAACCAAGCCTCGGATCCGAGTTGCCTCACGGCTGACGTGAGAAAAACACGGAGGGGATCGGATTGGAAGCGATTGGGTGAGGAGAATCCTAGAACAAGCCAAACTTTGAGGTGCTGTCCGATGCCTTTAATTCATCTACATTCCATCGCCAGCCAGTGTTTCTCCACCCTCGGCGTCGTCTTGTTTGTTCTATTTCTGGCTGCTGTTTGCACATGCTCCTGTTAGGGCAGAGCATCGCCACGGTAGTAGTCGGCACGGCGGCATTCTGGGTGGTGTGCGGTCGGGATGTGTGCCCGTGTCAGACGGTAACACCCAACATTTATCTTGATGACGAGCGGCACTGTTGCCGTAGTGGAAGGTTGGAAGTCGTTGCAACTCGGTTGTCGTACTCGACTTGCAAGCCTCGTCGATATGGTGGTGTGAAAGACGGCTCAGCTGTCATTGGGCGGGTCGTCCAAACGGTGCGGTTCATCCTTGAGAGGGGGAGGAAAATTCCGACGCAGCGGCCAGGCCTTATCCGTGTCACGCAGGATACCTGCCTTGGAGCCAGCGCTGGGACCACCTCTCATCTCACAAACGCCTCCGTCGTCTCCTGGACGAGTGGCCGATGTGGTCCCCCGGGGGGTTAAGTTAATCGCCAGGGCGCGTGGGTGCCTGTGCTTCCGCAGGCTATTCCCCCACTCTGTTCGCCATCCCTGCTCCCATCCTGAAGCACCGTTGAGTCTCACCAATCAGAGCATGTCATCGGTGGACATGAGACATGGGGGAATTTGTGGTAATTTCGCCTAGTGCTTCGCTTGCCAAGTCCCTTGGTTGACCCTTGAGTCTATTCGGCACTTTGTGGGTGTTGCTTGGCCAGATTCTGTGTTCATGCTCTGCTTTGGGACTGACTGGAGAAGATGCCCAGCCATAGTGTAGTTTGACAGCTCGGTTCGGTTTGCTGAATCATTGGATGCCACAACTGCAGCTGGGTCTTGTGCAGTGTTGTATGCCATTGCGTCAGCAACTGCAGTACGACTCTGCCAGCGTGAGTACCTGCGCAAGCCCTGCAAGGAGGCTTCAAAGTCATATCTCAGCGCTGTCGCAATGCATAAGAAGCTGGGCTCCTGATTGCTCGTTCATCTGCAGACGCATTGCTCCGTCTCGCAGACACGAAACAGGAGCAGAGCACATGAGCCGATAGCGAGCTGTTCAGTGTTATCCTCGGCCGTCGCGTGGACCGTGTTACGAGTGGAGTGTACCCCAGAACTGTCCAGAGGAATAGGAATGAACGGATGAACGCGAAGATTTGATCGGCATTTGTGCTCTTCAACGTAGATGCCTTGTTTGTCATTCTTCTATCTGTTTGCGTTCGACGGGGAAGCGGTTGCCGCGCAGCCTGTTCGCTGGGTTGAAACTGAAGACCATAGCCGTAAGCCAGACTGCCATCGCTTGGTATCAGTGCCGCCGCCAAGACGTCGACCTGGCCGGCGAACGCTGTAACGAACGGTTGGAGTCGAAGTCATCCACAGCACTATGCAGGGAGTGCTATGCAGGCAGAGTAGTGTGTGAAGCTGTGGCGACAAAACTAGCATGATTGAAGTTGGGATGGCAGTGACACGAACAGGCGCGAGTGGTCTCGAGAGAAGGTTCGACAAGGAAATTGCTGGGCTCTGGTCAACAAACGGTAGGAAGATAGCAAACAGACAATTGCTTGGTCTTCTCACGGCTGATTTTCCCGCACTGACCTCGCAGACCTGGAGAGCCGGCATGGTCCCTCCTTAACAGAACTCTCTTGCCTCGTGTGCCCGGTCTTCCTGATTGTTCTCGAACTCGCGTTTCGTTTTGCTGCACAGATTTGTATCCACCGCTATCTTACATGAAGTCGTAGAGAACACAACGTCAATTCGCAAGCAGCGGAGCGTTTGGAAATCGAATAAGCAAGATTGTGGCGACTTGGAGAGAGAGAACGAACTCAGGCAAACAATCACGGGACGAGAGGGATGGTACGGTACTGTACGGGTAAACGAGGATGATTTGCCGGCGCTACAACGCTCGAATTCCAGATGCTCGGGACGAGATTAGGAGAACCACCCGGGGCAGCGTCAACGTTGCTGGCAGCCCTACCGCGTTGAAGCCATGGGTTGAAATGGGATCCTACCCAGCCAGCAACAGCTGTGATGAAGGGGTTCATTGCGGTTCATGCCAATGGAAACATACATAGTAATATGTGTATTATATGGCCGTTAAAGGAGAATATGGAGTAGGCGCTGGTGATGAATGCACCATGCCGAACCAAAGGAGGTGTTGACTGTTGACACAGCAAAACGGGGGGGCGCTGCTGCTGCAGGTGTTTGATTCATGGCCAACAAGGGGCCCCTGGGTCCCTGCCACCTCGCAGCTGCTTCCATGCTCCGCCAATTTTGAATGATCAAGGCGCCTTTCCTGTTCTTGACGATTCCGGTGGCTGTTGTTCCCCTGGCGCGAGCCAGTGTACAGGGGTACAGGGGGTATCTGGTACGTCGTCAGGTACGAGGGAAAGGTACGTACCGCCCGTTCCTACCTCAACTTCCTTTATGTAGTGTAGTCCTTGAACGATTACCCACGTAGACGTGGGCCGGACTGAAGCGTTGAAGTGGCTTCTCGCTCGGTGCAGCCACTCATACCGTCTAAAGCAGACAGGGCTTTCATGCATTGCTCTTGTCACTGGAAAGAATGTCGCGCGGATGTGCTCTCCTCTCCCTCCTGTGCAGTGCAGGTGCCTCGGCGGCGTTGTGGGATGGGCGCGCGTCGCCAGTTGTTGCTGCGCGCTCTTTCCTTTTCCTCCCCCGAAGAAGGCAGGCCCCAACCTCATTCCAGCGTGTCTTACCGGCCCCCATGTCCAGAAAGAAGCGCCATCCTTACCAGAAAAGAAAGTCCACACCTTTTCGTTGCACCTTCCCGCGGCGTCCCGTCGCCAGTTAGAGCCTGGTCAAAGGCCTAGGTCAAGGTCTAGGTCCAGGGTGGTGAGGGAAGAGGTACCTCGATGATAGGCTGTGCCCATGTCCTGTTGTTCATCGTTGCTCGCTGCCTCCAGTTTTTTTTCCCTATTTTCCCACGGCCCTCCCGTACCTGTCTCCTGGTTGCTCCTCTTGCCTCCTCCCCTTCCCTTTCGCTTCCCGCGCGTGAGTGTTGTGTGTGTTTGTACCCGTATGTGGTTGCGAGCATCGTCCCGCCCGAAACAACATCATCATCGCCGTTTCTCTTCGACACTCGTCTCGACGAGCACCGACTGTAACACGTCGACTTGTTCTACACCTCGAGGCCTAATCGCATCCTCCTAATTGTATTCCTACCCGAATATCGCCAGTCCTTCTTTTTATTCCGTTCACTTACCCTCGTTCAGTCTCCATTTCATCCCATCTAGCGGGTGCACTTTTCCGAATACCTGTTGCATCCTCAATCTCTGAGCCGACCCCGAACCGCCATCGACTTCCTTCCTGCATGCATTGAGCTTGCCTCACGACGACAATTCTCTCCCTCGGACATTTTGCCAATACATCAACTGCGACCTTAGTATCCGAGCATCCGAGGATCCGTCAAGTTCCTTCCTCGGTACTCGCTTGTTGTCGTTCCTTTCCCACAATCGACGCAGATTACTCGCCCACCTACGCCCGAGTCCTCTGTTTTTTTGACCGACAACAGCTCGATTATTCGATTCCGCCTCTCCAAAAGGATCAACTGAACACCCGCGAGACCTTATTCTTTTTTTGGTTACGGCTGTCACCCGTCAAACATCTCAGAGCCACCAGCACTCTTTACTGTAGTTGTCCACACCTGCAACAAACCTCGTCTGAGTTGGCTTGGGAAGAGGCCTATCGACTGAACCGCGAGCAGCGAGATCTCGGGACGACAGTCATGAACTAGATTCCCTCTTGGTCAACATCGTTTTTGCTCGAGGCCTCCCAAGTTGGTGGCCGCCAACCACGCGACGATGACTTCGGCAACCACCCGAAAAGGGACCCGTACAACCGAACGAAACATGGGTCAAACGGCGAGGGCAGCACTCTTGTCACTACTGTCGACTTCAGCTCTTGTTTCGGCACAGTCGAACTGCGTCTCGCTCGAGGGATCAAAGACCTGCCCTGCCTTCGAGTCCGCTTCTATTTCGACAACAGGCTTCGTCGCGGGAATCTTGTAGGTTGACTAGAAACGTTCTCTGCCGTTACCCGTACTAATCATTCATGGCAGCCCTTTTCTACAGTTTGTTTCGAACAGGGAAACGTTCGACCAGCAGATGTTGTCATATATCGACACAACATACGTGCGGGAAAAGTCAGTATGAATCGGTCAAAGCAGCGTGCTATTTTTGCTCACACTTCATTAGATATCAAACATTACTTGGTTGCAGCAGCGTAAATCTCACCAGACCAGACGAGTTGTATGCTCGGTTCACTACGACAGTTATTTGCAACGCCATCGTTCAAAACTCGATATCCGCGTGCAACCTGACTGCGTCCAACTCGCGACCAGTTTGCGCCGACACATGCGTGAGTACTGATCAACTTGTGTCAACCTCTTGCTAACGGTTATGGGTAGGCCGAATATGCACAGGGCGAGGCGCTACTTACTTCGGACAGCAGCCTCTGTGGCACCCCGGGCAGCAACTACATGAGCCAGATCCGAGCAGACTTTACGAACTGCGCTCTTCCCGCCGACTCCCTTTCGTCATCAACCTGCATTCAAGGCATCGCCAATGAACGTGACAATTGCGGCTACGGCAACAGTACTGTTGGACTCTGCTCCTACTGCTCATCTGGCGGTATTAACTCTACCGACACATGCTGTTACAACTCGAACATCGACGAGCGATGCGCCGGTGTTACGCTGCCTTCCATTTATCCTACCATGACGTTCACGCCTCCGACGGCGACCGCAACACCGACATCATCGAGCACGGCAGCTGCGGCCGCAGGCCTGTCTGGCGGCGCCATTGCCGGTATTGTGATTGGCAGTGTGGCTGGCGCTTTGCTGCTCGCCGGACTGATTTATGCATGCATCCTGCTTGCCAGGAGGAGGAGGCGCGGAAGCCAAGGCGGCAGCATCTTCAACCAGCCCTCGCCCTCTAGACAAGGACCGTCTACGGTTAAGATAGCACCGGCCCAGACCACGAGCGGATACGAAGTTTTACCGGGCGGTCGCATTGCCCGCATGTCGGCTTTGGAGAGTGCATCGGATCCGGCCTTGGTGCCTCCCAGTCGCAGCAGTGGTCCTACCGCGGCAGCCGCCGTCGGAGGAGCTGCAGGCTACATGGCAGGCAGGAGACGGGGTGATGATCCGTCTTCGTCTGAGTTTGGAGACAGTCCCGAGTCGGAAACCAGAGCCGGCGTGTTACGACCCCCTCCCACTAATATCCGGAGGACGGGTTCCTTATCTAGCAGCTCGGTTCTCGCAGACCCTCAGTCACCCACGAGCGCTGGGATGTCATCCCCTCAAGCCATGGCCAGCCAACAGTCGGAGCAACTGCCCTTCTTCAAGGACTACTACTCTCAAGGTGACATTCACCCGGGTGATAGGGTCGCTACCCTTTGGGCATATCAGCCACGTGCGCCGGACGAGTTCGCTCTCGAGCGTGGCGACATGCTCAAGGTGGTTGGCATCTGGGACGACGGCTGGGCGACGGGTATTTTGCTGGACGAGCATGCCGACGAATGGGAAGCTCGACGACATGCCCAACGAGACAGTGGCGTCTCCAACACGTCTGGCCGACAAGACCCCTCACCGCCCGTGAGCGGCGAGATCAAAGCCTTCCCCCTCGTTTGTGTGTGCTTGCCACAACACTGGAGGAAAACTATTGAGGGCGATGTCTCGACCGAAGGCTCTACTGCCCACCAAGGCCACCCATCGTTCTCATGAGATACCAACAGAAGTTGGTGAATTTTGCATACATCCTGACGATAGTAGCTGTCTTTTCGGCATTGGCTACGGCGTTCGGGCATCGAACTAGCATTGACTTCGATACACAAAGACGACCAACTTTCCTGAGCGAATCCGACTAGCAACTCATAATGAATCGTGCAACGCGACTTCACGAGCGGCGGTTGTGGCAGCTTCCTCGGGGATTTTTTTTTGCACATAGACACGAGATGCCTACATTTTCTCGACGACACGCGCCTAATGTCTTCAATCCTAGACGAACGAAAGTTTTCTTCAACGCGGCATCGCTTCGGATCATGATGACCGCACGGAGGCTTGATGGACCAACTCTAGCGCCCGATGCGAGTTGCTTTGACGAGATGAAGATACGCGATCCTAATTTATGACGACAACGCACGCATTGCGCCCTCCCCTTTCAATTCGACAATTCGACTTATATACCCAGGGTGTGGTGATGGAATGCTGGTGTTTGAGGAGCAAGAGGTCGGGGAGGGCCTCTGCAATCTACCTAATGGTGAATTCTTTTTTTTGGCGACAGACCTGAGCGTTCCCAATCAGTCTTGGTCCTACCCGGCTAGCTGCCCAATGTGAAAGTGCGGTCAGAAAAAGCGCGAAGACAGGCTGGGAACAGAGGAAAGCTCCAGAGAAGGTGGAATAGATTTTGGAAGATCCGCAAAATCTTCATCAACAGCCGTTACGGCTCGAAACCTGTGCTGCTGCACTTGGCATCATCTCATTACTCAGGCTCCCTCCTGTATCCTATTAGGCAGCTACTCAATTTACTTAGCCCAACTACCAATGAGAGTTTTTTCACCGCAAAATGTTTGTCCTTATCAGACTGCCTTGTACTCTGCAGAAGCCGTCTCGCGACCTTCATGCCGTGGATACTACCCTACTTGGTTTCATCCACATCTGGGGGATGAAACTCTTGGAGTCACGCGCACTTGGACAACTTCTTCAGCTCTTACTCCGTCCTCAGAGTCCCTGATCCAAGTGATATATAATGTTGAGATAAGATGGCGCAATATGCTGGCGTACCAATGAGTTGCGCATGTGGAGTTGAGCGGTAGGGTGATGAGAGAAGGTTGAGGGTGAGGTTCAAAGGTGAGACATAAGACTTAGATCATTGATATGAGTGACTGGGCATCGTGGGCCTTGGTCGACTTTTCAGACGAACCACCTCCGTTTCTTCCATCCACCCTTGATGTTCGAACATGAACCTTGGGGTCTGTGTCCTAAAGTGATACGGGCAGTCAAGGAACCGATCTAGGACCCGTTGGAGCAGAGAGTATGGTTCCAAGATGGATGGAGGGCTTAGCAATGCAGAGGGCGTTTCGTGTGGGGGTGTTCCACCGGAAGAATAATGCCGTTGAACTATTTTCTAATTTCGAGTTGCTTTCCCCTCCAAAGACGTTCGCATCGGCGATATGAAGTTGATCGTCTCAATGGGATGAATTCTAGGTTGGAAGATTTGGATGCCGAGACGGCCCGATTACCTCCCGGTGAATTTGGACGGCCTTGCGGCGGAACAAAAGGCGGGAGAAGCAGCCTGTGATCGACAGCAACCCCACAACTGCTTGGCTGGCGAGAGATCTGAACATGTGGCGTCCTAGGTTGTATGACTTGGCGCCTCCCAGATGGCACCTTTGTATGTTGATTCGTTGCTGAGAGTGTGTCGTGTATGTGTGTATACTTATTGGTTGCGCAAGTGTCCGATTAGTGTAACGGCGCCTGCGGGACGCATGATCCAGCTCTGTTACCCAAAACTTCAACTTGGGTGGCGGAGTTGTCATCATCGCGATGTCGTAAGATTAAAAAGACTAAGTATTGCCTTCTGACGAGAACTCTGATTTTCATGGAATTGTCAGTTGCGTAGAGAACGAGATGTGTAAACGTTCAAGAATAGTGTGTCTTGAACGGAAGTTTCGCCCGTCTGGAGACCATTGTTTGGGCGACGACATGGCTGGTCGAAGAAGGCACTGGACACTCAGCTAGCACCATCGAGGACGCTATTGTTAGTTTGGAAATCTTGTTTGTATACTGCCACTATGTATATGGTTCATTCCTGACATAGCAAGCAAGGCCATCTTACTAAGGCGAACAGCAATCAAGAGCAATCACGTTCATAATTTGTGAAATGCACTTGAATAAAGTGCACAGCAAAAGCCAGCAGTAAGCTTCAGTGGTTGCTCGAGTTTGACAAGGGTGGAAGCACGGGCCAAGTTTGCCGTTGTTGTCCCCCGCGGTGCTCTCCCCTGTCGGAGGTTAGGACAGCGGGACGCCGACGTACCCACTAATTGCTTGAGTGGACAGTCGACCTTAGCTGCATCCCGCGGCGGTACCTTGTTCGACGTCGGTGACGGTGACCTAATCGCAACCCGTGATCGCAACTGCCAGGCATCTTTACTAGGAATCTTCAACCACGCTCTGGACGCATCCACGTTCTGCTGCTACACGCAAACTCGCTTGGGAGCATACACTTAGTCAAATGCCTGCTTCTGTCAACCTGGCACCTCCAATATGACAGCTCCCCACCACGTCGACCAAGTAATCGCATAGGTTTCTCAGCTGCCGGCCCGAGCTATCGCAGCCCGCCATGGGTCAAGGTTTCTCTCTGGCGACGCCCTCCGCAGGCTCTGCGGGTATCGACATACCTGAGCTGTCTGATCTCGTGTATGAGAAGAGCATCGGAAATGCGCGCTTCATGAAGAGCATCCGCGCAAGACATCATGATGGAGTCGCTCTGGTCAAGGTGCTGGTCAAGCCATACACCCCGATGCCTTTGGAGAAGTACAAGCGCGACATAGAGAGTGAGCCTCTACGATATTTCCGGAAGGAAGCACTTTTGACTGACCTCTTCCAGAGCAACGCAGTGCCTTAGCCGATGTGCCCAACGCCCTGGGCTTTCAACGCATCGTCGAAACCGAAACGAACGGATACCTCGTCCGACAGTTTCTCTATAACTCCCTCTACGACCGAATGAGCACTCGTCCGTTTCTGGAGGATATCGAAAAGAAATGGCTGGCTTTCCAGCTGCTGTGCGCCTTGCGCGACTGCCACGCTCGAGACATTTACCACGGCGACATCAAGACGGAAAATACGTTGGTCACCTCCTGGAACTGGCTGTATCTTTCCGACTTCTCTGCGCCATTCAAGCCCATTATGCTTCCGGATGACAACCCGGGTGACTTCTCATATTATTTTGATACATCCGGCCGGCGGACGTGCTATGTGGCACCCGAGCGCTTCGTCGCGGCCGAGGAAGTCAATAGTAAGGACGCCAAGCTCACGTGGGCCATGGATGTCTTCAGCGCTGGCTGCGTCATTGCCGAGATGTTCTTGGAGTCTCCTATCTTCACTCTCAGCCAACTGTACAAGTACCGCAAGGGCGAGTATGACCCCGTCATCTCGCAAATTAGCCGCATCCCGGATAAGGACCTGCGCGACATGATATCGCACATGATCCAGCTTGATCCGGAGCGCCGATACTCTGCAGAGCAGTATCTGGACTTTTGGAAGAAGAAGGTATTCCCAGAGTACTTTTATAACTTTCTTCACCAGTACATGGAGTTGATTACGGATCCTTCGTCTGGGAACAGTCCTATCTCGGGTGCGACGAGGAACTTGGGGGAAGCAGACGACCGCATCGATCGCGTTTTCCTCGACTTTGACAAGATTTCCTACTTTCTCGGTTACCAAAACGACAAGCGTCCCACCCAGGTCGAACCTTTGGCCGGAAAGTTAGGGCTGGGCCATTTCCCTATCCGTCTGAACATACCGAATCACGACCAATACATTACCGGAACGTCTGATCCACCTGAAGACGACGGGACCCTAATCTTCTTGACGCTGATTGTTTCTTCCCTCCGTAATACAGCTAGAGCGGCGTCAAAGATCAGAGCCTGCGACGTTCTGCTTGCCTTTTCCGAGAGAATTACGGACGAGGCAAAGCTGGATCGAGTGCTGCCTTACCTCATGACGCTTCTTAACGACAAGTCTGACCTGGTGGTAATTGCGGCATTGCGTTCAATCGCTCAGCTACTTCACCTGGTACGAGTGGTATCTCCTGTCAACTCGCACATATTCGTCGAGTACATTCTACCTCGACTTCAGAGCGCCTTAATCGCGCCAATCAAGCCGCCGAGCCCCCTAGTGCGAGCAACCTACGCATCGTGTCTTGGGAGCCTCGCAACCACCGCTGCCCGGTATCTAGAGCTGGCGGCAACTCTGAAAGCCGACGGCACTTTGACCGTGGCTGATCCCGAGCTGGAGCCGGGCATCGAAGCCGGGGCTGCCTTTGATGGCTTATTTGACGATGCGCAGAGGGAACTTTACGAGATGTTTGAGCTGCATACGAAAGCACTCGTAGAAGACTCGGATGTCTCTGTCCGTCGAGCGTTTCTAACCTCGGTGCCTGATCTTTGCCTCTTCTTTGGCCCAGCAGAGGCTAACGACATCCTTCTAACCCATCTCAACACCTATTTGAATGACCGAGACTGGATGCTCAAGTGTGCATTCTTTGAGACCATCGTCAGCATTGCCAGTGTTGTGGGGAGCGTCAGTCTTGAGGAGTTCATGCTACCGCTCATGGTTCAAGCACTTACTGACCCGAGGAGTTCGTGGTACAAGCGGCTCTCCATTCCCTAGCACAGCTGGCACGGCTTGGCCTTCTCTCAAAAACAAAGATTTGGGAGTTGATAGATGTTGCCGCAAGATTTACAATGCATCCAAATCTATGGATCCGGGAGTCTGCAACAGAGTTTCTTTCTGAGGCGACTCGCTTCCTGTCTCCGGCAGACGTTAGGTGCATCGTGTACCCGTTGGTCAAACAATACTTGAAGACAGGCATGATGCCTGACTTTTCGGAACTCAGCTTGCTGGACGCCCTAAAGCGGCCAATGTCAAGGGCTGTCCTTGACCAGGCCGTGATCTGGGCACTCAAGACTGACAAGGGTGTATTCTGGAAACTATCACAGCAACTTCGTTCGTTCTCCTTTGGATCGCTTCCGAAGACTATAAGCAGCCGGTCGTCTAAGGACACACTGAGCAAAATCAATCGGAACGACGAGGATGAGCTGTGGCTCGGACGGTTGCGAAATCTTGGACTTGGACCCGATGATGAGTTCAAACTCCTCGTTCTGCGGGAGTTCATCTGGCGTATTAGCAGAATGAAGTCGCGGGATGTTATGGAGAGCGAGCCAGCTAAGCTCAATGAGGTGATATCCCTAAAAAGCCTCGGTATCACTCCGCAGACGGTCTTCTTCGATGACGAGGAGCCACTACAGCAGTCGACTTTCACACCCGATACAGCCCAAAAGGGCCCATACACGATCGCGGATGCTCTGTTGGATGCGTCCATGACCATCGATGACTCAACAGGAAGAAGACGGTTTGCCGCGCTCAACAGTCTACGCACTCGTGTAGTGGAAGACAGAGGCTCCTCTTCACGCGATGCTTCCAGAGCAAGATCGATCGACCCATCAAGAAGAGCATCAACCGGACAGGGCAAGCTGACAGTCGGGAGCCCGACCGATGACGGAGGCTCAGTACACGATCAACCGTATGCATCTCGGAGGGCGATCCGTCACCAAGCGAGCGCTTTGAGTCTCCTAGACCGAAAAGATAGCAACAAGAGCGTGCCAGAGACCGGAATGTCTGGCACTAATGCATTTGGCCAAGTCGAGGGTCCCTTCGCCCAGGCTCCGCTTGCTCGACCAAACGCACAGGATCGTCGAACTAGCACTGCGAGTGTTATAACCAAGCTGAAGCCCAACCACTCTTACGAAGGCACGGATCCCAGCATTCTCAAAATGCTCGACTCAATGTACCAGGATAACTACCCGCACGACATCGTCGAGTTTGGACCGATGGTCACCCCTATTACTCGCCGCAGAACCAACCGTTCTGTGGGCCAGCCGGGTGACGAGCCATGGCGCCCACAAGGGCGGATGGTTGCTACGTTCGCGGAACACACCGGCGCTATCAATCGTTTGGTGGTGTCGCCAGACCATGTCTTCTTCATCACGGGAGGCGACGATGGAACTGTCAAGGTCTGGGATAGTGCCCGGCTTGAGAAGAACATTACCCATCGATCAAGACAGACCCATAAGCATGCTGATGGGGCCAGGGTGCTTGCGCTGTGCTTCATCGAGAATACGCACTGCTTTATCAGCTGCGCAAGTGATGGAAGTGTCCACATTGTCAAAGCCGAGACTGTCGCGGCGAGTGGCACCTTGCGGTATGGGAAGCTCCGTCTCCTCCGGGAGTACCAGTTGCCAGAAGACGAGTACGCAGTGTGGTGTGAGCACTTCAAGTTTGAGTCGACGTCAGTCATGTTGCTCGCGACGAACCGATCACGAATCTTGGGCATCGATCTCCGTACAATGTCTCTACTCTACGCACTCGAGAACCCCGTTCATCACGGCACACCTACATGCTTCTGCGTGGACCGCAAGAGGAACTGGCTATGCGTCGGTACTACTCATGGAGTGCTCGACCTGTGGGACTTGAGATTCCGCATGAGACTGAAGGGTTGGGGTGTTCCTGGTAAGAGCTCGATTTACAGGCTCTCCATCCATCCCAGCAAGGGACGAGGCAAATGGGTTTGTGTGGCTGGCGGAACAGGACAGGGTGAGGTTACAGTTTGGGACCTCGAACGTACGATTTGCAGAGAGATATACCGCGTCGGAGGCAACAAGGAGGGTCCTAAGGGATACGAGTCCTGGGACGTGGACGAGGACAAGCCGGAAGGCATGCTTGGGCGGTTCGCTACAAACATTGAGCCGAGCGGCACCGGGAACACGGATCGTGGTGTTCGTGCTATGATAGCGGGCACTGGCGCCTCGGAGGATTCGCGCGACGTACGGCACGCGTTCATCGTCACCGGCGGGTCGGACAAAAAGCTTCGGTTCTGGGACTTATCTCGAATCGAGAGCTCGGTCGTCTATAGCGGACTACAAGTGGAAGATCCGAAACCAACATTCACGGCATCTCACCCGACGACGTCGATGACGCTCAACACGGAGAGGATTCCTAGGCAAGCGCCAACGGCGCCAAATGCTGCTGTCAGCGGAAAGGGCACCACAGGTAGCGGGAGACCACCGCGATCTACGGTTATATCGCTTCAGCAGCAGCAACTTCTGCGGTCACACCTGGACTCGATCATGGATGTTGCGTTGCTGGAGCTGCCGTACAGCATGACGCTCTCGGTGGACAGGTCTGGAGTGGTGTTTGTGTTTTCATAGTGGCAGATTAGGACGGCGTTGGGTAAGAGGTTTCGGAAAGCAAAGATACCTAGCAAATACACATAATCAACATGGTAAAATGCCCATCAAACTGGAGCGGTCGCCGAGTAATTCAAACATGATACAGTGTAAGGACAGTGTGTATGAGCGGAGATTCAGGGAGGAGGGCTGGGAAAAGGTCCGTGTGTAAGAAAAATGTACTGTGCTGAACAGCGGGATGATAGCTCTTATCGGACAGGAAATTTTGTGATGCTGGCGCCTTGTCGACCGCCAGCTTTTCAGCCTTGTTGAATTGCCCACTACAAACGCACGCGACTTCAAGACGCGACGAAGAATTGCGACAGCGCCATTGAACCGACGAACTTCTTGACGACGTACTGCGGATCGAAAAGCAACGAGTGCGACAATCCTACTTGCGAACAAGCCCCCAAATCCCCCGAGGTAACCCCCAGCACCACCACCTACAGCACCAGCAGCCGACTACCAAGATGAGGCTCACGGCGGAGCTCATCAAGGGCTCGCTATCCTACCTGAACCCGCTCAAGGAGCGGGAGCTTGATCTCCGAGGTGCGTTTTTGTGAAAAGGACAGATACTACACTTTTAGAGAGAGCAGAATTGATAGCGAGGGCCGTTTGCGCCGGCCGGAATCAATAGGACATCGAATCCCGGCGATTGAGAACCTGGGTGTTGCAGGCGTGAGTCCACAATTCCTCCCATGCCTTTCGTCTTTCGTTTGCGACGTCGTGTGCGAAGCTCTGGGAAGGGAGAGGGGAGCAGAAGATGTAGAACGAAGTCGCTGACGAGCTCGGACAAAACAGCCTCATGATTCCATCGACTTCACCGACAACGACATCCAGGTGCTGGGCAACTTCCCGCTGTCGCCGCGCGTGCAGACGCTGCTGCTGGCGCACAACCGCGTGTCGAGCATACAGCCCGCGCTGCCGAATGCGATCCCGAACCTGACGCAACTCGTGCTGGCGTCGAACCAGGTGGCCGAGCTTGCGGACCTCGACGTGCTGGCGGGCTTCAAGCGATTGACGCACCTGGTGTTGGTGGATAACCCCGTAACCAAGAAGGAGGTGCGTTTTCTGGCCCCGACATAACTCCCTCCTCTTTGGATTTTCCCCTACCGGAGCTCGTTGTGCTGACAAGAGGTGCTGTGCACAGAACTACCGGTACTGGGTCGTTTGGCGATGCCCCTCGGTGCGGTTCCTGGATTACCAAAAGGTGAAGGAGGCGGAGCGGGAGAAGGCGAGGGAGCTGTTTGGCACGGCGGAGGAGCCCACAGCCGAGGCGTCCAAGGTATGGCTTCCCATCTCTGATCCCCAACAGCGTTACACCCATGTGAAAGTTGAGCATACTAACACGTCAACTTCCTCCCCAGATCATGGGCATCAAATCAAAGCAGCTCGACCTCGCCGCCTCGAACGGCGCGGCCGGCGGCGGCGCTACCTCCAAGCTCTCGCGGATAAAGCTTACGGACAAGGAGAAGGAGCGGTTGAAGGAGATGATCAGGAAGGCCGACAGCTTGCAGGAGATTATCCGGTTGGAGAAAATGCTGACGGAAGGCACGATCCCGGCGGGCGTGCATCTGGACGGGGACGCCACCATGGAGGACTGAACGACAGGCACAGGACGCTGGAGGATGTCACAAATGACGATTGGCGGCGGTGGGAGGGGAAGGGGGGGGAAGCATGTGTTCATATCATGGACTGGCGTTTTCTGTTCCATTACGACGAAGAAAAAAAAGGGACTCCTTTGTTTAAAAAGACGTTTTTATTAATGGGAATCTTGGGGGACCCGAGAAAAGCATAAAAGCCCAATTCGTTCCCCTGTTGGAGAGGGAAAGGGACTGTTCATCGTACACTTCGTCAATGATGCTCTCCTTTTTTTCCAACCCCGTGCTGTTTTTGTTGTATATGTTGAGACGAGCATGCGTTTTGTATGCAAGCCCCCTTTTCCTGGCATGGCGATAACCTCGTCGATTCCTGTCTCACGAAGGCGGTTCAACCATAGTCCTAGAGGAAGACCAACGAAGGCCTGGAAGGGTCTCAGCCCGTCATGTCGACGTCTTCATCGCCACGGGCGGCAGCGGCAGCGGCAGCGGCAGCGGCGCGGGACTCGGCTTCGAGCTGAGCGCTTGGGTCGTCTGAGTGGAGTGCTGCCGCCAGGGGATCGGCGGCAGCGGAGCCGTTGACGCCGTTGGCAGTGCTGGTCTTGAGAGTTGACTGCCGCTTCTTGGGCTCCTGGTCGGCTTTCCTGGGCTGAGCGCGGGCGGCGGCGGCCTGGTCCTTGATCTGCTTGTAGGGGACGGTCTTGGGGATGACGTCTTCGAGGAACTCGAGGTTGTCGTGGTGGTTCACGGCGGTTGCTGGCGGGGTTTGTTAGTCTGGTCTTTGCGCCTTGACGGCGGGCGAGGCTTGGCAGAGAGGTGGAAGGGGACGAAGGGAGGGGATGAGCGAGGAGATAATGAGGCTCAAAGGGCGCAAGGTTTGACTCGAAAGTGGCAGTGCCAGGAAATCTTACCCAGGTCCTTGTACTGGACGTTGCGGCGGGGTTTGCGCTCGGCCTTGGCCATGTTGTGGCCCTCGGCGGCAAGGTGTTGGATGAACATTTCCTGGGGAGAGGGTCAACATTAAGACCCAACGACGGGATAATCCTTGAGAAGGGGGGAAAGACGAACAGTCGCCAGGGTGATGACAAAGGCTGCGTTGTTTGAGCAGATGCCAATGTCTGGGTCTGTGCCAATGATCTTCTTCACGCGAGCCACTGTCAAAAGAGTTAGATAAGGCTCGAGGGGTTGAGGGGAGAAACCCGATGAGGACAACGAGGTGAAGGCTTACATGGCAGAGCCGGTTGGCCTGTTGCCTCCTTACGGGGAGGTATCGCATTGCTGTTGGGAGGCATTGTGAATGATTATGGGAACGGGTATGGATGTCCAGAGGTCTGGTGAAATCGGTAAAGGAATCTAGAGGAGAGTTAGTAAGACGTCGTTGATGTTATAACGTCTTTCAGATGAGGTTGTGTAAGTGGATGAGACTGTTGAGAGTAAATCCAATCCGAATGCAGCAAAGAGAAATTCTCATCCATGGCGGCCTTCTCAGGTATAAAGCACTTTGGAAGAGCCTCAAGTTCGATCCCCTTGCCAACCTGAGTCCAAACATATAAGTGAGTCTCAAGGGTAGGAAATTGGTACAGTTTCTCGCGATCAGGGCGGAAAATTGCATATCCTTGTTCCAGCATCCACTGGGAGGAAAGTCGAGCTATAGAGAGAAGCACGAGATTGAGATAAAACGAAAGCTGCCTACCTACTCAGGACTCTCAGTATGTGTGCCCGACGAGGAGGGTGGGCCAATAGAGGTTCAGCGCCGCCACTATCTTCGTTGTGAGGTTCTCTATGTAATTGGTTGGTTCGTGATGGTATCAAGTATGGTTTGCAGTTAAAAATGCGGTCGCTATGCTGCTGGTCGTGGTCGTGATGTAAGATATCTTCCTGTGGGTAGTCGTTGAGGAGGGTGTCACTTTTGATAGGAGTCGCGCCAAAAAGGCCAGTGAGACGCGACCACTAAAAACGCGCCTCTCTCTGCACAAGCCGCAAGCCGTAAAGTGCAAGCTTAAGCACCACCAATTGCAGGGGAGCCCCCGGACACCCTGACGACGTTCGCGGCGTACCCATTAGCTGCAAACCATCTTTGTCCTCATCAGAATCCTTGCTCCCCGGGCCAGCCTCGCCCGCAGCCTGCGACCAACACCACAACGCCTCCATTGATCAGCGAGCAAAGGTTGAAGCACACAACACAAAAGTCGAGGTCCTGCCGACTTGGTTCCGACTGAAATACCAGCGACGACAGGTGACCAGTGCTACGGTACCCATTGGGAGCCCCACTTCCCTCGATCTCGACCGCCGCGAACATGATCACAGCGCCGCCGATGCGACAATGACTTCCCGAAGCACGTCCTTCTCCCACAGCCCGCACCGGCTCCGGCGCCCGTCCATCAGCTCGAGGCTTTCCTTCGCCGTCTCGACTGCCGAGCAGAGCGAACATGACGATGAGGCCGACGGCGCCGCGCCCGCCCACCAGCAGCAGCAGCAGATCGAGGAGGAGATCGCCGAGATTAAGCGCTACGAGGACTTCACCACCATAGACTGGGTACAGGATGCCGCCCAGGAGCAGGCGAGGAGGAAGATGCGCCGGAGGCGGCGGGCGGGTATGCTCGATAACGGCCAGGCGGGATGGAGGTACCGGCTCCGCGAGTCCTACGACGCTGCGCAGGGCTGGCTCGTCGTGACGTTGATCGGAGTCGCTATCGGGCTCAACGCTGCGTTCCTAAACATCATTACGGAATGGCTGTCCGATATCAAGACGGGATACTGTACGACGGCGTTCTACCTCAATGAGAACTTTTGCTGCTGGGGCGAGGACAACGGCTGCGACGAGTGGCATCGCTGGACGGGATTCGCGCCGGCGAACTACGTCATCTACATCCTCTTTGGCACCATCTTCGCCTTCACCTCGGCCACACTCGTCAAGTCGTTTGCGCCGTACGCTGCAGGGTCGGGCATCTCCGAGATCAAGTGTATCATTGCTGGGTTCGTCATGAAGGGGTTCTTGGGTTTCTGGACGCTTCTGATCAAGTCCGTCTGCCTGCCCCTGGCCATCGCCTCTGGCCTGTCCGTCGGAAAAGAGGGCCCCAGTGTGCACTACGCCGTGTGCACCGGAAACGTTATATCGCGGATGTTTGAAAAGTATAGGCGCAATGCCTCCAAGACGAGGGAGATTCTGAGCGCCTGTGCCGCCGCTGGTGTTGCTGTTGCATTTGGCAGTCCCATCGGCGGAGTACTGTTCTCTCTGGAAGAGATGTCGAATTACTTTCCTCTCAAGACGTTGTGGCGCAGCTACTTCTGCGCTCTCGTGGCAACAGCTGTGCTTGCGGCCATGAACCCCTTTAGGACCGGTCAACTTGTCATGTTCCAGGTTCGCTACGACCGGTCGTGGCACTTTTTCGAGGTGGTGTTCTACATCATCTTGGGTATCTTCGGCGGTCTCTATGGCGCCTTTGTCATGAAGTGGAACCTACGGGTGCAGGCGTTCAGGAAGAAGTACCTGACAAAGTATGCCATCGCGGAAGCGACCATCCTCGCCGCTGGAACCGCCATCATTTGCTACCCCAACGCCTTCTTGAGGATCGACATGACGGAGAGCATGGAGATATTGTTCCTTGAGTGCGAGGGAGCTGAGGACTACCACGGCCTATGCGAGTCAGACAAGAGACTTTCCAACATTCTGTCACTAGCTCTGGCTACGATCTTGAGAGTCCTGCTCGTCATCATCTCTTACGGTTGCAAAGTGCCGGCCGGCATTTTCGTTCCGTCCATGGCCATTGGCGCATCGTTCGGCCGTTCGGTGGGCATCATTGTCCAAGCAATCCACGAAGCCAACCCCACGAGTGCGTTCTTCGCGGCTTGCAAGCCGGACGAGCCTTGCATCACACCCGGCACATACGCGTTCCTAGGCGCCGCCGCAGCGCTGAGTGGCATCATGCACATCACTGTGTCTGTGGTTGTTATCATGTTTGAGCTCACAGGCGCCCTGACGTACATCCTCCCCACCATGATCGTTGTCGGGGTGACCAAGATCGTCAGCGAGCTCTTTGGCAAGGGCGGTATCGCTGACAGAATGATCTGGTTCAGTGGGTTCCCATTTTTAGACAATAAGGAGGAACACAACTTTGGCGTCCCCGTTTCCGAGGTTATGCGGACGGAGATCACATCGTTGCCGACGAGCGGCATGGTGTTCTCCGAGCTCGAGAAGCTTCTCAAGGAGGATAAGTACCAAGGCTTTCCCATCGTTGAGGACGCCACCTCCAAGATTCTCGTCGGCTACATCGGCCGCACGGAGCTTCGCTACGCCATCGACCGCGTGAGGCGCGAGAGGCCCATCAATCCGGACGCAAGGTGCACCTTTTCGCCACCGCCGGCTGCCCTCAACTTGACCACACCGCTCACACCCACCGTGACGACGAGCTTCGACTCGATGTCGTCCACCTCTGTCGATTTTAGCCGGTACATCGATACCACTCCCGTGACCGCGCACCCGCGGCTACCTCTTGAGACGGTCATGGAGCTCTTCCGGAAGATCGGCCCAAGGGTCGTGCTCGTCGAGTACCACGGTCGCCTGTCGGGTCTCGTGACTGTCAAGGACTGCCTGAAGTACCAATTCACGGCCGAGCACGCCGAGGGCCCGCGCGACGACTCTGCCCTCGCCGAGAGCCAGGAGAAGTTGTGGAGCGCGATGCGTCGTGCCGCGGGTTGGGTGTCTGACAAAGTGTCGATAGCGTCTGGCGGGAGGGTGCGGCTGTCGTCGTTTGACGAGCGAAGGGGCACGGCCGGAAGCGGTGGAGGTGGCGGTCGCCCGACTGGCGCGCAGATATTGGACGGTGATGAGGATGATGTTGATGACGGAGGCGTAGAGCTTGTGAACCGGTGATGTGCTCTTTCTTGTATGACCTGACGCGTGGTTTGGGACATGGGAGTTCGAACGTGATATAGGAAGCATGATGCTTGGTCGGCGTTATGTGGGCATGAATATGGCTAGGGTTTGTTTTCGAGCTCATTAGATGTGAATAGATCTCATAGGCATACTATGAAGTAACATACCATTCCGTTGTGTGGTGACAGGCCAATCTGTGAGCTGGTTGGTGATCCAGGTTGACTAGGGACTATCCGTTAACATCACCAGAGGCCCTGACAACTTGGTCCGCGATACAGGCTCTCAACTCCTGAAATGCAGTAAACGTGACGACAGCCGAAAATCTGTTGGCATGGCCAACCTCGAAAAGCACAATGATGATGACGGCGATGGTGAGATGGCTGACCACATTTAGTGGACAAAGTGGATATGCCATCCGGTTCACTTTGACGCTCAAAATAACGCAGCCGATGCCATGGCCTCTGCTCGCACACGGACAGGGCCTTTCAAGAGGAATCAAGTGTCGGTTTGCCCTACGCCGAGCGTGGCTCTGCGTGAGGAGACGGTCTTGTGAGCATGACAGTACTTGCGTGTGCTATGACAGGTGCGATCACATTAGGAGACGCCCGGTTTTCCCACCTTTTGATATTCGTCATTTTTCTTGACTCTTCAAATATCGTTCTGCACAGTTCTTGAATTGCGTGTTGATTTCTTCCATACACTGGGTAATGCGATGAGAAGCTCCTGCTGGCCTGGTTCAGCCATCTAAAACAGGCCCTACAGAGAGCTACAAAGTGTGGAGCGTTGCGCATCGTGAAGGCCTCATAGTCAGATTAATGCAAACATTTGCAGTGTATATACTTTGGTTTTCTATCACATCTATCATCTATCGGCTATGTAAGTCACAGATGCAGACATCTACAATCTTTGCCTCGTACGATTCCTTCCCGATTGGTCTCAATCCCGGTGCTCCGGCGAGTTCAAGTCTCCTAAATCAACAATATCCTCGTCCTCAGAGTCCTTGTCCTCATCAGGACCGTCCAGGGGCACAGTGGCGAGGCCGGGCTGCTGGGGTACCGGCACATAGTCGCCTCCGGGCTTGTCGGCCTCCTCGTCCTTACGGCCAATAATGACATTCCCGGCGACAAGCATGGCGGCGCCGACCCACCACAGCGGCGGCAGGGTCTCAGAGAAGATGGCGAAGCCAAGGATGGCGGTGATGACGAAGTTGGACGACGTGTTCATGATGGAGACCTGCGTTGTCGATTGGCCCTTGGCGAGGGCTTTGGTGAAGAGAGTCCACATCTGAGAGGGCGCGTTAGTCGAGCGATATTGTGTAAGTGAGGGAAGGGGGCTGACTTACAATGCCGTTGAAGACGAGGTTGAGTCCGAAGAAGACCTGGGGAACGGGTTAGTGCGGCGACGATAAGGATTGACCGGATGCGCTTACGGCTCGCAAGACGACCTCGAAGGCACCTTCAATGTTTTGCAGGTGAAGGAAGTTGGAGATTGCTTGTGAGATATTTGTTGTGAGATCAGTCGTGGTCCTGCAAAGCTGTGAGTGAGAGTTTCAATGATGAATGAAATGGTTTGAATAGATGAAGTGAAGCCAAAACAATTGGCATCGCCGATATCTTGACGCGAACAGGCTCCAACAACCAAGCAGAAGGCGGTTCAGAAACAACTTGTGAGTGAGGTTGGTTCGTGAAGACTTGGCATTGACGCCCAGCGTCCGATGGAGCCGCAACAGAAAATGGCAACTCACAGCTTCGCAAACACGCCATTGAAAGCAGCGCAGGCGCCGCTCGCAACAGCGAGCACAATCCACTGGTTCCGTCGTGCCCAGGCCATGCTTTTCGTCGATTCTTCGTTGTCGTCTGCCTCGGCGGATTGCCGGCTACTGCTGCTGTGTGCGTCGTCCTCGTGGCGTGGGAGCAGCGGACGGTGCTCGTTGTCCAGGGTCGTTGTCGTCGCGGCCGCCATGGTGGGTATCTGTTCCTTTTGAGGGCAATCGGGGGCGGATGCGGCGGCGGCAGGTTGTCGTTGGCGGAGCATTATGTGGAGAGGAGGAGAGAGAGGAAGGAGGGAGATTGCTGCTGGGTGAGCGACCCCTGCTTGCTGCCGACTGCTGGGGATGGGATGGATGGCTGACAGATGACGGGGTTGGTGGTGGTGGTGGTGGGCTTGGCGATGGGATGAGGTAAGGCAGGGCTAAGGTGCGCTGCGCTATGGTTCAGTGTAGCAGCACCTGCAGACGCACCACGTGTGGCAGTGTGTGCACCTGAAGAAGTCCCAAGAGACTCGTCTACAACGGCAACGGGATGGATGGGATGGCGGGCGCTTGGGAGTGTCTGGCGGCGACTGTGGTACGTGTCTCAATGGTGGGCGGGATTGTTTGACAATGTCTTGAGAAGAGTGCGTTAGGGGAATCCCAGCAGGAGCAAGTCCAGGGGCACGTTGTTTTGGGAGCCTTGGTGCTGTCTCGCTCTCCAAACAGTGTCTTATATCGACAAGGTGTTCAGTCTCAACGCCAGGATGAGAACGGCTAAGTGAACAAAGGTATCGAATTAGGAAGCACGTCGTTGAGCATATAAGGCCATTGAGGCTAATGATAGGGGAAAATGTCAAGTTGCCAGTGAAGAAACCAACCCACGCCAGGAACCACACGAACGCCTGCGTCCGGTTCTGGAAAATGGGGCCCCGGCTCTGCAGGTACCCGGCATCGGCCTTTCCCCCTCTCAGATGTGGCTGGCTGGGAGCACAGGTCGGGCGCAGAAGTCGAATGGCCTGCTGCCGTCTGACAGGGAACCAGCAAAGTTTCTAGAAAGCCTCAGGGAACCCTCGAATTGCCAAATGTTGCCATTTAGCGGCATTCCTAAAGCCAGGCGGAATACCATCCAATTGAGCGGTGGGGACGCCGCCCATGGCATGACGTATGGTCCTAGCGACGACATATCGCATTATTTAGTGACAACTAACAACACGAGTGGAAAGAAAGAGGACAATGGAGTCGAAAGCGTACAAAATATAGGGGAATTGTCACAATCTTCACAAATCTAGAGTCGCTGCAGGGTTGCAACCAAGCAATCGCACACTTCTCATGCAGGCACTCAGTTTATTGACTCGACGACGTAGCCATCTGAGTAATGCTGTATAAAACCTCTGGTGGTATCAAAAACACATTCTTGTACAAACTCCTGTTGTCCCTAGCCAGTTGCCATCATAAGACCATGAACCTGAACGCCAAATATATGCAGCCACTGGGGGCGCTCCTCGATGTCGTCGCCCGTGTCCGAAAATGCATATTCATCCGTATACGAAAGATGGCTGAGGCCGATGTTGGCCCTCTCGGTCTTGTGTGCGCCCACCCTTCAAGGGCCTTCGCCGGGCTTCTTGGCGTTGCAGCTGACAATCTTGACCCTGTCGGCCGTGACAATTTGGCCGCCGTTATCAAGCTTGAATTGCACGTTCTTGATAAGAAACGTCCAGACTTCGTCGCAGAAACGGTAGGTGCTCAAGCTGCCCTGTGAGGAAAACAGTGTTAGTAATCTTTTACTGGATAAATAGATCACACAATGATGTTGGTTGCGCAAATGCAGCAAAAGAAAATAATTGCGACTTTGGAGCGCAATTTGCTGCAAAGTCGGAGGGAAACCAGAGGCAAGACCCAAAGGCCAACGGCAAAAGAGGGCGCAGGGTAAGAGCAACAAAGCCAGCGGCACGTACCTTGAAGGTGAGACGAGCCTTAACGCTCTTCTGCAGGGCCTCTGTTATAGCCTGGTCGAAGTTGGCCAGGATCTTCATCGCCAGCTGGGGATGGATTCGCTCCTCGCTAATAAGATCATCGAGCATGTCCGTTAGCGCAAGGCCGATGCTGTAATCAAACAAACGAGTTAGTGATGTGTAGCAGTAAATGTGTAGTAATTGTCATGGATGGCGCAGTACCTGCTACGGCGGTAAAGCTCGTAGAACGATTGAGGTGCGGCTGCCATCTTGGAGATTTGTTCTGGATCTCCTGCGGGCGGGCGTCGATTTGGATGGTTGCGAGTGTGAAAGAGGCAAGGTTGTATTTATACTGGCCTTGTTTGAGGATATCCTTGGAAACAGCTTACTCATCTGTTCTAGAAGTGGGTCCGTTACTGCTCCTTCCGTGGTTGCCTGTCATCCTCTGACTTTGGCAACGCCTCCCTGCTTTGCTGTGGATTACCTAAGGAAACTGTAGATGTACACGTCATGTGACCTTGCCAAATCTGGGTCGCTTTCTGCTTGCCTTACCTCAGATACCTTACCTCACCTCGCCTGGCCGACAAGAGAGCTCGACGTAGCTACAACGATCCCCCAGACCCTCCTCCGCCGTCAACCACCATTCACGACACAGGGAACGACACACGCCGAATCGAGCACGATGAGTCTCACATATGGCCTGGGAGGCATTGGGAGCACCCTCCTTGTTGTGGGAGCTTGTACGGACCCGCCCTACGATGCATCGACGACCCGCGACAGCGCGAGCTAACACCTCGAACAGACATGCTCTTCACAGGATCGGGCGAGGCTTTTAACGTCGGAGAATTTCTCGAATCTATCTCGCCCTACGCGTGGGCGGACACAGGCATCGCCCTCTGCATCGGTCTTTCTGTTGTAGGCGCGGCATGGTACGGATAAGCACCTGTCATTATCCAGCACTGCCGGTCATTTCTAACAGGGCGTCAACATCTAGGGGCATCTTCATCACCGGCTCCTCCATTCTCGGCGCGGGCGTTAAGGCGCCGCGGGTACGAACCAAGAACTTGATCTCCATTATCTTCTGCGAAGTCGTCGCCATTTACGGCGTCATCATGGCCATCGTCTTTTCCGCCCAGCTTGAGAATGTCCAGGGTGCAACTCTGCACGACGGCAACAGTTACTACACTGGATTCGCCCTTTTCTGGGCTGGTATCACCGTCGGAATGTGCAACCTGATCTGCGGTGTCGCTGTCGGCATCAACGGCAGTGGCGCCGCGTTGGCCGATGCCGCCGACCCCACGCTGTAAGCACCGTCTAGGTCGATGTTGAGAGAACTCAAGTTTACTGACCATTTGGTACGCAGTTTTGTCAAGATCCTCGTCGTCGAGATTTTTAGCTCCGTCCTCGGTCTTTTCGGTCTGATCGTTGGTCTCCTTGTCTCCGGCAAGGCCAACGCCTTCGGCAAGGTATAAACATAACACGGTATTCAAATGATATCGAGGGGTTCAAAAGGAGGAGATTACCGCGGACAGCATAGCAAATGTCAACCTCGGGCACGATGTACAGGGGAGCACTGCATTACACCAAGGCTACTTGGGCGGGCGTTAATGGCATACAGGCAGGGCGAGGATATTTTGTATTGTACACTATCGAAGTATTATAGCTCCTCATCGAGATGATTTCTGCGCGACAATCACGTAATGGACTCAGACATTGAAATTTGCAATCTGGCGCCTGTATCTTCCGTAGCCCCTTGATAAGTGACATTTTTCACTAGGCAAGTCAGGGTTGATAGGCTCCGTACTCATGAACAGAACAGCACGTCATTGTCATGTTTGCTCAGATTAGGTCTATCTACGTCTACATATTCAAAGTTCCATACGGATGTCTCCCATCAGAAGGGCCTCAACCTTGCTTCCCTTCTTCAACGGCTCCGAGCCCGTTGGCAAAGCAAGCAATGCGTTCGCAGACTTCAAGCTGCCAACCTTTGAGCTCCTCTGGCCACCAGTGCTGCTAGCCGAGAGTGACCCATCCTTCCCTACTGTGACAATCACGCGATGGTATTCCGGTCGCACCTTGTCAAGAGAGAAATCATGGGCTAGGGTGACGGGCACCTTGGGCAACCCTGTAGGCTCGATGCCAGAGAGCTTGTGCAGTGCCGGTAGGACGAAGAGGTGGAAGGTCACAAGAGCCGACGCCGGGTTTCCGGGTAGAGAGAAGACGGTCTTGGTGACTCGCTCGCCGAGGGTCGTCTTGACCGGCACCGTGGCGAATGTGGTGGGCTTGCCAGGCTTCATGGCCACACGACCGAAGTGGATCGTGCCGCCAAGGGACCGCTCTATCGTCGGCTTCAGGAGGTCAAGCTCACCCATCGAAACGCCACCCGTGGTGATGAGTAGGTCGCTGCGGCGCAGGCCCTCGCGCAGGTTCTCCTCGAGCGAGTTAGCCTTGTCGCGTGCGATGCCAAGGTCGATGACCTCGAAGCCCCACTGGCGCGCAGCGGACATGAGCGTGATGCGGTTTGTATCGCGAACCTCACCAAGGCGGAGGCCGCCGGGGCGATCCGGCTCAATGATCTCGTCGCCCGTCGAGAGGATGCCGACGACCGGGCGCTTATAGGTCTTGACCTCGGCGACGCCAACGGCCGCGAGGAGTCCAATCTCACCGCCGACGCCGGAGATCTGTTCTCCCTTTCTGAGAATCACGTCGTTCTCCTGGATATCGCTCCCGACTTCGCGGATGTTCTCGCCGGGCTTCACGCCGTCGGCGAGGATCTCGACCTCCTTCTCCTCCTTTTCGTCTTTGGTCATGGATTTCAAGACGGTATCTTCAACCATGATGACGGAAGTGGCTCCCGGCGGCAGAGGGGCCCCTGTCGTTATCCTAGCGATTTCGCCTTCCTTAAGGCCCTTCACATTGCCGGGAGCGGCGTGGGATACTGCGGCAACGGGGAAGACACCCTTCATGTTGCCATCCTCTGGCACGACCACGGCATACCCATCAACAATGCTCGCCCTAAACGCCGGAACGCTTTCTCTCGCTGTAACATCTTCCGCTAGTACCGAGTTCACCAGGTTAACGCCGAGTTTGGAAGTCACGACTTCAGCCTCGGGAGTAAAATCCTTGATGAGTCGCAGGGCATCATCCACCTCTAACATGGGGTACGGTGACTCTCTGTGTCTGCGGGTGGGGCCAAGACTCGGGTCGTTGGACAAAGGGTTATCGCCTGGTTTCGTGTGTCTGACGAGGCCTCCATGACCATGACCATGTCCGTGGCCGTGGCCGTGAGAATGCCCATGACTGTGACTGTGGCCTTGGCTATGGTCGTGTGAGTGGTCGTGGGAGTGATCTTTTCGGGGATTCGATGTCTTGGAGGCGGCCTCTGAGCCGATGCCGGCATCCGACTCAAGCTTCTTTACCCCGCCTTCGTGGAGGATTCTAGAGTCTGCACCGGCGGCCTGTACGCATGCGTGAGGCAATGTTTTAAGGATGGCTTGTAAGTTCTCCTTGGCACCTTTAGGAGAGCCAGGTAGCGTGACGATGACAGTAGTGTTGCGAGTGCCTGCCACCGGCCTGGACATCATGGCAACTGCTGCTGTCAGTACGGCCTTAAATAGGGTGCTACCTTCACTTACATGGAGTCACAGCCAGAGACGAGGCCAGCATTGCGTGGACCAGGCCTGGGGCGGTCCTATGGAGGAGGGTCGCTACAGCCTAAATGGCAAGATTAATACCGAAAAATTCCAACCTCACTCCGTAAGCGTACCTCAGGTGTGTTATCTGATACTGCGAAGCCAGTCCCGCCAGTGGTTAGGATAAGATTGACTCCTTCGATTGGGCCAAGGTCTGCCCAGAGCATAATCTGGCGCTGGATTTGAGGCACATGGTCTTGCACGATCTTGGTCTCTGTGACTTTCCATTTTCCGCCACCTTCGTTCTCGATGACATCTCTAAGGACGAGTTCAGACTTGTCTGTCGAAGGGTCCTTGGACGCTGTCGTCGAGACGATCAGGATAGCCACTTTGAGAGGGGCGTCAGTCATGGCGTTAATCGTGGCTATGAGATGGCGAGAACTTTGGCAAGAATGAAGTTTCTGAGATATGTATTTCTTATAAAACCCTCAGTAACTTCTGAGCACACCACCAAAAACACGTCCGATATCACTTTAGTGGACTACGCTTGGTGACGTCGGGAGCTCGTAGGTGCAGAGGGAGCTGCCGATGGGTGGTGAAGCTCCCCGGCCTTAGTAAGCGACATCCCACGAGCGCCCCACTCTGAAGGACTTGGGCATCTTCAATCCAGGCGTGCCAGGGTCCCGCGCGTCAAGGTACGTACCACGAGACGTGAACTTTTTCAAGAGTCAACTTCAGCAGCCAACTCTGTCAAGGAATAGCACCGATACCCACGCGCCAGTATGGTCCGCATCAAGGAGAGATACGTTCTCGTCAACATTTTATATCCACCAGACCCTTCGAAGCCACAAGCGCCCAATGTCCCGGACTTTGTGGTCATGCACCAACCGACAACGGGCAGTCTCACTCCCCAGTCTCTGTTAAAGGCGATTAGAGCTGAGGTTGCTACCCTGTTTGGCGACTATGGTTCTGGCGCCATAGAAGGGAATCTCCAGGGTAAGCAGGAATTTCCAATCATCTTATGAACAATGTCTTAACTGTGGTGCAGTCAAGTACCTTTCCAACGCAACGTCAACTTTCATTTTGAAAGTGAAGAGAGCACACTACCGTCTCGTCTGGGCCGCCCTGACTTTCATGAACTGCGTGCCTCTTAAGACAGGGGATGGCAAGCCGTGTACTTTCAAGGTCGTCAGAGTGAGCGGTACTATTCGCAAGGCCGAAGAGGAGGCAGTTCGACAAGCTAGACAGCTCGTGCTTGCAGCCAAGGACTCTGCTGCGGCCGCTGCCAGTGGCACTCTGCCGATGTTCACCGCGCCCAAAGCCCAAGTCGAAGACACTATCATGTTCGACGCTTCAGACGTCTCCGATGAGGACATGGTTGAAGAAGACGGCTGAAGGGTATCATTTGTTCTTGCGCACTACTTTTACACCACTATCTGCGGGTATCGACATGTCGCCGAAGTCTGGATCATAATCCGCCGCAGCCTGCTGAGGTGTCTGACCCGCATTTGGATCCTCCGCCTCCCGTATTTTGGCCTGCTCCTCCCACTCCTTCCGCTCCAGCTCGTCATACTCTGCCTTGCGGTCGACCCAGCGCTCCTGGATATCCTGAATCTCCATCATGGCCGACTCGTTGCGCATGGCGACCTGCCAGACGGAATCGTTCGCACCCTCGGCGCTTCCAAAGACGTATCCGCCCGCTCGGTCAATCACCCGGAGGAGATGCATCATGCTCTTCTTGTCTTCCACCGCAAGGACTTCGAAACGGACCAGGCTGTAGCTCTCAATCATGTTCGAGACGGCCTCGTTCAGTCGGCTGAACTTCTCGTTGCGCATCGCCGGCGATTCCTCCTCCAAATAGGGGATCAGATACGATAGATCGTCTACATCGGTGTAGTATTCGAGGTTGAAGGGCAAGCTGTCGTAGGAGGCGACTTTGTCGATCTTGGTCAGGACGTTAATGTGTGGCATGTCCATCTGAAGCATGGCGCGGAGGGCCAGAAGCAGGTTTGAAATGTACAACGAGGGTTGTGTTAGACAGAACGAGTCGGAGAGATGTACTACGACGAGCTTTTACGAGGTCAGCGAGGTCAAACCGAGAGTATAGCGTCTGGGAGACTGACTCTGAAGCCGATCTTCTGCAGCCTGAAGAAGATGTTGCGCAAAGAGTTGTGATGTGTGTATAGCTCGACCTGCCCCGGGCAGTCAAACAGGATGTAGTCTTCGCTGAACTCTTTCAAGCCTTCTTCGAGCCATTCCATGTTGTGCTCCAACTCTTCTAGAGCGTAGAGAATACCGCCGTTCGGCCCCAGCTTGTCGCTCGCCATAATATCCTCCAGCTTCACCAGTTCTCGGATGTCGAGTGCTTTTGGGTAGTTTGTGTGGTCGTTCGCGGGATCGAGATTCACCACAGAGCATGCGCGACCAATCGCGCCCATGAACTGGTGCACTAAGCGCATCATGTTAGCTTTCAAAACCATGGAGCTTGTGTTGGCAAGGGTGGCTCTTACTGCCATCGCAGTAGGTGCTCTTTCCGGAGCCCGGACTGCCCAGGACAAGTTGCGCAAAAGGCATGGCAGTCTTTTTCAGATAGCCTGGCTCAGGATTTTTGTAGCTGTACTTGAATGATGGAATAAAGCAGTCGGTGGCGTCGGGAATTGCTTGTTGCAGAGTGTGACTAGATCTTCAAAAGTTGAAGTTTCCCAGGCCCAATCGTGCCCCTCCATGCAGCATTACCAACAGCGCAGTCACTGAGCGCCCTGGCGTCACATGCCGCACGTTCCGCCCTGGGTCTGTTTAGCGGCGTGGGGCGGCACTATCCTTGACCGCCCGTGCCCAAGTTCGTTGGACTTCCAAGCTTCTTCAAGCTCCCCCCACAAGCGCAAAAAGCTGTTTTTCTTCCCTCTTCTATTTTTCTCCCTCTTCCTTCCAATCACCAACCACCCCTCGACCTCGGTCTTGCGTCTCAGCCACCAACGACGGGCTTAAAACCATCCCTCCCTAGCCTGCGCACTGCTAGCCCCAGGGTCGCGTTCCAAATATGTAACCTGTCTTTATTCCCCTTGCTTTTGCACTATGCTGCAACGCCCGTCCTATCCCACAACACCGCAGTCATGTCGTCGTCCGACATTTCGAGTGCCGCTCACGCGGTGTCAGAGAGCTTGTCGGCAACGATGAAAGCTTCTCCCGATGCCCTGCCGTCCGCATTCACGCGCGCGCAGGAGGTCGTCGCGGCCCAGGGGTCGTCTAGTTGGTTGGGTCTGTTTGGCAGGTTGATCCTCGCCATTCTGTCTCTGATTTCCTCGATCCTTTACTGGGCCATACGGATTGTTACCATTACGATTCCGACCCTCCTCTTCACCTTGTTCTCAACAAGCTGGACTGTAACGATGAACGCCACTACCTTGTGAGTACCGGCCGCACGTACAAGCATCTGATCTTTTGCTAACGTGACGCGTAAAGAATGGTTATTGTGGTCGCCATCATATCCGCCGTCAGTTGGGTGGTGCGATACCGCATCCTTAACATGTACTCCCGACTCCCACCGGAGCCTCAGAGAAAGGAGCCTGACGTTGACCTGTTTCCCGACACACATGATGAGGGCAAGAAGTCTGGTCTGTCGAGCTACTTGGACGAGTTCCTTAGTGCCATCAAGATCTTTGGCTACCTGGAACGACAGGTCTTCCACGAGCTGACGAGGAGCATGCAGACTCGTAAGCTCATCGCTGGCGAGACCTTCAACCTGGAAGAGGAGAAGGGGTTTTGTATTGTCGTCGACGGTCTAGTGGAAATCTTTGTCAAATCTGGCCGAAATGCCAGAGCAATGGACCCAGACCCCTGCGACAATTATGGAGCTGATTCGGCCTATCACGGGGAGGAGGAGGACATGTCACCTCATGGGCAGCAGAGATACCAACTTCTCACCGAAGTTCGCAACGGAGCTCCCATGTCTTCTCTGTTCTCCATCATGTCTCTCTTCACAGAGGATGTCAAGCTTCGGTCAACGGATGACGATACTCCTGAGCCCACGTCTGGCAGCGCTGGGTTGAGAACATCCCCGTTCCCACGCAATGCTGGTTTCCGCCGTATGCCTTCAGATCCCGCTAGCCCATTCCCTGCCACTCCAGAGTTTCCAGAGAGTGTGGAAGAGAGGACCAGTGTACGGATCGAAGAGCCTCCAAAACGGGCTGCCACGCCCAACTTGCCTGGCAGCGCAAGGATTCCGCCCATTTCTCTTGACAACTCTGGAAGCGCTCGTGTACCCAAGCGTCCTTCGCTTCAGAGTCGGGCGACATCTGGCTCAGCTCATCCAGACATTATTGCCAGAGCGACGGTTGACACGACCATCGCCATCATTCCAGCCAGCGCCTTCCGCCGCCTGACTAAGGTCTACCCCAAAGCAACTTCACACATCGTCCAGGTCATTCTTTCTCGCTTCCAAAGAGTCACCTTGGCGACGGCCTACAACTACTTGGGGCTCACTGGCGAAGTTTTGCAGACCGAGAAAAACATGCTGTCCTTCACCACCTGCCAGTTGCCCAACATGCTCCGAGGTGATGCTCTACAGCGCCTGAAGGAGAAATTCGATCGGGAACGGGAGAGAGTTGGCGGTGATTCTGAGAGCAAGGGTATTGCGCTTCACAACGCCAATGCTCATCGTCGTCGCAAGTCAACGACAACTCTCCGAAAGGATGCCATGATCCACTCCATGGCTACCAAGGAGAGGTCCTTTTCTCAGGTTGCGACAACAATCGCGCCACCAAGGGAGAGAGCTTCTACGCATACAAGCCCTGGCGATCTTTTGGCCAACATTCAATCCGCTCGATACGGCGATCATCAACCGTCAGGCGCGAGCAGTGTCCAACTTGAGCAAGTCGCTGATGCTCTTCGTCACGAAGGAGCTAGTCCTCTCGCCCAGCGCTCCTTCAATCCCTTCACGACCCAAAGACACTCTCGGGTATCAGTTGACGGCAGAGAATCTCTGGATGAAGACAATCTGTTCCGTCAGTCAATTCTTGAATGCATGTTCAAGGCGATCGGTCTCAGCAGCAATGGCAGTGTCTCACGTGAAGCCGAGTCTGTTGAAGGCTCTCCTCGGCTCTTCTCCTACGACCAAAGACGACCAAGACCGGGTTTTGGCAACAACGCATTCGGCCTCATGGGGCCTTTCGACGCCTCTGGCGATGGCGATACGGAGTCTATGACTTCTGGCGGATTCACCTTGAATACACCACCCAACGCTCATATTCTTGCAAATGACATGAAGGATGACGTGGAGATCGTCTTCTTCCCCAAGGGATCGGTCTTGGTCGAGCAAGGCGAGCGCAACCCTGGTCTTTACTACGTGGTTGATGGATTCCTCGACATCTGCACTTCCAAGGAGGATTCCTCGGCAGACATCTTGCAGTCTTCGAGCAGAACATCGCTGCACACGGACTACGTGGGCGTGGATGGCTCTCCCGGATTCTCACCAGAAAACATGGACACGAAAAAGAAGAAGCCATACCGTCGCGGTGTATCACTCATCAAACCTGGCGGTCTTGCAGGATATGTCGGCACTGTGTCATCCTACCGATCTTTCATTGACGTGGTGGCTAAGACGGATGTCTACGTTGGATTCCTCCCACGATCGGCTCTGGAACGGATTGTTGATCGCTATCCTATTGTCTTGCTCACAATGGCCAAAAGGTTGACCAGTCTCCTGCCGCGTCTCATTATGCACATTGACTTTGCTCTGGATTGGGAGCAGGTTGATGCCGGCCAAGTACTTTTCCACGAAGGTGAAGAGAGCGAGGCCATCCACATCGTCCTCAACGGTCGACTGCGTCTCGTCCAGGACAGGAAGGATGGCGGCGTGAGTGTCCGAGCTGAATTTGGTCAAGGCGAGAGCGTTGGCGAGCTGGAGGTCTTGACCGAGTCTGTCAGACCTGGCACGCTTCACGCCATCCGGCAAACTGAGTTGGTCAAGTTTCCGCGCACACTCTTCAACAGCCTGGCTCAGGAGCATCCGAATATTACAATCAAGATTTCCAAGATCATTGCGTCGCGCATGAGGAATCTTGTAGACGACCCTTCACAGCTCCTTTCTAAGGAGGCGGGCAACACCAACACCATCACCAAGGGTTCTTCTTCCCTCAATCTGAGGACAGTCGCCATCTTGCCTGTCACTTCGGGTGTTCCTGTGGTGGAGTTCGGCAACCGCCTGATGAACGCTCTGGCTCAGGTCGGCCCTGCAAACGGTGCCACCTCTCTCAACCAGTCCGCAATTCTCAACCACCTCGGCAAACATGCCTTTAACAAGATGGGCAAGCTCAAGCTTTCCCAATACTTGGCTGATCTGGAAGAGAAGTACGGTCTGGTTGTCTATGTCGCAGGTAAGCGGTTTCACCAATGTTCTTTTACGACTCGTCCCTTTTATGATGAACAAACCTGTTTCCCGAGGCAAAGCCCGCTGAAGGCCAAACATTAACTCTAATTTTTTCCTGATTGGACACCAACTTACCAACTATGTTTAATTCATTTGGTACAAGAAACGATGCTAACCATCGATCAGATACCAATGTCAACTCCCCGTGGACTCAGACGTGCATCACCCAAGCTGATTGCATCCTCCTTGTGGGACTTGCTGAGGGCTCCCCTGAGATTGGCGAGTACGAGCGCTTCATGTTGGGGATGAAGTCAACAGCAAGGAAGCTCCTCGTTCTTCTTCATTCTGAGAGATACTCTCAATCGGGCTTAACCAGAGCTTGGCTGAGGAACCGTATGTGGATTAATGGCGGGCATTATCACGTTCAAATGCCACTCGGACCGAACATTATGCCTGTGCATCCAACCTCCAAGAGGACTAGTACCACCTTGAAAGAGAGAGTCCAGATCATCCAGGCGGAGATTCAGAAGTACACTTCAAGGAAGACACGGCACAGCCCTTTCTACTCCCCGGACGCACCTTTCAAGGGTGACTTTCATCGCCTGGCCAGACGCCTCTGCGGCAAGTCTGTTGGACTGGTACTTGGTGGAGGCGGAGCCCGAGGCATCACTCAGATCGGCATCATCCAGGCCATGGAAGAGGCCGGTATCCCTATTGATGTCGTGGGTGGAACTTCGATCGGATCCTTCATAGGTGCTTTGTACGCTCGCCATGCCGATATTGTTCCAATCTTCGGTCTTGCCAAGAAGTTCTCGGGCCGCATGGCCAGTATGTGGCGTTTCGCACTGGATCTTACGTACCCAACTGCGTCGTACACTACAGGTCATGAGTTCAACCGTGGCATCTTCAAGACATTCGGCAAGACCCAGATCGAGGACTTCTGGCTCGAGTACTACTGCAACACCACAAACATCAGCAAGAGTCGAATTGAATACCACACCAGCGGCTACGCATGGCGATACATCAGAGCGTCCATGTCTCTGGCTGGCCTACTCCCACCACTATGCGACGAAGGCAGCATGCTTTTGGATGGTGGCTACATCGACAACCTGACTGTCTCACATATGAAGAGACTGGGGGTGGATACCATCTTCGCTGTGGATGTCGGTTCTCTTGATGATGACACCCCGCAGGCGTATGGTGATTCGCTGTCGGGTGTGTGGGCATTTTGGAACAGGTGGAACCCTTTTTCGGGAACGCCCAATCCTCCGACGCTGGCGGAGATCCAGGCTAGACTGGCCTACGTGTCTAGCGTCGACGCCCTGGAAAGGGCAAAGACAATGCCTGGCTGCTTTTATATGCGGCCGCCGATCGATGATTATGGTACGCTCGAATTTGGCAAGTTTGACGAGCTATACCAGATGGGATACAAATATGGGCAGGACTTCCTACAGAAGCTGAGAGATGGCGGTGCATTGCCTTTCATGGAGGAGACCGAGGCCAAGAAGGCGATGCGGAGGACCATGGCGCCCAGAAGAGCCAGCATCTAGTAGATTTGCAGACCTTAGACACACGACATATAGAGCATGAATGATACCACCGTTGCATCGTCACTTGCGCAAAACCCTACTCATTCTTTTGCGGTACGTCAAAAGCTCCACTGCTTCCCGCACATAGCCCCCGACGAAGTCTACCAGTAGGCGAAGGGTTCAGTCGTAAACCAATGGGATCCTTGCTTCAGTCACATGGCTGAAATATCTAGAACAACCGCATATTGGGGGTTCTGAGGAGCGAGTGTCTCATAATGTTTTGAGGCATTGGCTCTCGAGCAATGAAGCTCTGCCAATGGCACAGGGGCATTGGCCGCTACGGGTCTCATTTCGCTGGAGCTGTGGTCAAATCGAGGTCTGACGTCAACGGCTTGGCAATGAATGCGGGTCGGTCTAGGTCGGCCCATGACATCATGCCGCACAGTGACGACAAGCTTCTGCTCCTGATCCAATGGGCGAGCTCTCTAGGGACCGGACATTAAACATCCATGGATGTTAGATGTCAGCCTACTGATGCGGGGGGTAGCTAGCGGCCCAGCGGTGAAGGGGCCAGGACCCAAAGGGCGGGGAGGAGTGAGGACGGAAGACAAGGTCCCAAAGTACCTTTGATAGATAAACTCGATGGTTGTCTAACAGCTATAACTGTCAAATTTTGACTGCCGTTGGAACGTGCAACGCCGTCAAGACTCTCCCCTGCATATCTTGTCTCAATCCGGTCCAGGCGAAAGGCCCGCCACCATACATCCTTTGGGGTTATATATTCCCCAGCGGCGCAGCACTTTTTGTACTTGTCTACGACGACCACCACTACTACACTACACACTCAGAAGTGACATCGACGACGCCGTCGATATTGAGCACTGTTAGACGGAAACACAAAACGAACTACATTCCAGTCTACCCAACAGCCCTTCCAGAGGCAAAGAAGGTCCATACCAAGAAGCGAAGAGAAAGGCACAATGGTCAAGGCGGCCAAAATCCTCCCTCCTGATCCACGACCTTGGAAAGCGGAACCAGAGAGCCGCAAACAACGCAAGGAGTTTGAGAAAGAAGCCGGGGGTTTCGACTGGGGACAGGCCCTCGCTCTCGGTCTCATCGGTGCCACCGTCGTATTTGGAATCGATAAGTCCCTCCGACGCACGGAAGAGAAGCACGAGGAAGAAGACCGGCGAGAAGAAAGACGGAGACAGAGGCAATCGCAGTCCCGCCCGGCGAGGAGTAGTCGGAGCCAGGCTGCCTGGGACCGAGACCGGGATAGGGGCTGCGACAGGGATGACAAGAGCTTCCGGGACGACCACAGTGATCGGGACTACTATGATCGAGATTGGGATGAGAGGGAGTATAAGTCGGTAAGGGATTACGGCCCGCCAGAGAGCGAACCTCCTGAGCCCAGGGTGCGGATGAGGGAGGGGAGTGTACGGGAGGGTAGTGTTCGGGATGAAAGGGAGTATGTTCGTGCCGTTGACCAGTTTGAGAGGGATTATGGGTATGGCCTGCGGTATGACGAGCATAAGCGCAGCCGGAGCAACCCGGCGTCTCGGTCAAGGGATTATTGGTGAGGACGGCACAGCATCTTACGTCCATCCAGCCGTTCACGGCGACCGAGGCTGTACAACAGTATTATATCACGACACAACACATTAAACGACATCATGAGGACGATTACGATTAGCATTTAGTGGCTTGCATAGCAGAAAGATCGGAAACAAGCATGAACTTTTATCAGTATCATTATGAAATTCGACGTTACACAAGAGCGGGCGGGGGAGCAGTAGTTTAGCGAGGATCTGATTTCTTGCATCAACAGGGGTGTTTACAAGCGCATGAAATTCAATAGATATTCCTACAGTACTGTCGGCGCATGGTATCCATACCATGTTGATTTGTAACATGCCACCACGTATGACATGCATGGCAATGGAATTCACCTTACATCTGACAATTCACTCCATCAATCTGACCCAACCCTGTCACGTCACTGTCAATGAGGTGTGACCGACAAAAAACAAGAAAGTTATTCCAGGAGGGTGGAATCACTTAATCCCGTTACCTATCTCTAGCTCAATGATGAATACATTTCTTCGTCGTTTGGCCGCTTGCCTACTGCTGCCGGGCTTCGACCCGATTCCATAAGTAGGGAAATACATCTCACCAATCAACCGCACCTGCCTATTTTGAAATGAGTTGTAAGAAGTTTTGGCCGAATGGTGAAGTCGTAGTTTACGGGCCGTGTCTATTCATTTACTCGTCAACTCGGGGTGTCTAGTCTACTTCCGCTCCGCCAGCGCCTTCTCCGTCGCCGAGACCAAGATATCAAATGCCTTCTTGACATGCTCCTCCTCGATGACCTGGCTACTGCCCGTGCACATACGGATGCCATACGTCCCATGCAACGTCGTCGGTGTGAGGTAAATCACGCCCTCGCCGTTTATGGCCTCCAACACCGCCTCCGTTACCTTGTTGCTGTCCTCCCGGCTCGACCCCTTACACGTGAACACCACCAGTGCGAACCTCGGCCCCGTGATGATCTCAAAGAGATCCTCTCTTGACCTGACCATTTCCGCAAACCTCACCCCGAGGTCGATGCCCCGCCGGAGGTGCGCCCGGATGCCGCTGGCGCCGTACGCCCGCAGCACGAACCAGAGCTTCAAACTGCGGAACCGCCTGCCGAGCGGGATCTGCCAGTCGCGGTAGTCCGTCACCAGGCCGGCCTCGGAGAACTGGTTGCGCAGGTACGCCGGCTTGATGCTCAACGACTCGACGAGCCACGCGCGGTCGCGCACCCAGAGGGCCGAGCAGTCAAAGTTTGTGAGCATCCACTTGTGCGGGTTCACGTTGAAGGAGTGGAACGCCGCGAACGGGGCGGTGTGGTGCGCGTTCTCGGGGAGCATGAGCGCCGAGCCGGCGTACGCCGCGTCCACGTGGACCCAGATCCTGTCCCGCTCGTCGGACGACAGCGCGTCGCGGATGCCGGGGAAGTCGTCGATGGCGCAGGTGTCCGTGGTCCCCAGGGTCGCGGTGAGGTAGAAAGGCTCGAGCCCCTTGGCGCGGAGGGCCGCGACGGTGGAGGCGAGGGCGGCGCCGGACATTGCGTAGCCCGTCTCGGCGGGGCGGGGACGGTGGCGAAGCGGACGCCGAGGATCTGCGCGGCTTTTTTCGTGGAGGAGTGAGCCATCTCGCTGCCGAGAGCGACGAGCTTGGAGCGCAGGCGCCAGGTCTCCTCTTCCTTCTCCTCCGAGTCGGCGGGGAGGTGGGCGGTGGCGTTGCGGAGGAACTTGTCGCGCGCGGCGACCATGACGGTGAGGATGGCCTCGGAGGCTGTGCCGTGGAGGACGCCGCCGCCGCGGGTGGGCGCGGTGGAGAGGAAGCATTCCGGCAGGGCCAGGAGGCGGGCGAGCCAGTCGAGGACGATGGTCTCTAGTTCGGTGACGGCCGGGGAGCAGATCCAGTTGAAGTGGGCGCCATTGAAGGCGTTGGAGTAGAGCTCGGCGAGCATAGCCGGGTAGGAGGAGGAGCAGGGGAAGAAGGCGTGAAACGAGGGGGACTGCCAGTGGGTTATGCCGGGGACGATGTGCGACTGGAGGTCGGCGTGGATGGCCTGCCAAGACTCCGGGTCCTCGGGGGCCGAAGCCGGGAGGAGCGGGCGGAGGTAGCCCGGCGTCACGGAAGGCAGGACCTTGGGCTGGGAAGCGACTGTGTCATAGTACTTTGTGACTAGGGAACGGTGTTAGTCGAGGTGGGTGTTCGTGACGATGTGGGCGAGAGGCGAGATGAGAGACTTACTGTCGTCCACGACCTCTTGGGCGGCGGCGCGGAATTCGGACGAGTCCATTGTGAACGTTCTAGTCTATGTCTTCTAAATGATTCGTGAGTTGAAAGCAAGCACACCGAAAGCGCGTTGTGAGCTCTAGCGAAGTGGAATCGAGAAAGATATCTTGATCTTCTTATACCACGCCGCCAGATGTGCATACGTGTAGAGACGCAGACATGAGACGAAGTCAATTGGGTTTGGATGTGTGGATGTATCGAGAACAACGCAACCAATCAAGCGGGGCTTCTTTGCTGAGTTGGTCTATGCGAGGGGCGTTGCAATCAAATACCATAGTATCTACTGTCTACCCCACTCTCCATCTAGTCATTATCGATCTAATGCTTCCCCGGTCTTCGGAGGGTGGGTTCGGGTGGAGGGTTGTCATAGGTTAAGAGATGCAAGTGTTGGTAGTGGCGAGCCGCACGAGGAAGGGTTGATTGGCGGGGTCCTTCGGAACGGGCTGCGGAAGGGCCTCGGAACGATTCCGGGCATATGGTCTTCGCAAAACCATCGACATGATCCACGTTCGAAGGGCGTAGAAATTGACATAGTCTCCAATCGGCTAGCCCCACCTTCAATTAAGGATATCTTTTTCGGCTTGTCTCTCGGCGGTACTGTTACGTATGTCCGGGGGGTGGATAGATGGAGGGCGAAGCTCACGATTCTGGCTGAGATGGATTCAAACTCATCATTGAAACGGAGCAAGAAGTTTTTCATTCAAGATCTTTGCAGTAAACAGCTTTTTTCTAGTTGTAGTCCATTGAGTGAAGCCTTTGCAGCTTAGGAGCCAGGAAACGAGTCCTACACATACGCCCCTCTTAAACCCAGAGCTCATGTCGTTCAACAACCTGTGAACAACATTGCCGATTTTTATTTTTGTTTTTGTATGTGTCTTAGTCACACTCAAACATCTTGGTCGTGCTGACGTTGATGCGGCTCCAGCTCCTCCTATTGACGATGCAGTCCCAGAACACCATGGGCCAGTAGACGTGATACAGCCACCACGCCGGCAGCGGATCCCAAAGCTCAAACGTGCCGTCCTTCCAGAACAAGACGTGCTCTACAAATGCCCACACCGAGCGCCCGTAGGCTGCCAATGACATCCGGAAGAGCAGCAGCCGCGCCGTGGGGAGCAGGAAGAGTGTGAAGAGGTCGTGGCCAATCCAGTAGTACTTGGCCGGGCGCCGCGGCGTCACCACCTCAGCTTCCGAGCCGTTCGAAGACTGATCGCCGTCAAGGACGGCGAGATACTGCGCTACCAAGTCTGGCGTATTTTCAAAAAGCGCGACGGCCGTGTGCGCTCGCGGGTTGCACTCAATGGGGTACAGTTCCAGCTGCTCGGGGCTGCTCATCTTAGCCATGGCCACATCGGTATCGGTCACCATGAAGTCGAAGCTCAAATGCCCCGTGAACCGCTCCCCGAACGACGCGGCCTGCTTCCTCGTGAACTCGAGCATCGCCTGCGACAGCGACGAGTCCGGCGGCAGCGCGACATAGTGCATCAGCAGCTCCGCCGAGCGACACGCCACAAAGGCCCGCACCTCGCCGCGCACCACGAGCGAGTGCGTGCAGAACTCGTGCCCGTCAATGAACTCCTGCAGAAGCCAGGGCTCCTTGTCCGACAGGCCCAGCCACTCGAGGTGGTAGATGTGGTCATACGTCTGCTTCTCCGTCGGCAGCGGCAACAGCGTCATATCGCCACGGCCTCGATCGTTGACGCCCACCGACTTCGCAATGAAGCGCGGCTTCCTCTCCTTCTGTGGTTTGGCAGCCTCCTTGTTGGGGTCGTACGACAGCCCTGCAGCGCCTTCGAGCGCAGCAATCATCTCGTTGCGGCTGGTGACGAGGTACGACTCTGGCACGTGCAGCCCGGTCTCCCGGGTGTATTCCATGAAGGAGTCCTTTTCGTGCAGAATCCTGGTCCGCGCAACGTCGAACTGCACGGCCCTGCAGCTGGTGCGGGCCTCGAGGACCTCCTTGACGATGCCGTCCTCGACGGCGGAGCCGACGCCCGAGCAGCTGACCCAAAGGTCGACCTTTTCCTTGTCGACGATCTTGAGCACCGAGTCAAGATAAGGGGCGGAACTGCCGCGGCCGGGCTTCTGGAGGACGTGGTAGGCGGACAGGGCGCGGGACCTGCTGCCGCAGGCGTGAGGGGAGAAGTCGGCGCCAATCACGCGGTGACCGGCTTGGTGGAACAGTCGTGCCAGGACGAGGCCCTTTGTCATACCGACGCCGGTGACGAGGATGGTCCGTCGGTGCTGCGGCTGAGGTCGATCTGTAGGACCGGATGCCCCGGAAACCCGACTGGGATGCAGGCGCTGCCACGCATAGCACGCGAACAGCAGAGCTGTGTTTAAGGGCAAGAAGGCGAAGCTAAGCGCAATAAGGGCCAGGTCCTTGAGGACCTGGCGAAAGGGGTCACTCGATGCGGCTGTCATGGCAGACGGTGTCACCGTGGATTGCAGACGACAGCCCGTCTCACCAAGGCGATCCGTGGAGAGCGTGAGAGAGGAGCTGAACCGATGATCAGATGACGGGTTGCAGAGTGAGTGTTCTTCGTCGCAATACGCGACGCGCAAGCCGAACGAGCTGGTTTGGTATTGGTCGGACCGGATTGGTAGGAGGGATGAAACAAAATTCTCGAGCCGCCTTCGTGGGTGCCTTTTTTTCGTCCCAGGAAACACAACGGCTGAGGAATGAGACGCGTACTACGCGCTTGCGCTCGCGGCGCATCATGATGCATGGCCGTATTCCACCTCCTACTCCTCCGAGAACTCCGACGCACCGCCCACTTGGGTAAAGTGTACGTCATGGACTCCCTGGCGCAGGTGTTCCCCCCTTACCGTGTCATACCCCATACGCGCGAAAGCGCGCATGTCTCATTGTGTGGAGTGTAGGCATTGTCATTCTTGAGAGGTTGAGTTCATCCAGTGGGCCAGCTGGAGCTCGGTTTCAAAATGCTGATTGGAAAGTCAATCGAACTCATGGGATGATTTCCATCTCGAACACCTAATTGGTTTGTGTGTCGCATGGCGAACCTGAGGGCTTGTCGGGCGACATCAGACCTTGAGGCTGCAGGTTTGCTTGGAGATGGGAGGATGCGCGGATCATTGACTGCTTGACTGCGGATTCATCTCCTCACTAAGGTAGGTAGACCCCACACTGCACTGCCAAGACTCCATTTACGCTTACCTGCATAACATGCTTACCGGCATACAGTCTGCTTTCTCCTATTCTCCCGTCGAATGCATGCATGCCTACCCAGTCACGGCAGGGCAACACTTCGCGATGGTCTCCAATTTCAATTTCCCCCGCATGACACCGCGATCCCGAGCGATCTTCTCGGGCAATTTAAAGCGGAAGCGATCAGCATTGGGCTGGAAATAACCTCCCAGCCGGCTTACGGCCCTGAACGGATGATACTTCGGGAGACCTCCTTTTGGTCTGAAAGTCTGCTCGTCTGCATCGACTCAATTCGACTCGACACCCTTGGCGCTTCGACCTTTTGCTGGGCCTCGCTGTTCAATGATCACCCTGGCCTAGTGTAGTGGGCCCAAGTCGACCGGTGGTCTTCCTGCTCAGACTAGTTCTCAAACACCAGAAAGGTGACTGGAAAGGTAAACAGAAGTACATGGCACATCAAGTCATGCACCTTTGCTCTGTATCACGGGTATTTTCTGGGTATGGTTCCGAAGTGGAAGATCGTGTATTCTCCAACCCCCCTACTAATGTAGGCTGGCATGCTTTGCCTAATCCTACAATAAACTATTCGACGAACTGTGGTATCATTACTCATTATAGTCATCATTAACAATAAAACCCCCATGCGCGCCTGAGCTCTTGTCTCGCCCCAGGCACTTAAGGAATGTCCATGTCAGAGGGTATCCCATCTCGAAAAAGTCTAACCCGTTGTTGCCCTTTCCTTGCGCCAGAAAAAAAAAAAAGGAGTGTCTACAGCGATAATCCTGTAAACCCAATAACCAACTCCTTGCCAACGATCTGCGGCCCGTGAGAACGAAGATCGCTCACGCAACGGCAACAGCAGCGACAATAGAGTCCAGGGCCGAGCTATGAGTCGGGCCGGAAACCCCCTGCGCGGGGCCTGACCAGACGACGCCGAGCCTCCCCTGGCTATCACGGTTCTTGGACCAATTGCTGTCCGCATTCTGCAGAAGGAAGGTCTTGAAGTCGTCCTGGGGTGCCACGGCCTGCAGGTACCGAAGGTTGCGAACAAAGATGCCCTTGAACTGGTTGCCGTCCGAGCCGCAGTTGGGCTCGCAAGTGTCATGGAGGATGCCGTTGCCATCGGCCAACTGCTTGATGGCAGCCTTGGCGATGTTGGTTGCGTCTGTCAGCAGCGACTTGTTGCCGGTGGCCTGGCTGAGCTCGACGAGCCCGCCGAGAACGACACCTTGGTTGTAAGACCACACGTTGGCGCCGTTGTTTTTGCAGTCGCTGTCCAGACCGTCGTTGATGGTGCCCTCGTCGTTGATCATGCCGCTGGCCTTGAACCAGTTCCATTGGGCCGTCGCCACGTTGAGGTAGCTGGCCTTGTCGGCGGCGATGCGGTTGGCAAGCGAGGCGGCGACGCTGAGGTAGAGCTCGTTGGCGATGGCGTTGACGTACTGGCGGTCCTTGCTCCAGTAAATGCCGCCATCGCAGTTGGTACCGCCGCCGGTCTTCATGTCGGCGAAGATGCGCACGGCCATGTCGAGGTAGTCTTGGTCTCTAGTAATGTCATAGGCGCGGATCAGGCCGAGCGCCCACCAGCCTTCGTCGTCATAAAACTCGTTGATGAAGTTGGGGAAGCCCTGAGCGCTGAACTGGCGGGCCTCGAGAGGCAAGGGGTTTTCGCGCTTGGTGATGGCATAGGACGTTGTCACAAGGCCAGCCGCGTTGATGGACTTGGCAGCCGTTGCTGTGGCCTTCTGGGCTTGGTTGAACGTGTTGCTGAGAATGCCTCCAATGTTGAGCTGGTTGGCGGCATCGCGGTTCAGGACGGCAAAGTCGGCGAGCGTCGTAAAGGCGTTGGCGCTGTTCCACCACGCGTTGTCCCAAAGACCTGTGCCAATATTGTACCACGAGTTCTGAAGCGTCTGGATGGCGCTGACGGCATTGTTGGTGTAGGTCTCAACGTCTGCTCTTTGGGCGATGGGACGAGTAGACATAATGAAGACTGCACGGGCAGCAAGCCCCCCGATATTGGCTACCATCTTGGTAATTATTAAGTATAACGAGTCGAATAAGGAGATGAAGTAGTTCGTCTGCCCTTGTCTGGTGGAGGTAGAGAAGTGAGAGTAGAGGGCGAGGATATATGTATTGGCTGCAACGGCGAGGACAAGGAGAGGCCACTTGCGGCGGAGGATGGCCGGGATGTTAAATATATCAGGGGTGGACGAGGATTCCGGTCCATGTGCCCCTTGTCCAGCTTTCCTCCGAGCAGGTGGACCGGCACCGCAGTAATGAAGAGGGTGGGAAGATGGATACGGACAAGGCGATGAAGAGGTAGGGTAGCGCTGATCCTGGACGTCAATCTTGGTAGCAGTATCCGTAATCTGGAGAAGTGAAGATCTGGAGCCGGAGCATGAAGAGGTCAGACAGGAAGAAGCAGAGATGTCAGCCAGGTATAAGGAAGGGAAAGATGAGCAGAGGATGGCGCAGGCGCAGCTTATGCCGGCCTTTGGATCCTGCGATGACAGCGCCATGATCGTCTTTGCCTATGTCGTTACTCGCAGCCTGGAAACAAGCACAAAACAAAACAAGGCTTCATCTGAAGTTGGGATCAGGAACTGCCTTCTCGTCGAGCCAGAGCCAGAGTACCGCATGTCACAGCGCCCGGACAGGGACAGCCCGGAAAGCCAGTAGGTATGAAGATCACAGTCAGGGGTCGGACTGAACGAGGTTTCTGTTTGGGAGCATGGGATGAGCTCACAACCAGAAGAGTAAAGCGCGGAGGCGGAGGGCAGAGGGCAGAGGGCAAAGAGCAAAAAAGGGGCAGAGCAGAGCAGAGGATGGCGGTCCCTCGAGGGTCAATCGCTACGCGCCGTCATTCATTGGAACAAGTTCGGCCGGGGAAGAGGGTCGACCGCCAGCGCGAAGGCTCCTGAGGGAGCTTGGGAGCTGAAGCTATGAAGGTGACTGGCGGTAGATGGTGTTTCAGACAAGATTGTACGTTATGCTGTGTTGGCGGGAGTGGTTTGTCCCATGGCGGAAGGGGCTGAGACCGAGGGGGGTACGTACCTCGTTATCGGGCGATAAGGAACCTCCACCCTGGCAGTCCAGACGTCCAAGATCGGGAATCCGTCAGCCACGGGGTGCTATGACCAGGGGCTCAGCGAGTGTTGCAGGGCATCCCTGGGCGCCGTGCTGGCCCTGACGGCCCCGGGAGCTCCTCAACGGGCGGGAAGCCCAGGACCTGCAACCCCTAATTGGGCAAATATGCACATCGCGCACTGCCACGTGCGGGTCCGTCCTTGGTTCCCCTTTGGCCTCCCTGTCGTCCTCGTCTGGTCCAGCAGGGCCACCTGAGGCTCCTGGTGTATGAAGGAACGTACCTTTCAAAGCGCCTTCTTCCATCTTTCTCCTTTCCTCCATGGTGGACTCTGCCTTCCAGTGTAGGTCGTATTCAGATTGATGTGCGACTAGGTAGCTCTCCCTCTCTGTCTGGCAGAAAGACGACTGGGAAAGGTACGAAGTAGCGAGCGTCCCAAGTCGCACTGCTGTGACCCGTTCCCATGATTCAGACTCGCATTCTGGCTCTTGTGTCTGTTCGCCCCGACTCACCGTTCCCGTCATCTCGCACGGCATCGCAGCCAGCCTTGTCGGCATATCACATCGCCCGGCGAATACTTGCGCTGACGTAGCGACCACCCAGCTTTGTTCGACCTCGGCGGAAAGGGGATCAGCAACCTTGTGGACGACGAATGGTTGCTAGACTCAGGCGGTAGATGCGGCAGACCGACTCAGGCCGACTGCTGGCAGGCGAGTAATGGTGTCATCCCATGTGCATGACTGCGGCATCAAGTCAAACTTTGGCACACAATGATCGTACCCCAGGAAAGGAAAACCGACTCATCATCCAAGGTCGGTCAAGAACTCAAACTCCCCGCCATCGACGTCCCTAATTCGACGCTTGACAGCCTATTTCCCACGGTGGCGGCGCAGAGCCCTGTGCTCAATGCGGTGGAGAGCCTAGAAGAATTTTCTTTTCTCCCTCTCCTGAATGTCATTGACGAGACATTGCCAGGGCTCGCTTTGTTTCGAGGTCCCCAACAAGATTGCCTCTATATGCATACGACAAAAAGCTGCCAGCAAAGACACGAGAAGCACCAGTGCCATCCCGGTCCCGGGGGGACGACTAGCCAACCCTAGCTGACGCCGGGGATCAGAGCCCCGTTCCCACTGCCGGGAACCACCTTACACTATGAGCTGACTGCAGGTCGAAAATCCATTTTGACTCGGACTTTTGTGGTTGGCTGCACGGCTGATTCTGATCGTCTTTGCATCATGCTGGATTCTCGTCTTCTCATCATTGCCAACCTTCGTCCTCCGAATCATCGGCCCCGACGTGGCCGCGTTGCAGCATGAGCAGCCCGGTGACCCAGGCAGCACGGCAGCTATGCTACCGGTATGACCATGAGAATCACGAATCAGCCTCGATGGAAGCATGATCCCGCCTTGCGTTTTGGCGATCACCTCGGGTTTGGCACCCACCCACGAGAGGAACACACTCGCTATTGGCTACAGTCGACCGGCATCCGCGGTCCAGAGATGCATCAGTTCGATGGCCTAATGCCAAACAGAATCTTCCGGCCAGTATCGTGAACGGAAAAATTCTGCCTAACCTTACCACCACAATGACGACAATGATGACAATGACGATGCAGATGCAGATGCAGCTGAAGGCATTCGCATCATGTTGGTCCACGCAACGAATAAAATCGTGGAGACCGACCGACAGTTACCGAAAATATTTCTGACCAAGATACCAAGACAATCTTACGCCGCATCAGCCTCACCCGCCGCCACCGCTGATCTCATTCATGAGACAGAGAGCGAGATAGAAAGAGAGCTCCAGCAACGCGCAGATGGGGCAGCCCTACTGTTCGTCATGCATCGGGCGTACAGCACACGTACGAGCTGGTGATCAGTTGCCGTAGTGGTCTAGCCAAGCTGTTTCCTCCCTGTTCGACCTTGGTTCAAAGCATGTCCAGCATGGCTCGGCATTACACGACATGCTTCAGCCGACACTGCATCGCAAATCCTCCGACTGGATGCCTGTTTGCACTTACATGCGTAGTAAGAGGGGTTGTTTTCCGTGGAATTTGGTGGCCGGGTTACGCCTGGCCAAGACGAAATGCTCCGATTGCCATCCGGCTGCTGGGAAGTTGGTAATCCCAGTGAAGGAAGCACGTTGGTCAGAGCTTTGCAAGCCTCCTCAACGTAAGGAAAGCCTCTCATAAAGTGAGCCGGTCATCGAGTGTGAGGTTCCTCGAGGCCCTGCCGGTAACCTCCCGGCCGAGAATAGTAAGGCAATAATGGTGTGACCCGTACACCAGCGCAGCTATTCAAACCAGCCTAGCTTTAGTGCAACTCGAACGGTATCACGGCCAGGCTCCGATTCCGTAGCGACAAGTCTCTCGCTGTTGGTGCACACACGAACATCACCTTGCTGATGCTTGCGCCCCGCAACTCAGTCTTGAGAACGAATATTGCATTCCCCTCACGATGAAGCTGAGACAAGCGCAAAGTTGTTCGATATAGCTGACAGGTCGACATACCGGTTTTTCCGGGTACGCGATCGACAACCACCTCGGAATCCCACTTGTTTGCGACGCCCACGGTATGAACCAAACCGTAGGCCCAAACATGCCCCTGAGCCTCCTGGAAACCATTCTTCCTACGCTTCTGGTTGTTACTGCAGGTCCGGACCTTCATCGTAAACAAGGCCAAAATACGTGCAGCTACAGTTTTGGACAGTCTTGAAACAAACGGCTTTATCTGACCGCGGTGCTCCTCGTCCTTACTCAGCCTCTCTCTCCCGCTGCGTGCGTGCGTGCGTGCGTTTTTTTTTTTCTTTTTTTCTCCATGACTGGCGAGGATCCGGCTTTGCGGCACCAATCCAAAGTTTCAAACCGTTTCGGGAGCACGACGGAAAAGACGATCTTTGGACGAAAGAAAAGAAACTTTATTAACAATTAACAACTCCACTTATTGCATATTCTGAAGCGCCTGCACGTCTACTTGATCTCCAACCGCAGCGCATCATACTGCACGTAGATGGCCTCTGTGAGCACCGCGCTCTCGTAGTCCTTGGCACCATATGGTAGGCTCAGCACGATCTCGTTCTCGCCGGCCTTGAGGAGCTTGGAGTCGAAGACGAACTTGTTGGCGATGTTGTAGCAGATGACGGCCGACCGCACGGCGCAGGAGCTGCTCTGGTAGTAGGGGATCACCCAGGGCTCAAGGTCCTTGCCGTTGACGTTGACGGTGTACTTGAGGTTAGAGTGCGGCTCGCTGGCGTTGAACACGTCCGTGTTGCCGGCGGCCGTCTTGGCGCCCGCGAGCTGGACGGTGAAGGTGCCGTAGCGCTTCTGGCGCACTTGGGCCTCCTCGAGGTCGAAGACGAGGGTCCAGTTGTTGACGTTGCCGTCGCCGAAGTACAACTCGGGGCGCATCGAGTTGCCCTTGCCGCCAAAGACGGCCCAGTGGACGTAGTTGAGGTCCTTGGCAGGGTCGCTCTCGCCGACGCGGAAGCGCACGCCCTCGGGGAACTCGTCGGGGAAGTCGTAGCGCGCCCAGTAGATGCGGTACTCCTCGGGCCTCAGCGGCTTGGTCTCGTCGCGGACGTAGCCGTGGCGGTACTCGCCCGACGACTTGTCCGGGGTGCCAATGCGGAACACCTCGTTGCCGGCCGTCTCCTCGCGCCAGCGCGCGTGGGTCGTCTGCACCTTGCCGGCCACGACCTGGACGTCGTCCTTGATGTACTGGCCGAAGATGCCCTCGGCGTAAATGGTGAGGCGGTAGGTGCCCTCCTTGACGCGCGGGATGGTGGCGTAGCCCTCGGCGTCGATGTCGGACCAGTACTGGTAGGCCTTTGTGTCAAAGACGTTGTCCTGGAAGTCGACGCCGTTCTGGGCGAGCACGGCGATGGGCTTTGTGGCGCCCTGGGGCAGGTCGACGTGCAGTTTCCAGGTCGTTCGCTTGGCCGAGGGCACGTAGCCAGGGACGAGGTGGGCGATGTCGTCGTAGAAGTCGGCGTTCCACTCGGGGTCGGCGAGCTTGGCGGCGTCAGCATGGAGGTCGAGGATGGAGGTGCCGGCGGGCCCCTTGTTGAAGTGGTAGTACTGCGGACCAAAGGTGCGGTCAAAGCCGTTTGTGATGTTGGGGGTCTGGTCGCCGTGGTGGTTGGACGAGATGTAGTTGTAGACGATGCCGTCGACAATCAGGTCCGAGTGCAGCGGGCCGCCGAAGTAGGTATCGCGGGTGTTGAAGACCATCCAAGCACCGTAGGCGGAGCCGTCGGCCGTCTTGGAGCCGTCCGCGTACATGCCGTAGGCGTCGATGTCGCGCCATGTATCCTGGAAGGTGTACTTTGTGAACCAGTCGGCCTCCTGCTGGACGTAGGGGTCCTCGGGGGTGTTGCCGAGGTACCAGGTGGCATCCTGGACGACGACCTGCTTGGCAACGGCGTCCTTGGAGGGGAGGGGCGCGTACTGCGTCGGGTTTGTCAGGAGGTGCGTCCACATGGGGTCGTTGGGGCGGAAGAGCGTGCGCAGCTCCTGCAGGTTGCGGAGGAAGGGCTTCTCCTCGTTGTAGTAGGCGACTCGGCTGAACATGTGCAGGCCCGTCTCGCCCTCGCGGAGGAACCAGTACTGCTCGAGCACCTGCCCGGTAGAGGCGTAGGTGTCGGACATCTTGACGCCGCCGTAGGGGACGCCCGCCGAGTCCTTGCCCGAGTAGAGCTCAAAGGTGGGCTTGACGTTTCCGGGCGTCCAGAACCCCTCGGGCGTGCAGTAGCAATCGAGGTAGGGGCCCTGGCCGGTGCTGCCGGACGGGGTGCCGAGGAGGTTGACGCCGTCGAGGGTGAGCTCGACGACGGAGCCGCCGGGCTTGGCGATGGCGGCGTAGAGACGGTCGTTGGCGATGATGAGGCGGTTGGAGGTCTCTGTCGCGTTGAGAACCGCGGCGGCCGGGCTGGCGAGGGCGAGGGCCGCGCCGAGGGCCGCGCCGCGAAGAGAGGAGATGCGCATCTTGGGAGAGAGTATGTCTTTGGACTTCTCACACGCTCAACGATAAAGGGGCTGACGAAGGTGTAGCTCGACTGGGAATCGTCGGGACTCTACTCTCGCGTGCCTAACCGGCAAGAGAGGGACATGAGGGAGCGAGGAAAGGCCATGAGGGCTCATTTATACAAGGGCGCCACTCATTCTCCCGAACCACCCATGTTTCCTCGCCTTTAGCGTGGAGGAACTTGCAAAGGGAACGGTGAACCTCGGGCATGTCATCTCCGGACGTTGTTTATTTCTTCTTGGGCATACATCCCGGGAGATGTTTCCCCGCACGAAAAGATCTATCCGAACATGGGGGGAGGAAGCAATCGGGCGAGAGCCGTTGAAGGGGCGCAGGTGAGAGATGCGGGGGAAGCTTTTGCCTTCATTTGGGCTAGGTGGAACTTTGGATAGACTCGAGAACTCGTGATGGAGGGCCCTTTTGACAGACAGGGACGGCCATGCCCGCGTGGAGAAATGAGGTCCCGGAGCTTGGGCGGGCAAATAACATGATCCAATTGTTCGCCAGAGTGAAGGGGGACCGTCGAATGAATTGGCGGGGACCCCGCCGCCCTTGGAGATGAAGGTCCGGGGGGAGGGGAACGCGACTGGGGAAACAAGACTTTCTCCGCACAAACTTTGCAGACGAACCCGCAGATCCCACCCTGCCTTCGGTGCCCTCTTCGCCGAGGCGAGCCGGGAACGCCTGCACACTCCTCTCGTTCCCCCCAAGCAGCTTGGCCTCTTTGACTAGCGACTCGACCAGCAACCCTAGAGTCGCCAAGCGAGTAATCCAAGCTGGATATTGGACAAAATGCAAGGCCCCAGGAACCAAAATCCCGGAAGCCTCCGAGCCACCGTTGCATCGCGTGCCGCGCTGGCCGGGCGTGTCAGCGTGCTCCGCGTTGCGTCGGTGTAACAACACGTCGAGGGGCCGGGTGGGGACAATTTCCCACGTATTGGGGCCCCATGGGGAAGCCAATATGTCTGGACTGTTGGGTAGGAGGCTTTGCGGAACCAGAGGGATGGGTCGGATGGCAGGTTTGGCTGGCTTGCCTAGCGCCCGTTGCGATGATGCGCGCCATCCGTCGTGATCGGCAGCTGTTGGTTTTGGGGGTTGCCTGTTGGGCATGTCTGACGGGATGAACGGCAAGGGGATCGTGAAGTGTCGTTTGATGATGCTACATGTGAGCAGGAAGGTGGGATTCGGACGTCCAGTGGCGCTACCAGTGGGGCGTGACGATGAGCAGTACCAAGGACGAGGACAAGAAGCGGATTATCGAGGAGAGTTCATGTGATCATGTGGGAAGTCGAGAAATATTGCCCTGAATAGCCTTTATGGGTATTGAGATTACTTTCAAGACAGGTGAATGCTTGCTACACAACGTCATGTTTCCCTCCTCCTGCTCGGTGGCATTTGACTTTCTAGATTCCAGCCTTATATCTTTTCACTATACGTAACGACAAAAAACACGCCGTGCCCTACATCTTACGTCCGGGGACTGCGCAGGAAGCCGACGACACCGCTGCAGTAGCCCACCAGGTCGTCGAGCCGCCCAGCTTCGCGCTCTTGCAGGGCCTTCCACTCGCCGAGCGCTTCAAGCAGCTGCGCGTCGGCCATGACAAGATCGAAGTGCAGGCGGAGGAACACCGTCATCCAGGCCTGGACGAGCTCGTAGTCGCGGCGGGCCACGAGGCGGCTTGTCAGCGCGCGGATGAAGTACAGGAGGCCGTTGTCCTCGGGCGAGAGGGAGCGGAGCTCGAGGTCGGCGGTTGACGGGGAAAGGGACTTAAGGTGGGTGATGAAGTCGTCGACTACTGGAATGTTAGTCCATGTTATCATCACAATGGGAACGTTGGATGAACTTACAATCTCCCGAGGCGGCACCGTCGTTGAGCTTGCTGGTGAACACTTCCTGCATGCGGCCGCGTTCGAGCTTGGTGATGCGGGACTTGGATTCCGTGGCGGCGTCGGCCTCCGGCGCAGCAGTGCCCTCGAGCAGGTTCGACTGCTGCGGCTGCTTGCTGGAGCCGACAGACGGGAGGAAGAAGGGTGCCTTCTCCGGGGCCTTGGGCGCCTCGGTGGGCTTGTTGCGCTGCTTGATGAGATCCAAGTGGAGGAGCGTCTGCCAACGGCTCTTGGGGACCAGGGAGAGCGTCGTCAGATCGGCGCTGAGCTGGTCCACGGTCGGCGCGACGACGGTCTCGTCTTCGGCGTCTGCTTCATCCTCGTTAAAGGCCGCCTCCAGCATGCCCTCGCCGCCCTCGCCGGATGTCGTAGGACCCGTGAGCAGTGCGGCCTCCTTGTCGGAGACCTGCCGCGTAGGGACGTGCGTGAAGAGGGACTTGTTGGTCCAGATGGCCACGCCGAGCTCGTTCTCGATCGTCGCGGCGAGGTACTCGCCGGTGGACGACATGGCCAGCGCGGTGCAGGGCTTCTCGAGACGGATGGCATCGATGAGATGGCTTGTGGGCAGGTCCCAAACTCTGACGACGCAGTCCTGCGAGGCGGCGATGACCCAGCGGCCGTCGTTGGAGAAGCAAAAGTCATTGATGGAGCCTTGGCAGCCCCAGAATTCTCTGATGGTCCTCTTGGTCTCCAGGTCGACGACACGAATCGAGTTGTCGTCGCAGGAAAAGGCCATGAGGTCGTTGGCTGCGTGATATCTGCAACCTGTGATGGCAGTCATCGGCGCCCAGTTGATCTGGTGGACGAGATTGCCTGTGAGGAAGTCCCAGAACTTGATCTTGCCGTCCAGAGAGCACGTGATGACGTTCTTGTTCATAGAGTCCACCACGATGCCCGTGATGGCCTTCGTGTGTCTGCCGGTGCCGGGCGCGAAGTTGCTGTCCTTCTCGGTGTGGAGCTGCACGACGTTGTCGGCCTGCTTCAGCTGCTGCATTTTCATCGCCCTGGCTTGTGCGGGAGTAAGCTTGGAGGGGAAGCGCTGGCGGTGCAGGCCAGACTGCAGGTTGTACATGTCGAGACCACCCTCCACAGAACCGACCAGGGCGAACGTGCCGCAGGGGCTGATGGCGATCGTAGAAACATTGGAACCGTCACCGGTCGCGAACGCCCACCGACCGGCCTTCTTACGGCCCCAGAACCATGTACGGGCATACGCATCATTCTTGTGTGCTGTCACGACGCTCTCCCAGCCTGTCGCGCCGCTGACTTCAGCGTCCAGCTTCTTCTTGGTGTCTCTGTGCTTCTGCCAGATAGGGTGGTTGCCGGGCATGGCGCCAATACCACCGTCACGGTTGAGAGAACTGGCAATGCATGTGATCTCGGGGGCTTTCAGATCTTCCAGAGTTGTGGTGGGGCCGCGTGCAAGAGCTTTGGTAGACAAAATGCCAGTCTTCTTGGCCATCTTGCGAATGTTTCCTTGGCTGAGTTCGGTACTCTGGCCGTCGCGTCGCATACTCCAGCCCCAAAGGCTGCGGTCCTGGCCACCACTGAGCAGCCACTTGTTGCCCGCATCAGCACCTTCGAAGTCGGAGGGCAGGAACTGCAGGCACTTGACAGGAGCAGCGTGTCCACTGCGTTGGTGCAGGATACGAGGGATTGCTGAGAAAGGAGTCTCGTCAAAGATCCAAGTCTTCAGCGAGTTATCGCGCCCACTGGTGACAACGACGGGCTGGCCCGACAAAAATTCAACCTTGCTGACACCTCCCCGCACGAGAGGGCCGTTTCCAGACGGAGGGTTATGCGCACTGCGAAGAACTCCCATGACCCTGCCTCCGTTGTTCAGGTCCCAAAATGTAACGTCTCCTGTCGCAGCGGTAGCAGTCGCCATGACACCGTCTTTCCGGCCGTCATGGCCTGCGCCCATACCGTCGGACCTGAAAGAGATGGAGGTAACAGGCTCGTCGTCATGACCGGCATTGAGCTGAATGATGGGCTTATCTGTCAAAATGTTCTGAATCACCAGGTTACCATTGGCATATGCGATGGCCAGGAGAGAAAGTGCAGTAGTGGGCTGCATGCAGGTGACAGCACCGCAATCGGGGGTCGGCGGAAGGATGGTGTAGATGAGCTTGCCGGTGCTGACGTTCCAGATTTCAACCCAACCGTCCCTGCGACCGACAAAGATCTTGTTGAGATAGGTTGGCATGTTCGTGACACCACCGGTTATTTCATTAGCGCCCTTCTTTCCGGCCATGGTGTGAAGAGTAGTGTAATGCTCGAGGGTGGCCGACTTCCAAATCTCGAGTCTCGTCACGGCGCATCCAACAATCCACGAGCCAAAGATCAGGATCTGCTGAATAGGCTCATTGAGGTCCTCGGGGATCTCGAGCTCCTCAACCTTCTTTCCGCGCTTGAAGGCCCAGAGACCCTGTTTTTCGCCCTTCCTTGCGTCGCCCCATGCTGCAAAAACCTTTTCCTTCCATGCGAGTGTGGCGGTGATGTCGGCGGGGGTCTGGGGCCGAGTGACGAAGACCAAGTTAAGGCCTCGCTTCAGATCGTAGGTTTGTAAGGCTCTTCCGACAGATGTCGTGATCTGAAACGTCGTCTTTCCGAGTGGGATCGAGGTGAATGGAACGTTTGTAGGAGAGACAAGACCGACGGTCTGGACGAGGCATTAGCATTGGGAAGCCAGAAAAACACGGAAGCAGGGGAGACATACTCGGAAGGGTGCGAAGATGCGGGAAGACTGCCGCGTGGCGGTTGTAGGCTTGGAAGCGACATTGAGTTTCTGCCGCTTGACCAAAGGCCCTTCGTGCTCTGAGTGAGGCATTGTGGAAGGCATGTGGAACTTTACGGAGTCGGACGGCGATTCGTTCGAAGCCTTGGGTCCCGTCGATGTCAATGTCGCGCCCGAGATTTTTTTTTCGAGGGACTGGACTTTTTCCAACGTGAGCTTATCTTATCGCCGAAAAAGTTTTGCCGGGCTTCGACCGGTGGGGTCTATTCAGCGATAGGTACCTAGGTATCTGTAGGGAGGGGCAGCTTCGGCGGAATTGGCCAACCGCGACCGACCGGTCAGAACCTAGCGTCAAAACTCTTGAAGAGCTAGATACCTCATCTTTCCAAGAACCCTTTTTCTTCATATGTGTAGCTGTAGCTTATGGACCACGAACAGCTTGAAATTGGAAATTTAACTATAGCACTAACACATGAGAAAGTGAGAGCTGATTACTTCGACAAAGTTAGGCATATTCTTTTGAATTTGGCAACGTTGTTCCACTCGGCGCGGCAGGGACAACTGAGCACCAGAGCTTGCAGCAGCGCAGGCATTTATTATACTTCAACTTGTCTTTCGGCAAATTTTTTCGTGCAGAAGAAGAGGAGCAGGTAGTGAAAGCTAGAAGAAGAGGTCGACAAATGTAGAGCTCAGTGGTATCTCTCCTTCCGTTCGACGGCACTACAAGGCCATCCGACAACTGAACCAAGTCGCTCTGCGATGGCAATACAGCAAAGCCGTAAACAAAGAAGTTATTAAACCTGGATAAACGCTTCTGTTGCAGAGACGCCTTATGAAGCGTACCTCCATCCCTTGGGTTCACCCGCAAGTCTTTCCTGCTCCTCCAACTGCTTGTTCTTCTTACGGCAGTACCACTTCGCGATCAAAACAAAGATGACTGTCAAGCCGCAACCAACAATGATAGCTCCACCTCCAGTCTGGTAGTAAGGTTCTTGGTTGCGCAGGAAAAAATACGGCGTGAACCAGTGGGAAACTGAAGATACGCAGTTGGCAATGGCGATCAGAGCCGCTCGCTTGGTGCGCGGACGTGGTACCACAGTGGTTTCCCATGAAATCTGGAGCTATTCATCAAATCGGTGTGAGCGTTGGATCAAGGAAGAAGTGTGAGAAGTAGAGCAACTAACATTCAGACCCACGAAAGGACCGGTGACCAGCAATATCATAGAAAAGTAACGAGCGCCGACGTTGAGAGTCGTTATCATTACTACGCAACCAACAAGAGTTGCGAGGATAGGCACTATGATGTGATAACCATGCTCCAGCATGCGTCCGGAAGACCAAGAAATCGCTAATGTGGCTAGAAAAGCAATAATGGGCGGTGGGGCTTGAATAAGATATGTGGTGGTTTCACCGAAGCCAAGGGTGGCGAGGATCTATAGAAATTGTTAGCTCAGTGATGCGGGTTGGACATGCTGAGAGGGGAAAGGGACTGCTTACAGAAGGGAAAAAGTCCTTGTAAGACTGTGCGATGATGAGAAAGAAATGGATAGCCGAGAAGAGGTAGGTAAATGGGTCTCTAAGAGCCATCCATACACCTCCCCAGTAGTCACCTTCATCGTCTTCGGATCGGCCTCCAGCAGACACAGTCTGTCTGTACTGCGCCATTTGCGATTCCTCAGCAGTGAAGAAATATGTACCAGTGGACTCGGGAAAGTTGGGGATGAACCAGAAGCTAGCAATAGCTACTATAATACTAACCATGCCTGTCATCACGTTAGTCACCTAAGGTCACTGGATCAGCCAAGACAACGTACCTTCCAGCAAGAGAAACCACTGCCAAGCAGACAAGCCGGCTATGTTATCCATGTTCTGAAGGATGCCAGCGGCGAGGAGACCAGAAATCGCCTGGGATATGGTGTTGCCGGCGTGCCATATACCCATACGAAGAGGGGACTCATTCTTCGTGTACCACGACGAGGTCATAAGAGACACCGCAGGGACGAACGGTCCTTCAGTGAGCCCGACAAGGAAACGACAGAGCATGAACCCCCAGCCGGCCGTAACGGCAGGCATGCAGATTGTGACGGCAGACCAACCCAACATACAACATGGCAGTAAGATCCTTGGCTTGCCCTTGGCGATAATCACGTTGGCAGGGACCTGTGAGATGATATAACCGACATAGAACATTGAAATACCGGCCGACCACATGGTATCGGTCATGTGTAGGTCGTCTTGCATACCGGCCAAACGGGCGTTGGAGACGTTGATGCGATCAAGGTAGCTGTAGTCATTCCGATCAGTCAGCTTTGAGCTGGACGACACTAACAGACTGGCTGCAAGATTGAGATTTTCTTACTTCATCATAAGCATGGCGCAGACCATGGGCAGAAACCTCCAGTCTAGTTTCGAAACGACTGATTTGTCAAGAGCTTTGAGCTCCTCTGGCGTCTTGTCCCGGATGAGTTCATATTGTTCAAGGAGAGGGTCGCGGACAGGAGCGGTTTCTTCGAACTCAACTCCAACCTTGACGTCGATCGACGAGCGTTTCGAGTCCCTTTGGGCTGCCATATTCACAGTGGGAGTTGATTCTGAAAACTTTCACTCGGTGATAAGAAGTGAAGGTCGATCTGACTATCAAAGACTGTTTCTCAAAAATCTCGGCATATGGTATTTATGTCAGAATCGAAACTCGCACTTCCTGGGGATGAACCCCGTTCTAGCGAGTCAACGGACTGCCCTCCTCACATCAAGGTTCATTACCCCAACCCCCCCATTCCCCGCGATTTGTACTTATTTGGTATATTGTGGGTTATCTGGGGATGTGGACTTACGGGGTCGGAAAACGTCCGATGCATCAGAAATTCTCGGACCCAGTCCGTCTTTTTGAGACTCAGCTCGCAATGAGTTTAGCGTTGTCAGCGTGGCAGCCGTCGTCCGTACATGGAAGAGCTTTGTGAGAAGCATCAATCTCACCCAATTTACGGTGCACCATTAGGACAAACCCGCCAACCCGCGGCCTAAAGTTGCGCCGACTCTCTTTCGCTCAGGCCCCCCCCCCTATATAACGCCAGCAAATCTGCTATCGTAGGGTTTTTTTCTTCAGCCAAGTGCTGCCATGTCTCAAATCCCTTGGGGTCGCGTATAACCAGGCTGGATATGGGCAGGCTGGATATGGGCAGGCTGGATATGGGCCAGCCCAGGAGAATGGGAGTACGGATACTGCGGCCCTGGCCACCGACGTCCGTCATCTCCATGCTTTTATCCGAAGATATCTGTATACGCAGCCAGAGAAGGACAGTTATAGCAACAATAAATACGTACTATCCAGGTTGATGGAGTTATGAATGCCCTTATAAGGCTAGCTTATACCCTTATTACAAAAAACCAAAGTATCTTAAAGGACTTAGCATAAACGTTAAATATAACTAAAAAAAAATCTAGTATTTATTAGCTATTAGCGTATTATATACTAGGTAATAATATAAAATTTATAATAACGCTAATTAAATAACTATAATAATATTACTAAAAACTATTATTATATTTATTATTTTCTATTATTAACTACTATAATATAATTTATACTAGTTTCTTAAAAATAGTTAATTATATTAAATTTAGCTTATTAAGCTTTATCTTTAAGTATATTTTATTTTTTATATTTTTAGTATAAATAAATAAGCTTTTGTTTTATAAAAGATTAGATATATAATAGCTAAGTAAATTAAAGTAAAAATTAGAAAGTATATACGTTTAGATATATAAAAAAAGGAATAATATCCCTTTTAATACCTTTTTATTATTACTTTAATTTTTTTTTTTTTTATTTTTTTTATTACTATTATAGTTTACTTTATAGATTAACTAATCTACTTATTAACAAAAAACACTAAGGGTTATAAATATAAGTAGCTTAAAGGTAAATTTAAAGAGGATTATTATCCCTTTTATAATAAGCTATAGCTTATATTAATTACTCTTAATAATTCTTTTGGTAATAATTTACTTTATAAAGTACTAGCTTAATTAGTTAATATCTCTACTTATTAATTATTTTACTTATATAATAAGGCTTTTAGTAATATAAGCTATATAACCTTTATTTAAGCTATCTCTTATACTTAAGTCTAAGATAAGATAATTAACCTTAAGAATAGTAGTAGTAATAGGGATAAGATTAAAAGAAAGTTAAAGATATTATAAAAAGCGCTAAGTAAAAAAAAGAAGTAGGTTAATAATTCTAATAATATAGGTTTTATTAATATATCTATAAATATTTAGATAGTTAATTATAAATTATATAAAGGTCTTTATATCTATAAGACTACTAAGTTACTTTATAAGTCTTTTATATTATTAGATTCTATTTTTTATTTCTTATTACTTATATATAATAAAAAAGCTAAATATTACTTTATTTATCTAAACTAATATTACTAATACTACTAAGTTAAACTAAGTTAATTAATATATTTACTTAATTATTATATTAACTATATAGCTCTTATTTAATTAATAATAGGACTTTAAATTATACTTTAATTATATTACTTATAATAATAGCTTTAGTTTACTTTTGCTTTATAAGGGTAAGATTATAAAGGACCTTTTTTAAGATCTTAGGATATAGAGAGTAAAGAAGAATAAGAAGAGTATTACTATATACTTTTGCTTCTTTTCTTTTAATATTAATAAAAAAGTAAGCTTTATTTATAGCTAATAAGAATCTATTATATTATATATTAAGAGATTATTATTAATATTTTTATTTATATTTATTAAAAAAGAATAAAAGATTAATATAAAGTTAAGTTTATTTAATTATTTTAATAATAAAGATTAATACTTATAAAAGCATAAACGTCTTAGTATAATTATAAAGATAATTACATAAAAAGAAAAAGAGGTTAATAAAAAAATTATTATTAGTAATAAGGATAATAATATAGATAATAACTTAGATACACTTAAAGACTAACAGTAATAAAGTAAAGATATTTAAAGTAGTAGTAAGTCTAGCTCTACTTATTATACTTACAAAGCTACTTACCAGACTACCCCTTAGTTAGACTTATTAGTCTTAGCTTAATTAGGTAATATTATCTTAGTATATATAGTATTTATCCTAGCTAACTTATTCTTAGGTATCTACTCTTTAATAAGGTTATTATATTAAGGGTTAATAGGGTAGTTTTTTGTAAGGAGGTTTAGCTATATATTATTTAATTAGTCTATTAGTTATTATTACTATTACATCTAGATTACTTACATATCTTTATTAACCTCCTTTTAGCTATAAAATAAGTATAAGAGTAAACTACTAGTTACTAGCCTTAAAGTACACTGTTATCCTTGCCTTTAATTATAGGTATACCTTTATATAAGGTTACTTATAATCCTCTTTTATACAAAGCTTTAGATTCTTAAACAAGATACTTATATTAGCTAATTGCTTTATATACTATTACTTTATCTCTTTTATCACAAATTCATTAATCTTAACCTTTTTAAGTAACATAAGTATATCTTTAACTAGCTAGATAATTAATAACTTTAAAGGAATCCCTTAGTTAAGTTTATACTTATAAAGATCAGCTAATATACCATAAACTATATAAAGATAATTCTTTTATAAGCAAATCTTATAACCATTTTAGAAATTAATAAAGTTAATAATCTCTTTTTAAATTATATTATTATATATTAAGTAAGAATAACAGGGGGTTATTCATAAATAGTCACAAGGAAAAGTAGAGAAGACTAAAGGTAGACAGAAAAGGTATATATATATTAACCGTTAAGGTTTTGTTATATCCTTTTTTATTCATGTAAAACTGTCTAAGTAGAGGGGATATCTCTTAGTTATATAGAAAGTCCCTTAGATACGTATAGTATCTAAGTGTATATCTAAGCGTATATCTAAGCGCCGAGAGGTACTTATAGTTTCTCGTATATGTATATATATGCCCGTATATGCCCGTAGATAAGCATAAGCGCCGGCATATGTAATGCTTAGAAGTATATGCGTTTATATGCAGTAGACTGCATTAGTTTGCAGTAGTTTGCATTAGTATAGTTATATATAGTAATATATACTTTTATAGGTTATTTTTTAAGAAGAATCTAGAAAAAATAACTATATATTTATAGGACTTTTAGTTATAGAGTTATAAAGAGATTTATATATAAGAATTATAAGAATTTTACTTCTTAATTCTTAGTTATTATATATATAGTAATAAGGCATATAGTATCCTTTAGTATAAAATACTTTATTATAATTAGCTTATTAGTATAAGACTAGATATATTAGAAATACTAATATAATACTAATATAAGAGGTATACCTATAATCTAGTAATCACTTTAGCCTATATAAAGAAGCTTTTACCAGCTTTTAATTCTTATATTACTAGTAAATAAGGCTTATATATAGTATAACTAGATGTTATTTTTTTAATAAAAGGTAGTTATAATACCTTCTGAGTTAGTATAGCTAACTATTATCTAGGTATCCTTTGCTATTACTCCTTAGGCTCCTATCTATAAAGAAGTCTCTACTTTATAGTCTAACTTTATTAGGTATAGCCTTATTTTAGCTATTAATATTATATAAAGAAACTATTTTAGTATATTAATTATAATAGTTATTAACCTTTTAATATAGACCTAGATAATTTTATATAAATAAATATTAATGTAGACGTATATCTAAAAGCTAAACTTCTTTAACTTCTTATATTTATTAAGTAATTAAAGGAAGTTAAAGCCTGGTATTTTAAAGTCTGTTTAATACTATTAATAACTAATTTACTATTAATATATAAGATTAAGAAATCTTTTTTTATAATAAATATATATATAGTGTTTATTAACTATAATATTAGCCTTATAGTAGATATACTAGTAAAAGTATTTTCTATTAAATCCTTTAATAGTACTTAAGGATTTAAGGTTATTCTCTATAAAAGACTTTTGTTACCCCCTTGGCAGGGTGGCCACTGCCAGCGTCACGTGATGCCAGTCATCACGTGGGTAGTGCGTGCCCAACTATAAGTAGCGGTGTGCACGTCAAGATAGACCTTAATACAATCATCCTTCATACATCTCTCCGACCGGTAACAAGTGGTAGCACAACCTCTGTACGGGTAGGGAGACAGGTGTATCGGCCGAAAGGCCAAGGAGCTGCCACCTCACAGAAAGGGCAGGAAGATAGCAACTTCTTAAAAGAGCTATAATTGCACCTTCACGTGAGGGCAATTAATTGGCTGACCCTCGAGTCGGCCGCCAGACCTTCTGGTCAGGCCGAGAAGCAAACCTCGGTAAACAAAGGCAACAACACCTACGCCCTACACTCGTACGTTGCGATCGACCTCTCTGCAGTAGACGACACCCCTATCTGCTGACCTTCAATTCAACCCTATCTATCTGACGCGCTTACCGACATACTTACCAACGCGCTTACCAACAAACCCACCAACACGCTTACCAACACGCCTACTAACACGCCTACCGACACGCCTACCAACACGCCTACCGACACGCCTTCTGCCGTTGCAGAAGAAGGTTACCGGACTAGCCCAGTGAAGCAATAGGGACTATTGCTTGTTAAAGCGTCGGGGGGCAGTTGTTACCCCCTTGGCAGGGTGGCCACTGCCAGCGTCACGTGATGCCAGTCATCACGTGGGTAGTGCGTGCCCAACTATAAGTAGCGGTGTGCACGTCAAGATAGACCTTAATACAATCATCCTTCATACATCTCTCCGACCGGTAACAACTTTATTACCTTAATAGTAGTATTTTACTTATTATTATTTCTATATTATCGTTTCATACTAGACTATAAGCATAAGGCTTTTATAGCCCTTATAAATATAATATACTTATTTTATTAGAGGTTATAGGTAATTGATTAATTATTGTGATTATAAGTATAAAAGTAAAAGCTGATAGCCTAGATAATCCTGGATTTGTTTATTTACTGTACCTAGATATGCTTTAATAAGCCCTAGGCCTGGAGCTGCTTCTTAAGAGTGTGAAGGGATACCTTAAGGCTAGTCTCTTAAAGAAGGATATATATGATGTTAGCGTAATTAATATTATTACAATAGGTATTAGTAATTAACTACTAATGCTACAAAAGGTTAACTTTTTGGCTATGGGGTATCTTTAGGTAGTTATTAAGCTTTAACAATAATATAAAGTTAATTAGAAAAGAGGTTATTATTGAGTTGAAGTGGTGATAATTGCTGAAATCGTAGAAGCATGTGAATGTTGGGGGGTGGGGTAGTCGGCGTAACTTTGGGCTGCGAGTTGGCGGGTTTGTCCTAATGTACCACCGTACAATTACTGGCCGTTTAAGCCAGCTAGGATAGCACGGACTCAAGTCTTACGATCAGGTGGTTGAGGATTTGCGCCCTTCCCCGGACGCGCTCCGTGCCCCATTGTCCCTACTTCAATCATCGGCAATTATAAGTCGGCAAATGAATTGGATGCAATTATTTATGTGTCTCGATCAGCACCGCACTGGTTTATACACCATTACGTAGGAACACATATATCACGCTTGCTTTGCCCTGATCTCTCCAACGGAGTGGAAGTTATGTTGACTTGTAGGATTGGTTTTTAGTCTATGAACATACAGTTTAAATTCCAGGAAGAGAGGTCGTATTCCTTTATAGTTCTTCACTCTCGGCCTAGCAATTATTGTTTTGGCGTTAGTGTGTTGGCTTAGCTATATGACGGCTACGTAAACGTGTAACGAATGAACTGCTGGATGCGACGGGGAATGATCGGCGAGAATGCCTCCGAAGAAATCATCTACCAAGGACTTGTTAGTCGTAATCCATATAATACCCCAGACAGGGCAGCCAATAGGTCCCTACATCAGAATCCAAATGCTTGTCGCCCATAATACCCATTGAAAGAGCCAATAAAACACGCTGGAATGCCGCCAATGCCGGAAACCTAGATGCTACAACTGTAACGAGTGTCGAAGCTTTTTGAATAGTTCCAGTGACTTTCGTAAGCTGACGTTCATCGGATGGTTGTTGGTTCAACCTCCACGTGAGGCAGGCGCATATGACTGCAGCTTGGAAAATGTCGTAAGCGTCAATAAAATTACCCGCATATTCCCCCTGCGTGAAACGACCGTAGCGTCGGTCAATGAACTGCTCGGAGGTGCCAATGACATCCATCTCGACATCATGAACGGTCCCGAGTAAAAGACCTGTATTTCCCTCTGCTCGATGTATTGGCGAGACTAGTTGAGTCAAGGCTCGACAGCATAGTTGCTGCAGAAGATCTGTAATATTCAGAGTCGTTGACAGGGAACGTTCCATACATGGGGGCAGGTCCTTCCAATGGCAGATATTGCTGTAATCGAGCAAGATGTCTGTCCTTCTTCCTATTCGGATGCTAGAGATAAGTTGCGCGTGATTTATTAGATAACGGCTCAGAGACAGTTTCCTAAAAGTCTCCTGTTTTGAAACTGCGATATCCCCTTCTTCCACGGGTATCTAAATGATGGCCATCAGTCAATGTCTTATTCCACCTAGACTTCTCCACGTGAGACTTACTCGAACTGAAATGTCATCGTCTTGAATGCTGAGAGGTCGGTCCATAGCTATACTTAAAGTGCTGTGTGTCGAGTTAGTATTAGTTTGTCGAAGCTGAAATCCAGGAATGTAGTCAAGACGCGCTCACCGATCGAGTGAGTACACACTCCAAAACATCCATCGTCTTCTGTTCGCTTCCGCCATAGTCAAGTCGGCGTGAGCGTCAGGTTCCCGGTGAAGGCCAAGCGAAATGCAGGTTTTCACCGTGAGACCAAGGAGATGCCAGGCTGAGCCCCCCGCGGAGTTCAGGAGCGAGTAGAGAAGAAGCAAGACCATACAGTGTATATGCTCGAGGGACACTTCGGAGCGCAAAATGGAGTGCAACTGTTGAACAGCAACGGCATGAAACCCTGAGCTAAGCATCGATAGATGAGCTGAGTCTGGCGACATCATAATGCCAATAGCCAGTGCCATGTGAACGTTAAAGACATGAAGTGGGGTGGCACGCGCACCATCGTGAGGTCGACCGCTGTTGGCAACGATGTTGTCGTACTGCTCCAGAAGACCTTCCTCGTCTAGATAGGGCAGGTACACGATGCAATCCAGGAAACGCCGAAAATGACTACTGGTAGCATCACGAGTAAGTGGTAAGAAGTGACCATCTATGATAGGAGTGTGTGGCGCGGGGGAAGCTCTAGATGGATCACGTCCATCGATGGCTAGTGCCCCAGAAACAATCTCACTTAGGGAAAACTTCCTAGGCAAATCATCAGATTGACCGCGCGGCTCAGCCATGGCGCTGCGTGACAAGAAGCCGATAGCGCCCATGGTGGCCCTTACGGAGGAGTCTTCATTACCTCGTCTGGTGTTCTGAACAGAGGCATGAGTCGAGGTCACTGAGACAGCGTCCTGGGAGCTAGCGTTAGCCACATCCGCAGGTGAGGGTCCATATGCTGACTCGGCCCTGTTACTGTCTGTACGAGCTCGTTTTCTTGATGAAGACTGAACATGGTGCTCGAGATCAGCGACACGGCGTTTCAGGGACTCCACGTAACTAATAACCATCAGCATGGGCGACCAACCAGTGGGTAAATGTGGTATTCCGCGGGACAAGAGCCTTTGAAGTCCATACCTGATGACGGAAGTATGCGAAAGCTCTGACAAGGAATTGATATCTTGATTTCGAGGAACGCATTCAACACCTTGCGTTTGGCACGATGTGCATGTTGGTAAACGCCGGTCACACTGGCAATGTCCAACAGACTAGTTAGCCGGTGGAGCTCTGATGTCACCCTGAACCTCGGGGGGCCCATCGAAACCTTTTGTTTTCTTTTCCAGCATCTTACGCAAGCTATTGGTCGGGTTCTAGGCGTCTCTTGGGGAACTTCGGGGGTTCCTGGGGAGTCGGACGGCTCACGACCAGATGAAGCTGAACCCATGGCTCGACTTACCGCCATGCATCAGGCGACGTGAGAGTGTGGTGGGCCAAACGTAGAGGCCACATAGACAATTTGAAAGCCCCAGTGGTCGAAGAGACGTTGCGTTATGTTTTCAGCGCTCGTTATGATGGTATTCGTGGTAGTGGTGCACTGGCAAACGGTTGGCTTGATTCGAACTCCTGCCGGTGTTGCTCGCGTAATATCGATCCTACCACATTAGTCATCCTACCCCAGAGAACGGGAAGACACAACATGGGGTAAACACTTCGTTTTGTATGATCAAGAAATTTCTCCACTTTCCCCATGCTCACAATCAAGGTAACCAGGGTGGGGGTGGGGAGGTGAATCAAATTTATGCATGGGTACATCACGCAAACCGTAGAAGATGATGTCCAAAACTATGGAGTCTCACCATATGGAACAGGTAAAGCACCTTGATTTTTTGTTGAGTCTTTATCAGTGAGTTTGTCGAGCAGCTATGCCTTGGATAAACCTTACAAATTCCTAGTCCTTACGTTGTTCTAAACACATTAAGTTCCCAGCCTTAAAATCAACCAGTCAACACCGAAGCATGATGCCCAAATCTACGAAGTCCCATTCGTCTTAGTTCCATTCGTATTGATCCCATTCGCCTTATTCGCTGTCGCTCTGGCGCTCAAGCTGGCCATCTCTGTAGCCCTCTTGGTTGCACCAGCAATGAGTAAGGGGCCATCGGTGGCAGCCATGACCCAGCGCGCTCCCATTTCGCAGAACTTCTCAACCAAATCCAGACGTGAATGGAGGCCACCGACTCCAACCCACTTGCCGTGCTTGTTACAAGCATCGATCGTACGTTGGTAAGCCTCCGTCAGCCTGGGATTTTCGTAGTCGCCAGGAATACCCATTTCAGCCGTCAAGTCGTTGGTGCCAATGAGAAGGGAGTCAACACCCTCCAACGCCGCAATCTCATCCACAAGTTCGAGGGCCTCCAAAGTCTCAATCATGGGAATAACGAGAGTTGCGTCGTTTATGACTGGGTTAGAGATCTTGGCGGCAATCGAACGGAACTGGAAGTGAGGCAGCCCATTGGTCGATGAGCGGGTGCCGATGGGCTGGAACTTTGCTGCAGCTACGACATCTTGGGCATCCTGCACGCTCCGGATATGCGGTACAATGACGCCAAGAGCGCCACCATCCAGGATTCTCGAGACGAAGAAGGGGTCTTTGCTAGGAGCACGGACAATAGGCGAGATGCCGGCATATAGCGCAGCAGTGCAGAGTTGGGAAGTTGTCTCGAGGTCGAAAGAGGAGTGCTCCATGTCGACGAGGATGCCGTCGAAGCCAGCGGTCTTGGCCATCATGGGAAGCTCAACTGACTTGACCAGCTTGACACTGAGCGTGGATGCCACCTCATTGCGGAGAAGCTTCTCCTTGAGCGAGTGCGGAATAGAGACGGCCATTTTGGATACGATTGAGGCTTTGCTGAGTTGAAATTTTGCTTATACTACAAAAAACACGCTTTGGATCACGGTGACAAACCCTTTGTTATATCAGCATGCCAACTAGACACATTCGTGATGTTTCGGATCATTGCCGAGGCTATCATGAGCTTTTCGGTCCCCCGCATAGCGAATGTCGGACTCCCATCGGACTGGGGACTGAGTTTGATTATAATGGCAAAATTGAGAATCATTCGGCGTGGTCCCGGTCGTGTGGAGCTTTATCTGAGTGCGCTGGGCGGGACCAGTCCGATCGATTCGGAACGGGTCCGATAGGAGCTTCACAGCCCGCCGAATAAGCCAAGTGATTGTTGCGCAGATCTCATACAGGTCTTCAAAGCGTCAGTGTCTATATTAAAAATTTGATCTTTATAGCTAGTCTTGCTGGCCCAGTAAAGCAACAAATTTCGGTAAATCAAACTCAAAAGCCCACTGTCCATCCAATCCGTCAACTTCAACCCGAAACCCCTCTTGCCCAAGCCTACTATCTTGTCATCGCAGCTTTTACTACCACCACAAGACTTGACAATGGCACCCTCGGCAGTTTCTGATCTGCCAGTCCAGAGTTCTCCTAACGCGAAGCCGACTGTATATGTTCTGGACTCATTCCAACCCGAAGTCATTGCTTTCTGTCAAGAAAATTTCAATGCCATTTTGCCGGGAGAACCTAAACATGCAAGATGGAAGGAGGCTCAATATCTCATGATTCGGTCATCAAAACTGTCGGCCGAGGACATCGTGGAATGCCCTAATCTTCTGGCCATTGGCAAGCAAGGTGTTGGCATCGATAAGATTGACGCAGACGCCTGCTCCGCCCGTGGTATCAAGATATTCAACACACCCGGAGTCAACGCCCGCGCCGTCGCCGAATTGGTTCTCACATTGACCACGGCCGTCGCGCGTCAAGTGGGCACAATCACCAGGAAGCAGAACTCCGGCATCGTTGTGCCCAAGGAGAAGTGCTCCGGGTTCATCCTGCACCGTAAAACGATTGGAATCCTTGGCATGGGAAATATTGGAAAGTGTGTCGCACAAATCTTCCGCGGAGCGTTCGAGGCACACGTCATCGCGTACGACCCGTACTTGCCTGCCGAAGCTTGGGGAGACATTCCACACCACCGTGCCCAGTCGGCCGAGGAGGTGTTGTCGGCGTCTGATGTCGTGACAGTCCACATGCCACTAACGCCAACAACGCGTGACTTGATCGGATACGCCCAGATGAAGAACATGAAGAAGACCGCTATCGTTATCAACACGGCGCGTGGAGGTATCATCAACGAGGCGGATCTAGAGCGCGCCTTATCGGAAGGCCTCATTTGGGGTGCGGGCTTAGACTGCCACGAGCAAGAGCCTCCGAGCCAAGAGAAGTACGGGGCGTTGTGGGAATCTGGGGCTCTCAGCACCCCCCATATCGGCGCGGCAACGAGAGAAACACAAGTTCAGACCGGAATGGCAGCAGCAGTTCGGCTGTTAGAGTATATTACCTCTAGAGAAAACTAGATAATGCAGAGAACAATGTCGCAATAACAGTAAGCATATCAGAGCACGGGTTCCGCATGATTGACTTTAGTCGAGTACCTTGATCATAATCACCAGCTGCTATAAATAACAGAAGTGTGAATGCGGTAGTCGAAGACGTGTACTTAATTATTCAACGTAAAGAATTGAGCCAGAAAGCCGGGGGGGGGGGGAGGATCGTTGGATGTGTAGCTTGAAAGAGGGTAAAAGGATGGATTTCATATTGAGTTGTGATTACAACAATTCGCTTAGTCGCAACTTAAAACTCAAAACTATCAAAACCACCATGTCTACTAGGGTCGCCATACACATACTCTCCTAACACCGTTTCCATGTTCCACAACGTTTCATCGTTAAGAAAAGCCCAGTCAAGCAGATCGCTGCCAGGAGACAAGTTTTCTGCAACTCCCAGAGAAATGAAGTTGCTTCCACCGTTGAAAAGGGACGTTGTGAAATCGCCCGTCACTCTGCTATCCAGAGGCAGTGAGAAGTTGAGCGCGTTTGATGCACTGTTGGCAACGAGCTGGGGCTGAGCCGCCGGGCTACTGCTTGCGCATCCCATGTTGTAGACAGCGTGGCTGGGTAGTGTCTGCCCCGAAGAAGACGAATGATGATGTGAAGAGCCTGAAGAAAACCCAGAAGTGAGGTTTGAAGCCCAACGGTCACCCAATACAGACCGAGGAGCGGTGTCAGATTGCAGAGCTTCCAAGATTCGATTGAGTTTCCGAGACGTGTTGCGACGGAGTGCCTCGAAAACAACCACATAGTGTCTCGCGCTCGGTAGCTGTTCCACCATGTCCCTCAGGGTCTCCTCGCATTGTGACAGCCCTGCAGATGCATTCTGGACATCCTCTCTGTCGAGTGTCGTCGCAGCCGAGACACAAAACATCACAGACAAGCCCGCCGTAAACATCATGTGAAAGTAACTTCGAGTGTGGGTAATGAGCGGCCGATGCTGACACAGGGTGGAATACACATGTATGGTCCGCAGAGCCGTCTTGAGGTAGAGGACGGAAATGTGCCTAGGCGTTTTCCCATCCCTTTTGGGCATTAAATCGATCGCTCTACGCACGAGATAGAGCTGCTCCCGGGCGAGCAGAAGATCGTACCAGTCTTGGGATTCATAGAGACATTTTGGCCGCGGGAATACTGGCGCATTGTCTCTCCACTCCTGGAGCTCGCGCATCAAGCAGCTCAGCGTGGTGTAAATGTAGCCAGGCGTGAGATGGCTTTGCGAGGGCTCGGAATGGTTCCGGGAGAGCTTGGAGAATTCTGTATGGATCCTTGATGAAATTTGTCTGAGACGTACAGAGATGAAGAACACGGTCATTTCATTTGGACCAAGTGAGACGTGTATCATCTGGAATGCCATGAGATCTCGTAGGGACTGGTCTGCAGCTATGAGATCTTCGTCGTTTGCGTCGACAGGAAAACTGGTTTCGATGTCGCTGTCGTCAATGGCGAAGGGCTTCCCAAGCAACGTCGAGCTATATCGGTCAATCATGTAGAACTGCCAAAATACTCGACGCTTCATCTGTGCATGCAGGAGACTCTTGCTTGGTTGGTCATCCAGATGCAGGCCTTGTTCGATGCAGAGGCGACCGCAAAGCCTGATAACATCCCATATCGAAGTACCTTGTACAGTTCACACATCAGACGAGAACTTTATAGGATCAACCCAAATTAGATGCAATTGCTTACCGATACGATGATATATACCGAAGCGACTTACAAGTAGTAAATCTTGCACGGAGTCTAACCCCCGTGTCAAGAAATCTGTCCCAAGGTGCTGTAAAGCAGCGAGATAATAGCCTTCGGGATGTTGGTGATGCGCGCCATTGCGATACGGAAATACGGAACCCATTGCCAGTATCAGGAAGGCCCTGAAAAGGTCATGGCTTGGCGCAGATTGGCTAGCCAGGGGGGGCGAAAAGATGCGGCTACGAAGCTCCCTGATCTCATTTCGACAGAGGAAAGGGCTTTGGACGTGTGACCAGTCTATGCTACGAGAGGATTGTGAGTATAGATAAACTCAAAGTTATAAAAAAGAGTATGCTTTAGAACATACTATTTTTCGAAAAGAAACTCAGCGTCTTCTGGGGAAGGCAGTTCACAGGGTCTTATTGGTGGCTCAGGGGCGTTTGGCACTTTGGCGAGGATCTGCAGCAACTCAGTGTTATTTCTTCTAAGGTCCGGGTCGGTAAACAGAGAGGCCATGAAACTAATAAGATGAGTTAGCAAGCCTCTCGGAAGCAATGTCCAAGTCGACTCACCCGAGCCCCTCTGCGTGAGAAACTTCGGAGCTCTCAATCGAGGCGACGGTGTGCCCAATTTCAGCTGTGGGATGGTCGGCTACCCTCGATGGCCGTCCTTCGTCACTTCGTACTGTCTGCAGCATTGACGACAGGGCCTTTTCCTGTTGTTCTAGGCGATCGATCTCTCTGGTTGTCAAGATCGGTTGTCAATGCTGGGTACGGGGGTTCTACAAGGGTTGTGGGAAACTTACGCCCGGGAGAGCAGCTCTTCGCCCCCCGAGTTGAGAACGATACACTCGCCGCCACTCTTTGTACATGGAGTACATTTTGGTCGCGTGCTATCGCACTGAAGCAAGTCAGTTCGTTGTGTTCATGAGGCCGAGACAGCGCGCCTTGACGAAGGCGCATGAGCCTTTTCGGCAGTTACTTTACTGAGTGCACATACCCTGATCTTTTTGTGATAGCACAGCTGGCAGGCAGGAAGTCTGGGTAAGCGGACTGCGGCAGAGTTCATTTCGGTTATTGCGGCCAAGGGTCGCGCCTCCCCAAGTCCGATGCGCAGTCCTGTGCAACTCCCGTTCTGTTAAGCAACTTTTTGGAAGTTGGACGTTTCGGACACCCTCCGAGGCGGCAACTGGAGTGGAAGTGGAGTTCGGCTTTGCTCGGCTATTGAGGCAGTCAGCCTTTCCACCTAACCTCAACTCCTTGATCAACAATCTTACGATTGCCTTAGAAAGTGAGGGATATAGAAACAAGTGGTATGTTGACGATATTCTGTCGCTAGTATAGCTCAGGGTGGGAGCACTTGGGTGGCATTCTGATTCGTCTCTAGTCGGCAGGCCTCATGTAGTTCAAAGTTTCAGCTAGCGCGTGGGCCTATCATGAGGCTCGAAGAATATTAAATCTTGGACTGTGTAGCCATCGACCAATTGGCGCAAGGTACTAGGGTCGATTAAAGAGTTCTGGGTGTACAGACTATCGTTCTCGGATGGAAGTTGTTTTTGAAAACACGTGCGAGAACCGGCGGGACAATGACACGCGAAGTTTCTAGGATCCTCTTAGGGCATTGGGTTTTTTATAACATCTCTCACCCAGTCTATCAGTGTGCTATATGCTTTTGCTTAACCCTTCCACCTTTGGCTGCGGCCTCGCCCCTTGGCAGTGCCACTCGACCTTCTGCACGTTGCCTTCCAAACTATCAGTGATGTAAATGGTCTTGTTCTCCGGCCCGCCGAAACAGCAGTTCGTCAGGTTGATGCCACCCGTGCCCGTAACGATGCGCGCCTTGGGCACGCCGTCCGAATCAACGACGAAGACAGAGCCCAGGCTTGGGTGACACACAAACAGGCTGCCTTCCTCGTCCATGGCTAGGCCGTCCGGACCGGCGTTGCCGAACGACTGGAAGAAGACGCCGGCTTTCGTGGTCGTTCCGTCAGGGTGGAGGGGGAGCCGCCATACTTGGTTGGAGCGCGTCATGGCCACAAAGAGGAACCTCTCGTCAGGGGAGAGGACGATTCCATTGGGCGATACTCCGTTCTCGACAAGCGTTTCCAGCTTCCCGTCCGGTAGTAACCTGTACACCTTGCCCGTCTGGTCTGTCATGCCTGTCTGGCCTTGGTCGGTGAAGTAGATGGACCCTTTAGAGTCGACTATTAAATCATTAGGGCCCTTGAACCTTTCAAGATGACGCCGAGACATCAAGGGCTTGACAGTGCCAAGGGAAGGGTCAAAAGTAAGGATTCCCTATCGGCGGACAATGTGGTAAGACTACCATCCAACATGAAAGGCTGACAGAGGGCTGAGGCAACATACCTGCTTATAGTCGGCAATTACAAACGAGCCATCCTGTCTCACGGCCAACCCGTTGGGCTCGCCATCCCATTCGGCGAATACGCTGATTTCCTTGGAAGGGTCGACCTTGAGGATCCTGCCATAGGGGATGTCCACGACGAACAAGTTTCCAGCCTCGTCCGCGACGGGCCCCTCGAGAAAAATGTACTGGAATGGCCGAGCGAAACCGCCTCGCCATTCGGTTTCCTTTCCAGTGCACCGCAGGTGTTCCGGCACCCGTACGTACAGCTCGGCCTTGATGGTTGGGGGCACGGGGTAAAAGTTCATGGTGGCGGGTTGGATTGTTGGGCAAGGATGCTTTGCGGTCTCCGGGGAACGCGGATGACTTTCGACGACATTACCTTTTTGTCGTTTGTTGAGTCGACCGGGCTCCGCAGTTGCATTGCAGCCGTTTTGGGTCAAGGAGATGCGTTGATGGCCGCGTAGGCCCTTGCGGACATGTTCCGGTGAGATATCACGGAGCCAGTCCGACGGAGAGGTAGCTAGCCTCGGAAACCATCCACGAGGCCGACGTCAACACCAATGCCTTTGTTTCTCGGTGAACCTCCGGGCCGCACAACGATGCCACCTCCAGTTTGTACCCCAGAGACCCCGCAATGCGGAGTTGGAATCTGGGGAATACTTGAGATGGGCGGCTGACTCCCGGAATATCTTGGCATGCAACCCGTTGCCATTCAACTTGGCTGGTTGAGTTTCTCTTCACCACGGACGAGGTATAGACTTGTTGATCTACCCATCTTTGCAAAATCAAAGCCGCCAAGTTTGCATCATGTCTTTGATCAAGGCTACGACTGCCGCCGTGAGAAACAGCCCAAGAGAGATCTTCAACTGGTACCTTTTTGGATGTACTTGGATATGGAGTTTCTCGGGAGTTGCCAAGGGATTCGATGAAGGTAAACTCACTCAGTACGGAGAAGTGATGGGACGCTGGCTGATTATAGACTGTACCAGGCAACATTGCCTCTCTCGTAACCATGGCGGTCTTCAAAAAGCGATTCGGGGTCGACCACCAGTCTGACAGCGAATACTCGAACACAAAAGGGTGGATCGTGGCAATCGCTACGGCCGGTGCGGTTTTCGGGTGTCTGGCTTGCGTCAAGCTCACAGAGAAGCTTGGCCGCAGGCTGGCCATGCAAATATTCACCGTGATCTACATTGCCGGTATCCTCGGCCAGACGTTCTCGTCCGGCAGCCTGGCGGCGTTGTATGTCTCGCGCATCATCGCTGGCATAGGCATTGGTGCCACGACTGTGCTCCCGCCAATTTACATCTCAGAGGTATGGCAAACTTGGTTACTGCACACCAAGTTGGGGAACCATTCGCTAAAAGTTGAGCTTTCAGATTGCTCCTCGCTCAATCCGTGGCCTCTTGACCCTTCAATACACCTGCTGCCAGCAACTCGGTGTCGTTTTCGGGTTCTTCTTCAACTACGGTATCACGAAGCACTTTGCTGGGTCCCAAACGCAATGGCAACTGCCCACGGCTTTACAGATCGCCCCGGCGGTCTTGTGGGGTCTGGGAACGTTCTTCACCCCCGAGTCGGCGCGCTTTCTCCTGTCACGGGGCAAGCCCACCGAGGCCCTCAAAGTGCTCTGCGACTTTCGAAAGCTCCCCACGGACCACCCCTACGTACGGGAAGAGTTCGGGGCCATGGAGGCCCAGCTCGAGCACGAGATGGAGATCGTGGCGGGCGCGTCGGTCCTGAACCTCGCCAAGGAGACGTGGACGGACATGCCGAACAGGCGGCGCTTCGTGCTCATGTTCCTCGCCCACCTGTTCTCGCAATGGTCCGGGGCAAATGCCATCACGCAGTACAGCCCCTCCATCTTTGGGTACCTCGGCATCCAGGGGGAAGAGGGCCGTCTTCTCGCCACCGGCGTGTACGCCATCGTCAAGTTCGTTTCGGTGCTGGTCTTCTCCGTCTTCGTCATCGACTTCATCGGCCGACGACGGTCCCTCATCACCGGGGTCTCTCTGCAGATCACCACCCTCTTGTTCGTGGGCATCTATCTCAAAGTCACCAACGGCCTCAGCGCCGAGGAGATCTCGGCCAACCCGGCTTCCCGGCGGGCGAGCGAGACGTCCATCGCGGCCATCTACCTCCACGCAATCGCGTGGTCGATCGGGTGGTTCTCGATCCCGTACCTCGTCAGCGCAGAGGTGTTTCCCATCCGGATCAGATCGCTCTGCGTGTCGGTGCTCATGGCGTTCCACTGGGCGTTCTACTTTGGCTGCTCCCGTGCGATGCCCTCCCTTCTGGCGGCGACGGAGCGGTACGGCGCCTTCATCTTCTTCGCCTCCATCTGCTCCGTCTCTCTCGTCTACGTGTATTTGGCGATGCCGGAGACTTCGGGCAGATCCCTGGAGTCGATGGAAAGCCTCTTCAGCCGGCCGTGGTATACGGTGCACAAGGTTGCCTACCCCAAGGCGGAAGACCTCGCTGCGGCGCCTGCGGCGAGAGACGAGGAGACGCAGGATGGAAAACCGAGTGTAGCATACATGCCGTGAGCCAATGGGCGAGTCTACACGTATAGCTACTATTGAACTAGGGTACATACGGGTACCGGAGCGAGGACTTGCGCAGCGGCCACGTCGTTGCGACATTAGTTGTCTGCCTATAGACTACCTCATGCCAAGTCCTTCTGCCATGTGTTTTTGTCGTTATAGTTTATAGGCAGTGGCAAGCCTCAGCTAACTTGGACCAAGTTCAAGAGCTGAAACCGAAGCATACAATAAGAAACCTCATAACATGTAGCTCGTTTGGGTTACTGTGTGAGAAGTGAATGAATGGTATATATTTGAGCGGTGTCCGCATTCCGTAGTCAGCCGGCTCCGTCGACCCGATGCCTTTGGATATCGACTTGCTGTATTGACCGCCGCTGCACGTTTGGCAACGCTGTGCTGCAACTGGCTGGTGAAGTCTAGGTTAAGTGGAGCGTCCGAGGACCATAATTTCGAGCGCCGGTAATCAAGGTACTTTAAGGAGTGCGACAGCATGTTTACGACATTTCATCCGGTCTTTTGGCGGAGCTTATAGTAAGTAGTACACGTGCGGAGGTTTTGGGGGAAGGGGGCAACTAATTAAGAAAGGACCAATTCGGGTGACAATGACGCTGTCAATCGAGCTCCGAGGTGTCAAAAGCCGCGTTCAGTGCTCTCATTCGCCGGAAGCCGTAGCGTTGGGGATGGAATTGGCTTGGGAACAGTTCGCGGCGGTCTGCTGTCAGGCGCTGGCTGCAGCGAACTATGTCTTGGAGGTATGGCTTTGGTGGCATTGGCGGCATCGGGGCCCCACCTCGCCCGCATGTCAAGTGTCGCAAACAACGTTATCCCTGCCCCGCCAACATCTGGGCCAATTTTTTTTCCTGAACTCTGATTTCCTTTTTCCCCCCCTCTCTCGCTTCTCTATTGGGAAATCTCTTCTACTTTCCCCATGCCCCCCTCCGCAGTGCCCATATGTCTTGGGCCCCAGGCTTCTAGAACACCCTCCTGGCCTTATGTCTGCCAAAAGGAAAAAGAAACCCTCCCAGGGCTGCTCGAACCCGTCTGTATGTGTGTCCGCTTCCGCCGTGTCTTGGCGCACACGGGCATCACGCTCGCAGCTTAGCTGCTGCATCCCGCTGCGTGTCGCAATCGTCGTGACCGTCAGTACATGTGATTGGTGTATCAGGAAGGAAGGAAGAAGACAATAGAAAACAGACATGGGCAACTTTCCATGTGCTGCCATGGGAGAAAAGAAGGCGGGACCACTGCATGTGTGACTTTCGATCGCCTGCCACGCTCCGGGCCCAATGAGGAGGGGCTGTCGTGCGTTTGACGTCGCTTTCTTCATCTCGTCATCTCTAATAACCTTTTCATCTGGATGCAACTACCTACATCTGTGTATCTGTGCCTTTGACTCCAACTGCCCTTACTCCAAATTCCAACTCTTGCCGTACCTAGGCAGGCAGCTCTACGTCGCTTGGACATACACAAACCGAAAACAAAAAGTGTGCAATTTACTTCATCGGCCAGAGAGTAGCTTCTCGTCTGTCTCGTTCCTTCAGCGGCTGTCGCCACTTTGAGGCAATAGCACCGTTTTCTCGCTGCAATCGCATAGTACCTATACTTGCACCACCAGTAGCCGCCAAAGGACAAAGCATCACAAAGAGCACGAGCAAAAGGAGGGAAGGGGGAAAAAAAGGAAGAAACAAGGTTCTAGCGTCCACGGTCCACGGCCCAGCAATTTCTCGAGTCAGCAGCGCTCCCCTTTTCCAAACGTCCGTCTGATCAGTTTTGTCTCGTCGCATCTGGCTGGCAACCATGGATCGACCAAATTTTAACCCCCGGCGATCTGTAGATAGTGCTCGCTCGGCTTCCTTTACCGCGCCTGCTTCCCCTACCGCTGCTGCTGCACCTGCACCTGCCTCTCCTCTCAATCCCAATTTCCACGCCCCGTCGCCACCTTCTCACTCTGCCGTGAGCGCGTCTGCGCCTACCGACATCCCTTCGCGATCGAGGCAGGGTCGCTCCGTCTCGCACTCTCTCAACATCTCCTCGTCCGCCAGCAGGAAGAGCCGGCATGCTGAGCCTGGAACGACCGACGCCCACTCTGCCACTGCTAGCCTCTCCATGCCCCCGCCCGCTTCGATCCCCATAAAGAGCCCTCGAAGTTCCCTCTGCCGCAGTCGCCGAGAATCAAACAACTCACTCGAGGCCTGGAGCGATTCTGCTCTTCAGTTTGCCGACCCCGACGACCTCGATACCCCACGCCTCATGTCTGGGTCCAGCCAGCACCAGCAGGATTCCACTGCCCCATACCGTCCCCTCCCCGAACCCGCCCTCACAACCCGCGCCTCGTTTTCTTCCGAGTCGGATCCCAAACGCACATCTGTCTCCAGCGTCTTCTCAGTCTACTCGCTGGCCTCGGCCCGCGGCGTCGTTCCTTCCTCTTCGGCTCCCGCCACCCAATCCTCTGCAGCTTCGACCAACGGCTCCGACGGCGGCCCTTCGCGCTCCGTTTCCGGCATCATGTCGTCGGGAAAACCTGTCACGAATGCCTCCCAGCCCGGCGCCGAGCTCTCCAACGTCACCGTAACCACCTCCTCCAACGGCCAGAACGGCAACGCTGCCGCGGGCGGCCATCACCTGACGCCCCGCGATACCAATACTCACGCTCACGATGTGATTAAGCGTCCTCGTGCCGAGCGGCCCCAACCCACTCGATCCCGCAGTCGGAACAAGCGACGGTTCAGCGCGAGCACTGGCGCCAGTAGCCATAGCCCCAGCAGCGATCGAGGGCTCTTCCACAGCAAGGAGAAAGAAGAGGGTCAGTCAAGAGATACAAGCGCGCCGCGACAACGTGTGCCGACGAGCTCTAATGCACCTGCAGTCAAGCCCGCGCCTTGGGGTGTCATTGGAGTGTGCGCTTTGGACGTCAAGGCTCGCAGCAAGCCGAGCAGAAACATTTTGAACCGCCTCATTGCGAATCGCGAATTCGACGTCGTTGTGTTTGGCGACAAGGTCATTTTGGACGAAGGTAAGGGCTACTCCACCCCCCAAAAAAGAGAAAAACGCAGGATTGGGGGAGAGCAAAGAAAGCGAGATGCTGCGTTTTGTTGAGGATACATGGCTAACCGTTTTTCTTCTTGTTGCAGAGGTTGAGAACTGGCCAATGTGGTAAGTCCTCACTGTTTATTCTGTTTCGCCGGGAGGCTCGGTGAGCCAAAACAGCATAGCTTCGTCCCCATCATCGACATGTGCCGTCACAGGAATTCCCTTCTACTATTCTCGACCCTGTTGATGCGCATAGGCAATGCCCTCTACGGATGTTAACTAGCTTTCGCATCGGGATCTTGTATTTCTTCATGTGCTCCTGCTAATACTCCTTCCAGCGACTACCTCATCTCATTCTACTCGGATGGCTTCCCTTTGGACAAAGCCATTGCGTACGTCAAGGCACGGAAACCATTCTGCGTCAACGATGTGCCGATGCAAAAGATCCTCTGGGATCGCCGTCTTTGCTTGAACATTCTCGATCGCATTGGTGTCCCCACTCCGAGTCGAATTGAGGTGAACCGCGATGGCGGCCCCAAGATCCTAACCCCAGATACAGCTAAGCACATCAAGGAAATTACTGGCATCACTATGGACCCCGAAGAGCTGGGATACAACAGGCTACCCCGCAAGGTTGAACTGCTTGACGATGGCGATGTTCTCAGCGTTGACGGCACTTTGCTTAAGAAACCTTTTGTTGAGAAGCCCGTAAGCGGCGAGGACCACAACATCATCATCTACTTCCCCAAATCCACCGGCGGTGGCGCCCGCAGACTGTTCCGGAAGATTGGCAACAAGAGCTCGGAATACGACCCGGACCTGAACGTTCCCCGCGCCATTTTGGAGCCAGAGAACAGCTACATCTACGAAAAGTTCATGCGGGTTGACAATGCCGAGGACGTCAAGGCCTACACTGTCGGGCCCAACTATTGCCATGCCGAGACTCGCAAATCGCCCGTCGTTGATGGCGTTGTCAGGCGTAACACGCATGGCAAGGAGCTGCGCTATGTGACAGCCCTGGATCCCGAGGAAAAGGAGATTGCCAGCAAGATCTCAACCTCTTTCGGCCAGAGAGTTTGTGGATTCGACTTTTTGAGGGCTGGCGGCAAGAGTTATGTGATCGACGTCAACGGTTGGAGCTTCGTCAAGGACAATGACGATTACTACGACCATTGCGCCAACATCCTCAAGGACGTTTTCGTCAAGGAGAGACTTCGCAGAGGCGGTGTCACCTCCCCGGCGCCGTCCCCAGCACCTTCGGACATGACCGACCCGCTGGCGTCGCGAGGCAAGGAGAAGGAGACACAGCCAGTTCCTGTGCCAATGACTCAGAACAAGTCTTTGAGCAGCATCTCAGCTGTCTCTGAGAAGCTGCCACAGGAGTCGAAGCCCGCGCCCCCGAGTGCGAGTGTACCCACCCAAAAGTCAGAGAGCGCACTCCCTTCGGCGGTCACCAGCTCGTGCACTAGTCCGACACTCCCACCCCCGCCTCCTTTGGTTGACCCTGCAGTGGCAAGTGTACCCTCCACGACAGGATCAGCCACGCCGTCTGCCACGCCTTCGTTGAAAGGAGAGGGAACGGTACCGCCGTCCGAAGAGGCTCCAGTGCCGCCGCCGCCGCCGAAACACTCTTGGAAACTCAAGGGTATTGTATCTGTCATTCGACATGCGGACCGTACTCCTAAACAGAAGTATAAGTTCACCTTCCACACAGCGCCTTTCATTGAACTTCTCAAAGGCCACCAGGAGGAGGTACTTCTTATTGGCGAGGCAGCGTTGGCTAGCGTGCTGCAGGCCGTCGATGTTGCCTTGAGAGCCGGCGTGGAGGATCGTACCAAGCTGAAGTCCCTCCGTAACGTCCTGGTCAAAAAGGGCGGATGGGCCGGTACCAAGGTGCAGATCAAGCCCATGTTCCGAAAGAAGAAGACGGAAGAGGTCGCCGTTTCATCAGGCGACGAGCTCTCGCAAGTCTTGAAAGAAGGTGTCGAGACTGATTTCGCAGAAAAGTCTGAAGATGCGGTTGCAAAGACAGAGAACTCCTCGCCGTCGAGGATGCCGCCCAAGAGGCATGATTCTCTATCTGGCGTTACAATGTCGCGCATTACGGCAGCGGAGGAGAGTCTAGTTCTGGACAAGCTCCAGCTCATTGTGAAATGGGGTGGTGAGCCCACTCACTCAGCGCGGTACCAGGCCCAGGAGCTCGGCGAGAACATGAGAAACGATTTCAACCTTCTCAACCGTGATGTGCTTGACGAGGTTCACGTTTTCAGCAGTTCCGAACGTCGAGTTACCACCAGTGCGCAGATCTGGGCTTCTGCTTTCCTGGATCGCAAGGACCTTCCCGAAGACTTCATCACGATCCGCAAGGATTTGCTGGACGACTCGAACGCCGCCAAAGACGAGATGGACAAGGTCAAGAAGAAGCTAAAGGGCCTCCTGCGTAAGGGTAACGAGCGACCTCCTCAATTTGCTTGGCCAGAGAAAATGCCTGAACCGTCGGAGGTCCAGACTCGCGTTGTCCAGTTGATGAACTTCCATCGCCGCGTCATGCACTACAACTACACCAAGCTGCACAACGGCAGTGCTGTTGCGTCACTGAACAATGCCATTGCGAACCCCGGTACGGAGAAGCCTGCCAACGGGGACGCTTCGGCCTCAACAAGCTCCACCTCATCGTCGCTGTCTCAAGCAAATGCGGTAAGCAACATTCAACCTAGATGGTGTTGTGGCGAGGATGCGGAGCTCTTCCGAGAGCGCTGGGAGAAGCTTTTCGCCGAGTTCTGCGACGGAGACAAGGTCGATCCTAGTAAGATCTCCGAACTCTACGACACAATGAAGTTCGATGCCCTGCATAATCGGCAGTTCTTGGAATGGGTCTTCACACCGCCCAAAGCCATGTTGGAGGAAGAGTACGGCATCAGGGAAAAAGAGAGCAAGGAGAGTAGCAAGGATGGCAAAGCCACCGAGAAGGGCTCGGATGATGGCAAATCGTCCCTAGACTCCCGGGAGGAGCGACGGGACGTTTCGGGATCCAGCGATAAGGCAGAGAAGAGCGAAGCTAGCAAGAGCTCAACCTCTGTCAGACGCATCTTCCGACGTCGGTCGTTCCTCAACGGGCTGCGACACGCCGAGGCTGCCCCGCCAGAACAGTACTTCCACCTCTACAAGGGGAACACCCAGACCAAGGCAAAGACTGACGCCCGGTTCGAGCCGCTCCGGGAACTGTACCAGCTTGCCAAGGTGCTCTTCGACTTTATTTGCCCGCAAGAGTACGGCATTTCCGACGGCGAAAAACTGGAGATTGGTCTCCTGACGTCGCTGCCGCTGCTCAAGGAGATTGTCCAGGATCTCGAAGAGATGCAGGCGTCGAACGATGCCAAATCGTTCTTCTACTTCACCAAAGAGTCGCACATCTACACGCTCCTCAACTGCATCTTTGAAGGAGGTATCGAGACAAAGATCAAGCGAAGCACCATTCCCGAGCTTGACTACCTCTCGCAGATTTGCTTCGAGCTGTACGAATCCGAGACCAAGGCCCCGCCGACACACCAGACGGCGGAGAAGAGCAGACATTTGCCTACAGCATTAGGATTACCATCAGTCCCGGATGCCACGTCTTCGACCCTCTTGATGTTCAACTGGACAGCAAGCACTGCATCAGCTGCGCTCCACGGCGCAGCCTGACCCCTCATGGCGACTGGATGCAAGTGATCCGTACTCTGAGAGCCAAGTTCAACCAGTAAGTTGCCGCCAGAGGCGTTACCCCGTCGGGGGTTGGATGTGCCTGCTAATGAGCGTTGCAGAGTCAAGCTTCCCAAGACGTTCCTCGCCATCAACCTGTCGGATCTCTTCTCCTTCGAGGACACTGAACGACGGGACAGTGACAGCGAGGGTCTAGAGATGAAGGCATTGCATCCCAAGCCGAAGGCGACAGCCGTTACACAGCACGAGACTGAGACCGAGTCCGAGGTACTCATCGAAGCCGGCCAGGCCCTTGCATCGGCCTCATCCGTTGTCATGGAGCTCGAGGAGCCGGTAAGCCCAAAGACCAAGTCAAGCGCTTCCGACACTGAGGCCACCCCTCAGGTGGCAGAGTCTAGCGAGCAATAACGTAGCACTTGCACCTTGTGGTCAAGTCATGATGTACGGATAGCACATGGGGAACAGTAGGAGGAGCAAAACGAGAGACAGAAGACGGAGTAGGCTTAGGCGCACCATACATAGCATAGCACCCGCAAAACAAAACACATGTCTTCTTGAGTAGCGTGGCAAGATGTCGCATGGGGGCGCCACGCCACTTGGGCCATCGTCAGAGGCTGAATGTGATGCCGCGAAGAACTCTAGATGAGCCGACCAGAATTTTCCCCATTCATGGTGCGGTCGCGATGTTACGGCAGCAAGCAGCATTGCATAGTGTGAAGCCGTCGTCGACAAATCGAACAAGAATGTGGCTTGCAGCACACCGCACATCTGCACCACCCCTGTGATGTATTCCGAGCGCTGCACGATTACATCCTTGATCCCCGTCCAAGATGCCGGGGCAAACTCCATGAGAGGAGATTGGGGCTGGCTGCCAGAGGGGGGAACAAGGTGCGATGGCTTGGATGATGCCACTTTGCTGGCCCGTTTGCAAAGTCGAGTCGATCAGGTTGTAGAAGCTAAAGGGCGGGACAGAGAAAGCCCCCCCCCCAGCAAATGCTCGGGAGTTCCTGCCAATTGTCGTTCGCGAACCACGGAAGGCGAGTCCTGGAACATTTGAAATCTTGTCCTGCTTCGGAGTGGTCCGGGTTCACAATGACGATCACCAGCGTCCGAACTCTAGACGCTCCCGCGTTCCGCGTTCCATTCTTCATCATACCAAATTTTTTTTTTTTCGCGGTAATTGGGCCAGGACCCATGGGCAGGGTTGCGCAATATCGGGCAATGACATTCCGAGTTGACAAGACGTGTGCATAGCAGGCGGTGGCGACCCCCCGGCAACGTCTAGATTGCTGGGAATCGTGTCTGTGGATCGAAATGCATCTTCGCAGCCCCGTTGTTTTCGCTCGTGGTATATGCAAGAATCTCGGGCGTCTTGTCTCTGAACCTTGACGGTCCGAGAACCCTCCCGTTTCACTCCGGGCAGGCCACGGTGATTAGATGTTTGAGCAATGAGGTGGGATTGCCAAAATCGCTGCCCGCCATTGGGGTGGTTAGTGGTCTAGTAGGGGCAGACATGCTATTCGAACATATGAAACTGGGAATGGCTCTGTTGGGCCCACGCATCCTCTTCTTCGACCTCTTGGTGCCGCTGAATCCGGGGTATTTGTGTGGTAGATCGGCCTCAGACCTCCATGAGGGTTGACTCCTTGCTCGCTTTCTCGTTGAGGAAGGCCGCGAGCAAGCGTCGAACGATTATTTTCCTTGCAGACTGGGCGATAAGTTTATTTTCGTGAGACTCGGTTGTTGCTGATCCAACTATATTGCCGAGCCGCTTGCTATGACCCGTGTTGTGAAAGCAAACTCGTCGATTAGGCGATACACGCTGCCGATGAAGCGCTTCGTGTATTCCGTGTCGAACGAAGCATGTAAGCGGGGAACGATGGCTCGAACAAGACAGGCTTATCCTGAAAACCTTACAAACTCTGCTCGTATCCATTTCCAGTCGATATGAATGGTCTAACAATGACTTTGCACGCTGAAGACCAGCCGAATGAATCACACATGATAACATCACAAAGCGATGGTGTTTGTGAACCAGCTTCAGTTTGTCTACAGTAGCGACGTAGTGACGTGGGTAATGCGGATGCTGTCCATCTGTTAAAAGCGGAAGCAGGTAGAATTTGTTGGCCAGGTTTTCAAAGAGTATTGTCTGGAACCCAGGAGCGGGGGCAGCAAGCGATTTACCAGGATAAAATCTCCCTATTCCACTTATTAGGCCACAGGCGAGGTAAAGCGAAATAGAGGACCTCGACGGGCTCTGCATCGGCATGTCTTGGTTGAGATAGCCCGCTGGGAGATGGCGGCGTGAGCCGGGTTGTGCACGTTATTGAGTAGACTGGCAGTATTATCTGTAAGTGGTGACTAAGTTTGTTCCTGAAAGCTCTGTGAAGAGAACTGTGTCACGCCAATCGGTGATGGAGCCTGGAATCGGGGTAGGACACGTCGCCGAACGCTTGGCTGGAGAGAACAGCATCGGTCGCGGGATTTGTCTTTCATGTCTAGGTATGGGAGTGTGGCGGCGATGGGCACCGCATAGGATGGAAATCAGATCGGGAATCGGGCCAAGCGGAAAGAAAGACGAAACCTCTGTGCACAAGGACTTTGGACGCCGATTCCAGGACTCAGGAGAAAAGATGTCTATGCTGCGATATCATTCGACATTGCCCCTTGTAGCGAGGTGCAGATCTTGGTCGGCACAGCTGTCATGGTGCATTTGCATCCTTGTCAGCAAGTTACATCGACCTGAGGCTTGAGATGTCCTGGGTAGTTGGCCGGTTGATTGCAATACCTACATTGGGACGCCTGGAATTTGACCGGCATTGCTCTCGCTTCATCAAGAGGGTGTGAAGATAATCATCCCAACTTCACCGAGAGTGGTTCTTGCTGCGGGACCATCGAACCACACATGTTGGGGTTGGCCGGGAGGGGGCACCGGCCACCATATCGCAGGGCAGCGCAGAAAGCCAACTACGGGCGCCGTTGGGAATGCCGCTGATCCAAAGGGCATCGGGCCATAGCCATGAGCGATTCGTCGAGGCATCGGAAGCAGGTATGAGATTGGGTTTGTCGTCGCGACTCCAGACGACTTGTCGTACGTGTGCCAGAATCTGCCGAAAAAAGCGTCGTAGTTCCAAGGTTGCGGGGTCTGGACCACGGAGTGAGCCCCGAGTCTCAGGAGGCGCACCGCTGGCATCTGCAAGTCAGCATTATGGTCAGATGGGCCACGGAGTTGAACCCAACCAATGGCGAGCAGTCACTGGTGAACTCGGTCTTCCAGGCGAAACCAAGAAGTGGACTGGACAAGGTGTGAAGTAATTGGCACAGCTCCAATAAGGCGAGGACGCCTCCGGGTGTGTGAACCTAAGAGACTGTAATGTTTGGGTGGTTGAGCGTGGCGAGGCGTGTTGCAACGACAAATTGGATTTTGCCGGGCAGGCTGTCTCTGAGGGTTGCTAAGGATGTTGGGTGCTGATACTAGGGATTGGGCGACGATTGATCATAATTGACAGGCGTCAGATGCAGAAGGACATGTTGCGACGGTGCCATGTTTGGTGTTGCAGAGCTTAGGTTGAGCTGGCTGTGTCTGTAACCAGACGATAGACATCTTGTGGAGGTAAGGCTGAAGAAGCTTGCTAACTCCCGTGGGGTGGCGTCGTCCCCATGTTGACCGGGCGAAGTTGCCGATCCGGTATGGAAGAAGTCATCGGTGGCCGTGAAAGCCACGCTGAAGCAGGAAAGCTCGATGTCGATAACGCTGCTGGGGACCTCGACATGCACCTGCGGTGGCAGGTCGAGGTGGGTTACCTAGGAGCGGGCTCTGGAGCGTGGCATGGAGGTCATGTGACGGTTGTCAGGCAAACCAAAGATCTGGGGAAAGTGTCAGGTCGGTCGGTCTCTGACGCGTTTTCATAGGCGAGCAGGAAGGAACGAAGTACCTTGCCTCGAAGGTCCCCGGGTCGACTGGCCGAGTGGGAAAGTCCAAAAGTCCGAGTCAGGTTGGGATTGCTTGAGCTTGGAGCTCTGGTCAATCGGCCTGAGCTATAACTCTTCAGCTCTCTCCTGTCTGTGTTACACAACACTCGACCCTCTCGGTTCTTTCCATTCGCTGCTTTCGCAATACCACATGGCCTCTTACCTCGCCCGGCCATTCGAGTTGAGATCCCTGCAATGGACACCGGTGTAATGCTGTTGGGAGGGATATGCTCTGATCTGACAAGATTCCCATCTCACTAAGCAGACAGCACTGTGTTGTCTCCATGCGACAACACTGTCTTCCATGTCGGAGAGTTTGCAGCTTGGGATCCCACCATCAGCACCCAGAGGTTGTGGGGGTTCCTGTCAGGAAAGCTTTAACCGTGAATCTAGGTATGCTGCAGCTCAAGCATGCGTGCTGCCGGGCGTGGAGCTATACATCATGACCTGCGGCCAAGCAAGCCGTATACATAGGGACATGGAGACCAGAGCAACTCGCAATTACGGATGCTCAACTTCCCCTTGGCCGCCCCCCTCCAACATGGCCCAGCAACTTCCTGCGTATTGGATGCAAACGTGGCGGCTGCGGCAAAGACTGTCACTGTCTCGACTAAATCACACCGGACGCCGTCATCCCACCCACTCATTACTTGGCTACCCTCGGTAGCTCCATCATCATCATCATCATCATCATCATCATCATCATCATCATCATCATCATCATCATCATCACCAAACGCCGTCGATTTGTTGCGCCCGTTGAGGAAGGGAGACAACGAGGTAACAACAGTCAGCCTTTGCTCTGTTTTCTTGTGCCCTCTGGGCTCGACCGCACATGCTATTTGCGGTGTGGAGAAGTCGTCTCATTCAAATGCAGCACTCCACTGATGACTACTACCTTTCGCTGACAAGCTGCTGTTGCACACGACACGCCTTCTCCGCTTTCCAGAAGCTGCAAGTGGGTCGGCAAATTACTAGCTTCTATTGACGAGGCCCAGGATTCCAGTTCCTGTGTCAAGCGGCGGCTCTGTCCACCTTGCGCCAACTCGCAAGACAACCTGGTTGTTCGGTCCAGAGCCGGTTCTCGTGAGCATTGACAGCTGTTTCGCCTTGGAATACCCAGCCATAACCCATTATCCTGATCTCCTTGGTGTTATTTCAGATTCGACGAACTGCCTTCTCGCATTTCCTCTTTGGCCCACCTCGGCTACTGGCCCGAGGAGCCTGGTCAGGGCACGGTGAACGTGACGGTGAGGACAACCCTTGGTTCTCATTTATGAGTGTCCATAGCATCCGAGCCCAACTGGGATGTGCGGCTCAGTTGAGGCCGCTGGGTCGATAAGACCACTTCTTCTCCCAGCCAAACAACTTTCAAGGTCGCCGGATTCCCGCCCAGTTTGGGGGTGTCGCACTGCGTGTGCGCGACGCCTGAAGGGGAAAATGCACCCCTGTCTTCTACGGACCTTTCGCTGCAGCATGCGATTCTCGTTGGCCATAGGCTGTCATGGTTCATCGGGCGCCTGGGACCATCCGCGCAACCTGTCGTCCCCCCGGATAACAGCGCGAGGTGAGCAGTTCAGACCCCAATCCAAATGCCGGCCTTCGGCTATCAAACCAGGGTCACGCATGGGGCTATCACGAGCACAGTGGCTCTGTCGAATGTTCGCTTCAGCAAAAGGCCATCTGCTGTGCTTCGCCAGAAAGAAGGTTCGAAGAAGGGTTCGCGTACTGTCTGGCTGGCTTCCAATTCAAATGGAGACAAGCAAGTGACTTTCCCCGCCAAGGGTGCTTCTGTGGAGGCATGCATTCTGCTTCGGGGCTGGGCCGGCAAGCGAATGGCGGGAAAAGACGAAGGAAAAGAAGAGGATCTGCCACGCAATGAATGGATGGACGACCTAGCAGCCACGAGCTGATCCCCTGCAAAGGTCCTGCGGCGTTGCCTCGATGCGGTCAAGGCTCGAATGCTACGCTCGCAACCTCTTTCCATGCCCTTAACTTGAGGATATTAAGTACCACCTCATGATACGCAGCCAGCATTCGCGAAGCATGATGAGGCAACAAAATCACTCGCTTCACAACGGCAATTCCTTTCCAGCAAGATACAGGTACAGCATGTGCCCGATGCAGAAGCTGGCGCGGCACGCACGTCTTGCCAGATGACGAGCCGGGTGTCGATAGCTACTCTTTTGGTTCTATCACCCGCGTCAACGAGCCCACCGTAACCCCAAACTCGCAGTTATCGCCTACCAGACGACATCAGTTGCGGTTCTTTTCCGGGGCGACCCCCCCCCCCGCGCACAGGCATCACCAGGAGTCATTCCCACCCACCCACCACCCTGTCTTGAAGCCCTGAGCCGCATAGCAAGAACCGTGGCGCAAAGACACCACGACCAGCCGGATCGCGCAGGATCTTCGCCGCTGGCCGCTTGATTGCCAAGTCACTGGTAATGGAGATATTCTGCCCATTAATACACTGGCCTTGTCTAGGTTACCGTCTCAGCAGCATTGCAGCCATTGCTGTGCAAAGAACCATCTGTGCTCTCCGTCGGAAAGCTACGTTGTTGCAGTGGCAGCTGGGCGGGCAGGCGTTTTGAGCATCCGGGAAGCCCAAATTGGACAAGCCCCTAACGGACCCCTCGACTGGACTGTCGGGCTCTCTATGCTCTATAGTCTGAACCTCTCAGCTTCCGCCCTCACTCCAAGACTTGGTGCCAGACCGGACGGTGCATCCGGAGGCCCGGTCGTACTGTACCCGATCCACTCGCTCCCCAGAGCCCACCAAGTGGCATCTCGCACTCAACCTCTGAGTGCTCCGCACATGGTATCATTCTCGGAAAGCGCCAATCACTCCCGCAGCTCGGGAGGCGGAGACGGACGCCCTTCCATTCGTACACTACGACAGAGTAAAGTAGTTGCTGTGGTATGATCAAGACTTCTGTCGGTTATGCCAAGGGTTAATTATGCCACGCCCTGGTCATGTCTGATTGCAAGGCTGCTCTGTCAACATCTGCTCAAACTACGCGGGCACACGGACTTTGTGCCATGGATGTTACATGTCAGAACCTTCTGGCCCACGCCACACAACCCTGTAGCTGGATAGGGTTCCCTTAAAAGTCAAACAGAAACATTGCAGTCGAAGCTACTCCCCTCAGGAGGAGACAATTTTAGCCTGCCGGAGACGATCCCGGGGCCATACATGGACCACAGAGGCTCAACCTGACAGCGCGCAGGGGCCTGCCTGCACTCACAATACGGCATGGTACATGGTGCAGAAGGTCGGTCTAGTACCCAAGCTCCAAGACGTGGCAACCAAGCTACATGGATTGCAGGAGATTTGTCGGCTTGTGGCTTACGACGTAGATCAATGTCGAACGACAAAGGCAAATTCAAGAAGCAGGCGCCAGACCGATTCCTCCTTAAGAGCAGTCTCCGAAGACCCGGGTCTTGGAGGGGCCGGGGATAGGCCGAGCAGCTATGATTGGGTAGAGGGGATGTAACAAGACTTCACAACGGACGAATGGGCGGTTCCGCCTGCAGACGAGGACTCACGATGCACGAGACCGGGCAGCGGACCCTGTGACAACGGATAGAGGAGATTCAACAAAAAGGTTGTGCTGGTGCTGTACCCACCAAGTGGCATACTGTACCTACTGCCATGGTACATACTGACAGGAGTGACGACCCATGCATCACGGCACTGTCACCGGCCATGGTTTGGGGGTGTAGACTTCCGTGTTAGTCAAGGTCTCCATCAAATAAATCCCTTGCCGCCGCGCTGTGTGCTGCCTTGTGCCGTAGCATGGCATGCAGGGCATGGAAGAGGAGGGGCGTCGGCATACGGCCACCCTCTCTACGTTGGGCAAGCATCATCACAATCGTCATCATTCCTGAAGACGCTACCCAACACGCAGGGCAATTGGTATGTACGAGTGTATCTTGGCCAGAGACTGGTACGTGTGCCGTAGGTATGAAAAGAAACGGGCCGGGCCATGACCGACAGAAGGCTTTTTTTTTTTTCGCCATGGCACCCCATGCAAGGGTCCCTATTCCTGGGGCGAGGCGGACGATGTGGGAGGGCGTGGAAGGGCCGAGGAGTTGGCTGCGCTGGTTCGGTTTGACCGTTGACAGGTCAGCTCAGGTACACATCATCGGCACGGCGCCGCAGATGCGAGGAGTCTTGTCTCGGTAGTCGACGATGCCACGACTGGATACCTATGTACATGGCATACTACTCCATACAAGTCCGTGGCCCCTTCTCGCCCGGCGTAACGACACCACCGCATCACTCGGCTCGCGGTACCTCTCCGTACCACAAGCGGTCGATTGCCTATGGGCCAT